ACCGTCACGGCGACGGTGGGCGTGGGGGAGGCGAAGACGCTGCTGTCGGGAGCCACCGGCTACGCCAAGCCCAGGACTCTGACGGCGGTGATGGGCCCTTCGGGGTCGGGGAAGTCAACCCTCCTTGACTCTCTCTCCGGCCGCCTCCCCTCCAACGCCTTCCTCTCCGGTACCATCCTCCTCAATGGCCGCAAGACCACGCTATCCTTTGGGACTGCAGTAAGTTGTTATCTCCTTCTCCTCCGTCGATGGCATCTCACAAAGACAGACAGATACATAGATCGAGAGAGAGAGAGAGAGAGAGAGAGAGTATGGGAAGCAAGAAAGTTATCTTTCTCGATTACTTTTCTAACTAGGAATCATCTCTGTCAATCTCGACTATGATTAACCCCTCATCTGATACAGTCATCAGGCATTGAATTTGGGACCAAAATATATAACCTACTGTCAAAATTTATTGAACACCGACGATTTCATTGTTAAAACTTTTTTGGAGTTCAACTATGATTATCTAAAGTCCATCTTTTACAGGCTTACGTGACTCAGGAGGACAACCTGACCTCCACTCTGACAGTGAGGGAGACCATATCCTACACGGCAAACCTCCGGCTCCCGGAGAAAATGCCGTGGTCGGAGAAGAAGCGCCTCGTGGAGGGAACCATCGACGAGATGGGCCTCCGGGACTGCACCGACACGCCGATCGGCAACTGGCACCTGCGCGGGATCAGCACCGGCGAGAAGAGGCGGGTCAGCATCGCCGTCGAGATCCTAACGCGCCCCCGTCTCCTCTTCCTCGACGAGCCGACCAGTGGTCTCGACAGGTAGGAGGAAGCTCCACCGAACGCCCTTTCACCTCCCTAGGGTTTCCTCCGATTCCTCTTAGCCCGGCGGCCTTTTTCAGCGCCTCCGCCTTCTTCGTCGTCCAGACGCTGAGAAACCTCGCCAGAGATGGAAGAACAGTGATCGCCTCCGTCCACCAGCCCAGCAATGAAGTCTTCGGCCTCTTCGACCACCTATGCCTGCTCTCGGCAGGACGAATCGTCTACTTCGGCCAGGCATCGGAAGCGTACAATGTAGGCCGACAACCTCCTCTTTACTTTCATCTGATTTCCATGTAAAGAGATCTAAGCCGAGAATCTCCGATCGTCAAGTTCTTCACCCACGCCGGGTTCCCGTGCCCACCGCTGAGGAACCCCTCGGACCATTTCCTCCGGTGCATCAACTCGGATTTCGACAAGGTTGGAGCCACACTCAAGGTAGGATCTCTCTTCCCGAATCTCTAGCCCACGGAATGAACGATTTCATCTCCTAACGGAGCTTTCCATCTCTCTTCCTTCTTCTCTAGTCTGAGCGTGGGGTTGATCCCCCGGAGGAAGTCACCGCCGCAGAGGCGACCCTGCGGCTGATCCATTTATACAAGACTTCACCGTATAGCCGTGCGACGAGAGAGGAGATAGAAGAGATGGCCAAAGTGGTACGTAGACTAGACACGAACGAAGACTGGCTGATTGAGATGTTCCCAGTACAGGTTCTCACCGGAGCTTCGTCTTGCAGGAGGGTCTGGTATTGGAGTCGATGGGAAGCCAGGCCAGCTTCCTGATGCAGACTCGGACCCTGGTAAGGCGGTCCTTCACCAACATGTGGAGGGATTTCGGGTACTACAGGATGCGGTTCATCATCTACGTGATCGTCTCCATCTGCATTGGGACCATCAACTGGAACCTGGGAACGAGTTACACCGCGATCCAGGTACTCTCTCTTCTTCCCGCCTCGGCTTCTCCTTACTGAACCGTAACTCCGTGGAGCTGGCTGAAACAGTCGAGAGGAGCATGCTCCGCTTTTGTCTTCGGCTTCGTCACATTCATGTCAGTCGGAGGATTCCCCTCCTTCGTCGAGGATATGAAGGTGGGCTTCGCACCAGGGCTCTTCAAGTGAGAGTGAGAGAGAGAGAGAGAGAGAGAGCATATTAATAAATCTTCGAGAGTGCAGGTTTTCCACAGAGAGAGGCTCAATGGGCACTACGGCGTGGCGGCATACGCCATCAGCAACACGCTCTCGGCGGTGCCCTTCCTGATCCTCATCTCTATCACCGCCGGGACCATCTGCTACACTATGGTGCGGCTCCACCCGGGGTTCAGCCACTACATCTTCTTCGTCCTGTGTCTCTACGCCAGCATCACCGTCGTTGAGAGCTTGATGATGGTCGTGGCCACTGTCGTCCCCAACTTCCTAATGGGCATCTTGCTCGGCGCCGGAACACAGGTGAGCCCGATACGACACCTCACATTAACTGCAGGATGACAGCTCCCTGACGAGTCAACAATCTTTCGTGGGCCAGGGGATCTTCATGCTGGTTTCCGGGCACTACCGGCTCCCCAATGACCTCCCGAAGCCCGTCTGGAAGTACCCCTTGTCCTACATGAGCTTCCACTTCTGGGCCTTACAGGTAAGCGCTGACCCGCGGAGGCGGTAAAACAGTCAGTCTTCGTCGATCAGTGGGTTTCATTACAGTATATCCTCTCACCCCCGAGCAGGGCCAGTACAAGAACGACCTGAAAGGGCTCTCCTTCGACAACCAGTCGCCGGAGCTCCCCAGGATCTCCGGAGAGTACGTGCTCGAGAAGTTCCTGCAGGTCAGCATCCACCGGTCCAAATGGATCGATCTGGGCGTCCTCTTCAGCATGGTCGTCATCTACCGGCTCCTGTTCTTTGCCATGATCAAGCTCGGAGAGGAAGTGGCCCCGCGCCTCAGGCGACGCGCCGCCAGGAAGAGGCTGCTCCGGCAGAAGAGGAAGGGCAGCGCCGCCGGCGACATGGCCCTGGGCTCCCTCGACCGATCTCCGTCCCTGAGGATGTAAGGAGAAGATACTTTCCACAGGGTAGCTCTCTTCTAGAAGCACCCCTACAGCTTGCTTGATCGGGAGGATATTCTCTCATATTATCAACGGATAAATGATTTATTAATTTTTTTTATTTATAAAAAATGCTTTGAAAATTTCAACCCATGAAAATTACCCTCCCCCCCCCCCCTATCGGTAATAAATAATGCCGTCAGTCTAAAGACCCTCTCTGACTTGATGGGCTTTTCATTGTGTGAGTGGGCCAACGAAAGTATGTAGGCCCAATATCTGCTCGTCCACATCGGATGAAAGTGACATCACTTGTTCGGACAGCAGGGATCATTGCGTGGACGTCCCTGGTCGAGTAGACCGGACGAGGAAGTGTCGGAAATGGGGACAGCGGAGATTCGCCGTACGGAGGCCTTGGACTTTTATGTAAAATGCCAGGGCTACATTACAAAACAAAAAACGGCGCGAAAAAGTCGGTGCGAGGAGAGATTCCCTCCTGCCCCTTACACGCGAAGCCGAGTGATATTCCATATTCCCCCTCGTCTTTGATATTTTTCTATTCCGCCCCCTCCGGATAGAAAAGGGAACGCAGGAAGAGAGAGACGAGACTGGGAATCTTGTACCCCGTATTCGTCGGTCTACCATATGGGACGACATTTTCGAAAATACATAGGGGTTTTATGGTCATTTAAGTAATTTATGGGGCTAACCGGTGAGCATACTTATCCGCTGTCTGTTGACACTGCCCGTCGTAGACTTCGCGCCGGTCGGGGCATGGCCTGTGGTCAACGGTTTCTTAGTATGTTTTGCGATGGAGTAGAAGCGAGGAGGACTAGCTCTGAGCGAGCGAATATTCTGCGGCCACCCCCCAGCAGAAAACGTGTCTGGGGGCCCACTTCCGATGACGTGGTCGATGAAGCCGATCCGAACATGTGATAGCTCCGGGCGGGAATCTTCCACGCTGGCATCCACGTCGCCGCAACAGCACGATCTCCCCCAAAAACGACTCTTACGTGAAAAATCTGACCGGGCAGATGGACGGCCCCGTAGGCGTCCTCGCGATAAAATCGTGGTGCGTGGCACGGATCCGTGTTCCTCCGGATCACGATACCGGATGCGGTGAATTATAAGGAAACTTCCTGGTTGAGGTGATCCCTGTGTTTAAAAGATTCCTGGCTAGAGAACGCGGCCGCGCTCTCACTCTCTCCTCCTCCTCCTCCTCCTCCTCCTCCTCCCTTTCTGGCTTTTCTTCCCCTCCCGGTCCTTCTTCGGGAAGGTTTCAGAGGGCGTTTAGCCTCGTTATCTCTCTCCGCTAACCTTTTCCGAAGGCGGAATTCTCCACAATCCAGCGTTTGGGTCGCTCTGGAGCCGCTGGAAGGTACTTCGAAATCTCCGGATTCCTTGTGTCTTGAGATCCCGCGGCCTTTCTGGCCAGTCTCCGCGTTTGAAAGCAGCTCAATCCAGCCTAGACGAGGATTTAGAGGAGCAAGTTCTGCTTGAGTGTGGTTTCACTGGAGTTTCTCCCTGATTGGGATATTCACTCTGTTCATTCACGGTTTCAGATTCCTCCTGCGAAGTCGTCCACTGGCAGATGGCAAGGGCGATCGTTCCCGAGGGCGAGCAATACTGCTAAGATTTGCTCGTCCTCCTATCGTATTCTTTTCTTTATCTATCACCAGTTTATATCTATGAATCTATCCGTCCCCACAACCTTGGATCTTCTACGAATTCCTCTTCTGTAGTACTTCCCATATTCAGGCAGCTCCTATCCTCTCGAGTTTTTCCTCTTCTTCTTCGTCCCACACTCCTCTTGCGTCGAGGGAAGAGAGATGGTCGTTTTGGCAAGTGCAGTGAAAGCGAGAGAGTCAGAATACGAATCAGAATCGCCGAAGACTTCCTGATACTAACAGTTTGCGGCGGCTTTTGCTTTCCCCCCCTTCTGCAACATTCCTCCGGACTGCTTGCTGCCTCGTTCGCCCTCGTTCAAAGACCATAAAGCAGATTACAAGGGCAGTGAGAAAAGAGAGGAGGAGGAATTAGAATACGATACTCAGAGGAGCAAGGACGCAGCATCATAAAGCCGAAGCATCACGCGCTTGTTGCGTTGCTGAACAGATCAGATCAGTTTTTGAGGACACAGGAAGGGAGGCGATGTTCGACCAGATGGAGAGGGCGTGCAGCGGCGGCGAGGCAATGGGAGGTAGCCGCTTCGCCTACGAGCCTGCGGCGGTGGCGGCAGGGGGAGGGGGGGTTGTGGCTCTCTCTCGGGAACCAAAGCCACGGTTGCGGTGGACCCCTGATCTCCACGACCGGTTCGTCGACGCCGTCAACAAACTCGGTGGGCCCGAGAGTAAGTCGCATCACCCATCATTTCCTCCAATGCGTCATCTGCGTCTCTCCTCGAGAACACTCTGCAATCGCGTGGCCACAATTTCTGCATATTTTAGAAACCATTTCACATCTTATTCGGTCTTTCGTCGGCTCTGCCATGGCGTGGTTAATTAATTTACAGCACATGCGAGAGCAGCATGCTGCAGCTTAGGCTAGCATCTTCTTGGTTTCTCCGTTAAAATATTGTCCCTGAGAACGGGAACTGATAATCCTTTCTCAGCCCAGAAATCGCCTCGACATTTTAATCTGCTCAGGGTTTGCAGAGAAGCGAAAATCGTGATTAATCATATGCTTTTGCCTCATTTGGCTCTGACTTTCTTTTTTTTCTCATCTTTTTTTGCACAGAGGCGACGCCAAAATCGGTGCTGAGGGTGATGGGGATGAAGGGTTTGACGCTCTACCACCTCAAGAGCCACTTGCAAGTGCGCACCCCCCTCCCCCCTCCCTTTCCTACCAGTCCATCGCCACTTCCCTTTTCCTCCGCCTTCAGCTCTTTCGCAGATTCTCTTTCTCCGGGAGGAGGTTGTGCTCCACTGACTCTGCCGTTTTCCGTCCTTCCTTTTCTCCGCAGAAATACCGGCTGGGAAAGCAGGTCAAGAAGGAGACCGCCCCCGGCGACTCCAAAGGTGGTAAGCACCCCATTTGGTCGAACCCCTCGTGCCTTAATATATCTCCAGGCTGTGCCAGATGAGTAGCCCTTTTATACCTGTGGCTGCAGGGAGAACGGCTGGTGCGAGCAGCTACTCCTCCCCGGCGGGAAGCAGCGCTCTCAGGGGAAGCGACCAGGGGTACCCACCAATTCCTTTTCTCTATATCATCTGAATTTGATCGAATGTGAGAGATCCTCTCCGGTTCCCACAGCACCAATAGTCACATGTTGACCAACTGGGCTGGCGGGTCGTCTTTGACCATCTCCATCCCGGCCAAGTCTCGGTCTTCGTGACGCGCTAGCTAGTAGCGCCATCCGCCGCTCTCCTCACGCGAAGATTCCGCAGAGAGATATGAGACAGCTGGATGGTGGTGTAGTTCTCTGCGATTTTGACTTAACCATGGGCCGTTGACTTCCGCAGGGAGCTCCCGATCGCAGAGGCGTTGAGGTATCAGATAGAAGTGCAAAGAAAGCTGCATGAACAGCTCGAGGTGGGCCCGCATAGAGAGAATCCAACTACTCACAGGCCCACCATTCAGCACCCTTCCCTCCGTCTGACGGGCTCTCCCTATGCGGATCGCAGGTGCAGAAGAAGCTGCAGATGAGAATCGAGGCCCAGGGGAAGTACCTGCAGGCGATACTGGAGAAAGCCCAGAAGAGCCTCTCCTTCGGCGGCGGGAGCCTGGACGAGGCCAGGGCCCAGTTGGCGGACTTCAACCTCACGCTTTCGGGGCTAGTGGAGAACGCAGAGGAGAGGACCGCAGGCGGCGCAGAGACGGCGGCGGGGACGGCGGTGGACAGCATCAGGGTGAGTCAGACCTCGGCCTTCCAGTTGTACAAGGGCGAGGAGGAAAGGCGTGAGGCTGAGGTGGCGCCCAACGGGGACCTTCTCCTCCTTGACCTGAACTTGAAAGGAAGCTACGAGCGGCTGGGGGGGATGAGAGGGAGGGATCTGGACCAGAGGGCGCATCATCCTCAGAGAAGGTAGAGGAGTTGCTCCTCCTCACTGAAAGTTTCCTTGACGTCAAGGTTGGTTCTTTGAGGCCCGTTTCCTCCGCATTCTTTATACCGACGGGCCTGTTGCTCGAGCCTGGGCGCCTCGGGGAACATCCGGGCCTAGAGAGGAGTCCGTGAAACGAGTTCCATGTGTGACTTGTAAATACGAACTCCGAAAAAACTCGCTACTCGTATCTATGTGAGAGAGAGAGAAAGAGAGATAGAGAGAGAGAGAGAGAGAGATTGTCCACGAGAGAAAATGAGCTCCTGGGTTCCACACCAAGCTTATTTTTCCATTTTGGTGTTGGCTCTGAGCCCCAAGCGTAGATAAGACATGCTTGTTCTGTGCTCTGTGTCTCTGCTTCTCTCTCTCTCTCCCCCCTCTGTATATGAATGTGCGTATACACCACTCATGATAATTGTCGAAGAACATTTGAGGATTCGTCGCAGTTAAAATCTCTCTCTCTCGTTCTCTATCTCTGGTAATTCCCGAGACAGCTGTCGAAGAAGATTTGAGGAGTCATCGCCATTACTTTCCCCCGGGTTTCAATCCCGTAACAGTTGTCAAGGAACTCTCCTCTTTCTCTCTCCCTCTCCCGCGCCGCCCCTCGACCACACCCCCCCCTCTCCCCCGCTCAACCGTAACGGTTGTTCATGAAATGTTGTCATTGCGGATACTACCCAACTATTCTCTCTCTTCTCTCTCTCTCTCTCTCTCGCTACCTCAGAAGAGCTACATTATTTCTGTCCGTTCGCTCATGTTGAACGCCCGCTCGGCCCACCCTGGTAGGTCTTGATGTCCTCCGCAATCTTCTTGGCGTCCATGGCGACGCCTGCAAGTCCCCTCCTAGACAACCCCGCGAAGAAAAGCCCGTTTCCTCCTTTCCAATGGTCGGGGAACGCTCGCTTTGGGAATCCCTCCTCGTTGAGTAGTCCTCCGTCGTCCTGCAAGAAGGAAAACGCCGAAGAAGACGACGCTCAAACAAATTCACACTGCAACAGGAAGAACAGCGGGCTACGGCAGATCGAGTGCCTGGAGCCAGTCGGCCGCCGTGCTTCTGTAACCCGTGGCGAAGATTATGGCATCGAAGCTCCGAGTCTCGCCGTCGGTAAACCGGACCTCTCCGCCGGCGACCCCTGCCACCTCCTTCATAACCTGGACGAAAGCAAAAGACATGGAAAGACATGTTATTGCGTTGACGACGGCCGATGGCAATGAATATTGACTGCGGGGGACCCGCGAACCTTAATCTCCCCCCTCTTGATTTTCCCCAGGGTGCCCACGTCGATGACCGGAGACCTTCCTGTTTTGGCCTTGAGAGAGAAAGGCCCCTCACTCGGCCGGATTATCCCGAATCCGGAGAGGTCCCCGAACTGGAATCGACACATCAAGAGAACCAGCGCGTCAACGATCTGGACGGAGACGTGATTCAGCATCACCATCCCCATATACACCATCTCCTTCGTCAAGACGTGGAACTGCGGCAAGACGCTCGATCACACGAGGCTTGTGGTCATAATCCACTGATGAGATCACGAAAACCTACCGGGCCTCTTACGGAGATGGAGGTCTGGGCCCCATAGTTGCAGAGATCGAAAGCGATCTCCATGCCAGAGTTGCCGCTGCCGACGACGAGGACCCGCTTGCCGGCGAAGCGGGCCGCGGACTTGAAGTGGCAGGAGTGCAGGATCTCGCCGGTGAAGCCATCGAGCCCCCGGAAGCTCGGCAGGATGCCCTCAGCGTTCTCGCCGGTGGCGACTACGAGGAACCTCGATAGGTGCTCCTCCACCTCGCCGGTGGCAGCGTCGCGGGCGCTGACGGCCCACATGCGACTGTCACTGTCGAAAGTCGCCGACTCTACGGACTTACCGAAGAGGGGGCGGAGGCCAAAGTGGGAGACGTAGTCGTCGAGGTAGCGGACAAAGTCGTCCCTGGACATGAAGGTGTGGGTGGCGCGGGGATGGTGCATGTGGGGGAGTTCGCAGAACTCCTTGGCAAGGTGGAGCTTGACTCGGTCGTAGACCCTCTTCTTCCAAAGAGAGCCGTAGCAGTCCTCTCTCTCGAGGATGACGTTGGGGATGGAGAATCGGCTGAGGCAAGCGGAGACTGCGAGACCCGAGGGGCCTCCCCCGACTATCACCACCTCCGTCTTCATCCCTCACGAGTTCACAACCGTCTCACTCACCTACAACCCAGCTCTCGACTCCGAAATCTCTCTCTCTCTCTCGCTCTTGCATCTGCGATCTGCTCAACACCTTACTTTATAGCCGATCAGTACCGGTGAATTAGCGAGTGTTTACCTCTACCCCCCACCCATCCTCACCCCCCTTCTCTCTCTCCCACAATAAGCATTATAGATTAGGCTTGTGAGAGTTGTTAGTGGATAAGGTTTCTCAACCAAATGACGGTAATCGTCAGTTTAACGCTAAGATTCTCTCTCCCAAGAGCGAATCCCTCCATAACACTGGGTAAGGCTTTAATATCCTTCTCAGCTCTCCGGGAACAAATATCGCTGATGATGGCCTTCCCCTCCGCTCTTTCCAAATGATCATCTTGACGGGGGGGTAAGGACGACATTCATTGTTAGATGCGACTATAAATCCCCACCGATGCGTTCTTATCTGTCTAGTAACGCTCATGAATGCCGTTTAATCTCTCTCTAAATCGCACAGAAGCTCTCCCCCTCACCCATCTCTCTCTCTCTCTCTCTCTCTCTCTCTCTCTCTTACGTGACATTTTTCTGATAAACAGCTCACCTTTCTCGTAACGACTCAAAGTCGCGTTGACACACGGTTACTTGCGGACGCCACCTAGAACGTCGTTTGTCGTCGGTCCACGCCGCCGTTGACAATGAAAGAGAGTGAAGAATGTTACTCGAAGTAAGGAATAAAAGAGATATCTGAAAAGGAGCAGATGGTTGAAGGCCTAGATTGCTGTTCACTAGATAGATTCTATGTTACATATAGATATATATCTCGAGAAGAGAGAGAGAGAGAGAGAGAGAGAGATCATGAAACGACGCGAGTCCTGTGCGCTCCAGTTCAAATAGAGTAAAAATTATAACGAAAAACGTAACATTAAATGAAATGACTGGCCAACACTAAGAGAGAGAGAGAGAGAGAGAGCATGAAGCGACGCGAACCCAGTGGGCTCGAGTTCAAAGTTCAAATAGCGAGAGAATTATACCGAAATTAAATGAAATGTGTGGCCAACACACTCTAGCATTCAACTCTCAGAACCTAAATGCGGTGAGTAATACTACACTAGATGAAAAAAATATCTCCAAGACAAACTACGGCACAATCATTCAACACGACTTTTGACCTTGAACCCACATTCACATTAGCCGCTTCTATTGAAGAGTCAAATATGTGAAAACATTTCCGTTCGTGAAGGCCATTTTTTCAGTGGGTGCGTGGACATCATCCATATATCACTATTCATTGTTCTTGGAGATAAGTCTGGAGATATGCTTCTTGAAATCTCACGAAATTTTCATTCCAAATGATTCTACTCATCTTGAAATCTTTGGCTTTCCGCCACGTTAGTAAAAGTCATGTAGACTTGACCCAATTTAAAGGAGCTACATACATCAGAAAATTTATGTAGTTTCCATGATAGCCATAGTGGGACGATACATTAGAATGCAGGAAATAAAAGGGCTCCTGATAAGTGATTTCTTTTTTCTAACAAAAGATGATACATGCTATTTTCGGTAATTTTAAGAACTTGTACATTTCAAATGGTACTTTTAGTTCCCTATAAACCTTGAGAATAAATCCCATAATTACTAAGATGCATAACACTTAATCATAGATGCCAACACCACGTAAAAGATAAACAAAATCTTAGTGAAAAGGCATGATGTGGAAAACTTGACGATTGGCAAGCTTATTGGGGCATTTATCATTATGGATAGTCCCCAAAATTGTCTCATAGAGAATATGTGCTCAATGTCACTTTACAAACAATATGCGTATCAAGAGATGATCAACAAGTACTAGAAGTATCAACAACATTTTTAGACTAATGTGCTTGTGAGAATTGTCAGTACTATGAATTACATGGATTTTAAAGTTTTGGCAAAGAGATTGTAAATTAGGATATGGATGTCACCAAACAAGTTGATAAACAGAAGGTGTTGGCAACATTATGGTAGAATAAAGTGGTCTTCGTTCACATCCTAAGAGTGGCCAATTAAGAAACAATCATATTTTATAAGGGCTCTCATCAATGATGTCTCTTAAATGAGTTGGTTGGGAGCTTCGATTATCACTTAAAGACTATAGTTGTTTCAAAATTAAAACTCTCTTGTCTAATAACTTGCTTGGAGAATAACATCAGCCAAATGTTGCATGTGTAGGAAACCTAAGATGTACAAAGTTTGTGTGTGTGAGAGAGAGCGATAGGCTATCCTACTTATCATTGAATCACTAAAATGGTAGATAGATACCTTATTGCTTCTCATGCATGACATTTACCCATCAAAAGGCTTATGTGTTAATTTGCTCATGGCATTTAATCTTGACATGGAAGTATATCACACATATTTCCTAAACTCAATTGATATATAGTGAATACTATGAATTTTGATAGTTTATAAATTCACCCAACCTCTTCATCATTTATTCATAGTTGGATTATTGCATTCATGAAGTGTCCTCATATCTCAACACTCTAGTGTCATGTTTGAAAATCTATATAGGTGATAGCTAAGTAAATAGTTTACTCATGATCACTCAAAACCTCTTCTATTTCTACCATCGTGACAACAAAATCTTAGGTTCTAGGATGAATCCCTTTATGAGAAGCCTTAATGTGGAAAATAAATCAATTTTAGAAAAAATGTATGAATCAGTGTAAAATATCGCTTCATCTTTGATCCATGGATGAATTGTCAAGTTTAGTATTTCCATTACCACTGAGTCTTTTGAAATAAAAAAACCTTCCAAATAGGTGAACAGATATGAATTATTCAGAAAAGACTAAGATTTCAAATTTCATACTAGTAAATGGGTATGCATTAGTGGTAAAAGATTAGGATTTCAAATAACCATAAATTTGAGGAAAGCATTATCCAAGAGTAATGTTCATGAATGTCACGTCAACCATCGATTCAATTATTTTGCTTGATAAATGCTCATAAAAAATGAAAACTCTTACCCAACTTGAAATGTTTTCCGCGATAAACAACTTCCCTTGCTGATCTCTAACTCCCAAGGCTTTGTAAATCTAGTCTTTCAGCTCCACCCATGCATTCACAATGTCTCTTCTCTCTCTCCCTCTCTCCCTCTCCCTCTCTCTCTCACCCCCTCTCTCTCCCCCTCTCTTCCCCCCCTCCCCCTCTCCCTCCCTCCCTCCCTCTTTCTTCTTCTTTTAAGGAATGAAGAAGGGGAAATAGCACAAATCACGACTACAAATACACCCTTGAAGGTAACGGCTGATGAATGTCTACACGTGTAGGGCAAATAAAGTGTTCACATGAATATGATGAGTAAGAATGGATTACAAAATGATTAATAAATTAATTCTTAGGCCTATAATGAGTTTTCGAGTAAATATCAGACTGAAGTTTAGTATAGTTGAATTAAATTATCCCTAAAATAGTATTTTCAAAAATGATAAGTAGCCCAGTAGTTGTAGTAATAGTAATAGTAGTAGTAGTAGTAGCAACTACAGTAGTAGTTGTAATATTAATAGTAGTAATAGTAGTAGTAGTTGTAATATAAATAATAATAGTAGTAGTAGTAGTTGTTGTTGTAATATTAATAATAATAGTAGTAGTAGTAGGTAGTAGTAGTAGTAGGTGGTGGTAGTAGTAGTAGTAGTAGTAGTAGTAGTAGTAGTAGTAGTAGTAGTAGTAGTAGTAGTAGTAGTAGTAGTAGTAGTAGTAGTAATAGTAGTAGTAGCAATCGAGTAGTAATAGTAGTTGTAATAGTAGTAATGATCATCAAATGATGATGATGATGGTAAGAAAGTATATTAATCTCCTCTTATTTGAAAGGGTGAAAAAAAAAGTAGAGTAGCCACTCATATGCCAGAGTCAGATCTTGCCGACGTGACCATGATGTCTGTGACCAGATGACATGTCAGTCTGGGCGATTGGCTCAGCATTTCAACGAACAGGTGGAAGAATGGGATTTCGTTCCATAAAATTTCTGGCAACTAACCTTCCTCAGGGGAAGAGCCCCGTAGGGCACGTCACTTTCTCCTTATCTTGTCCTTCTTGCTCGGCCGTCGACAGGTTTGAGGGCTCGCTGTAGGGTTTTGAGAGGCGCTTCCTCCACCTTTTCTTTCTCTTTCCGCCGTCGACAGGTTTCAGAACTCGCTGTAAGTTTACGAGAACATCTGTCCCTGTCTTGCTGAAGACGAAGCTTCGTCTCGAGTGCTAAATTCCAAGAGCAGTGAAACCTCTTCAGCTACAAGTGTCGGAGATCGCAGACCCGCTGTCAGTTGCACATCACAGGGAGGGAGGGAACAGAAAGAGAGAGAGAGAGAGGGATGCACCAGCCGTAATGGACTCGCGCCTCCCCTCTTGTCTTCTTCAGGGTCGTGGTGTTTCAGAGGGCCACCTGGCTCCCTCTCTTCGTGAGGGACGCCCCCCGCCGCGTGCCCGCCGGGTTTTACGCCGGTCGTAACGTCTCTCGCTGTTGTCTTCCACTTGACTCTTGGCTATTTTCGCTCTCTCTCTCTCTCTCTGTCTCCCTCTCTCCCCCTTTCTCCCTCTCTCCCTCCGATTCGAGCCGAGTTCGTTTGCGCAGCTGCAGGCTTTGGGGGAAGAGTCCGTCCTAGGTGAGCTCATTCTGAGTGACGCAATTGGCTTGACCTTTTTCCTGGGTCGCTCGTAGACAGTGGTGTGTCACTTTTGGACCTATGACTGGCTTGTTTGGTGTTCTGGTGATCTTCCTTTCGGGCCCAAACCAATACTAAACAATGGGCCACATCCAGGGCCCATCCATGCCCCATTTCATCACTTCGTCGTAATGTGGCCCTCGTCCAAATAGTCTTCTTCTCACACGTTGAGCCCTCATCCAACGATCTGCGTCTAAGTACCCAATTCCAGCTGGCTCAGACTCATATCACTCGATCAAATCGAGTTTCACGAAATGCAGATCGTCCGATTAACAATATCAGATTAGTACCGTAGTTTACAAGCCGTTCGATTAGATTGATAGCATCTTGATCAAAATTCGTAGTAGGAACGGAAGCGCCTGGTCCGGACCCACTGACGCTATAAGTCCCACGCGATGGACCAACAAGGATAAAAAATCTCTCAAAGTCAACCAAGCAATATATTTACAAAATATGGGTAGAATCCCCGAAGGCTACTTCCTGACACGATGGTGAAATTTGGTGGAATTCGGGTCGTTATTGGACAAAAATAGAGGAAAATTTTCAACCTCGGGTTCTTGAGTCCATAACTCCCATTCCGGTTAACGGCAGGTTTGAAGGACTCAGTGGTATCCCAAGGGCGCCGGAGTTTCTCTGAGCTCGTGGCCCTGGCGGTGGATATCCTGCAAAGAGAGTACGAGATTAGATGCCGGGAGAGAAGGGGAGAGAGAGAGAGAGAGAGAGAGAGAGAGATATGATTACGGATGCGAAGTGGTTGACGTCGCGGTGATGGGCTTCGTCAGCCCGGACGGAGAGGACGACGTCGCGGAGGGTGGCGTCAGGAGGGAGGCGCCAGTAGTCGATGGCGATGGCGGGGGCGGGGACGTTCTCGATGGTGCCCTTGTCGAGCTCCTTGAGGAACTCGGTGTAGGAGTGGATGGCCTCCTCCTCGAGGTAGCCGACGACGCGGTGGGCGAGCTTGGGGGAGGCCAGATAGGCAAGAAAGTAGGCGTTGAAGAAGACCCCCTGGACTGCGAAGACTAGCGCCCGCTCGTACCACCGCGGCTGGGAGACCTCCATGAAGGTCATCAGGTGCATCCGCTCGTTCTCCGCCTCCTCGAGCAGCGCCCTTATCCAACCCCCGCTGTGCTCGAACCGCCGCAGGGACTTGCAGTGCAGCAACAACCCCCCCACCATTCCAGGCACCGCCGCCACCGTCTCCAGCATCATCGCCCGGCACCCGTACCTCCTCTGCACCACGGAAATACATAAACACCATACCCTAAATCACTAAATCGTCGACTAGTCCCTCAAAAGTCTTCCTGCTTATAGGTAAGACTGTCCAGACATTGCGGTACATGTTCGACGGGGGGTAACTAAGAAAAGATCCACAAGAATTAGAGATGGGACTTCACCATCGTCAACCTGCGTAGCTGCATATCTCTGCTACACAGTGATCCTAGTGATTGTCGGCCGGCGTCCGGACGAAGCCCATTCAGTGAGCTGTCCAGATCAGAGACTGCCGGCGGTGGAAATTAATTCGCCCGGAACGAAGATTGAATGTTTTGGAACAAAAAGTAGGAAATCAGTCTCATAGGCCCTGAAAACGTTGGCGGAGGGGAGTTCGTCTCGCTCCAGAAGGAGCAGGCAGGGAAGATCTTTACCTGGAAGAAGATGTCGGTCGGCGCGCGGAGGACCTTGACGGTCCAGAAGGCGAGCTTATCGCCCAAGGTCGAGGGGACGTGGTGCTTTTCCAGATCAATGGACGTATCTGACTGGTACGTCTCCCATGGCTGAGAGTGTACGAAGAAGAGGGAAAGCACGATCTTTAGAGTATTTGGAGAAACCCCCAGACAAGAGGAACACGATGATGGGCGGACGGAGATGGCTTACCATAAAGGACCTCCATCTCCATGTGGTACCGTCCGGCTTGGTGATCTTGGGAGGGGATACCCCCCAGTAGCTCGCCACCTTCTCCTTCCCCTCCTCTTTCCCCGCCTGGCCCCGATTTGCCTCCACCTTCTCTCCTTCTTCCGCCGCCGCCGCCCGCAAAGAGCTCCCGAACCGTGCTGGGCGCCACGCCCACGCAGCGGCCGCCCGGGCGGGGCCAAAACCAGTTCCCATCACTCGCCCTGGCGCCGCCGCCGAAGAGACGAAGAAGCCCTTGCCGAGCTGCCTCAGAAGTACGCCGCCGGCGACAGCTGAGCCCATGCTGCTCCGCGAGGTACCCAAGAAGAACACGCCAACAAGGAACGAGACGAACTAAGGACCCTTCTGCCTCTAGAGTACGCCTTCTAAATGCCAGCGGTGGGAACAGCAGACTCCATGACACCCTTTATATACCGCGCTGATTATTTTAAAAAATCTTCCTTCGTTGGGAATGTTACGGTTCTTTATCCAGCTTGCAAGACTGGCTGTAGACCATGACAAAGGCGGTTCGGGGCAACCGCGTGGCCGATCTGGCGGCGGCGAGGTCCAGAACGATGCCAAGGTCTCCCGGCGCCCATGCGGCGGCCGTGTCAGCCGCTCTGGTCCGCATGGTGCTCGAAGCTTGGACCGAGCCGGGTGCGCCTCGGAAACTCGTGCCTTTCAACGAGAACCGTCGTAGACACGGCATGCGCTTTTGAACGAGGACCGCGCATCCGAAACCTAACCCACCCCGCCTACCAAGCTTCTAGACAAATGGTCAGAGAGGTAGCGCACACGTCATGGATGACGAGACAACTAGAGCATAGCGTGGGTTACGAGGAAGGGTGGACCCGGCACAGCGTGGATTCTCGCGGTCGGGAGAGTAAATTACATGCACGGGAGAGGAAAAGGGCGACAATAAAGAGGCCTCGCCTCGTCTACTTGGAATAAAATACCGATAGAAAAAGTATCCTACACGGTCAGCGCTTACGTCACGGCGTCAAGTCGGGCTGCCGGCCCGTGCCTAGATCGTCCTCTGAGGCCACCGACATTTATGTCGATTGGTACATAGAATTTATTAAATTTAAATTTTATTAATATTTTCTTAAGTGAATATAATTGGGATATGATATGAGCGGAGAAATACTCAGGACCCCAAGAGCAACTCAGATAGATTTGATTCCCGCCCTCGACATAAGACGTAGACAGACCCGTTTATCCATTGAATAGCCTTCAACCGTTGACTTTTGCTGAAGATTCTCAGAATGCCGTCGTCGGAAGGGAGCAGGTGACGGCCCTTTTTATCTTTGTTCTCAATGGGTCGGATCGCACTACGCAATGAATGGCTTACCTCTGAGATGGGCCGCTTTTTTTATTTGGGCCTCAAATGATCTTTCTCCGTTTTGGGCCGCACTGGCGTTTGGATCTTTAACAGCTCCTTTTTTTTTTTTTTTTTAATCCAGCTGATGAGACCTTTCATGAAGCAATGGGCTGAGCTTACCTTTTATCTTTAATGGGCCATGCCTGAAACTAATGCACACAATGGATTTTCATAGGTTTTGTAAAAGCCATATAAAATAAGTATATTTTTATGGGCTGTTTGATGCGTTGACTTCCTACACACATCAGTTTTTCCACGAGTCCGTGCATTGGTTTCTGCATCATTTATCTCCCAATATTTTTTGCTAATTATTAACAAAAATAGAATTAAATGGAAAAATTGCCGCAAATGTTGAAAGTATGTCTGAATTTTACTCTGTTGTTGTCAATTTCATCATTTTGACTTAGAATTAATTAACGTAAAATGATATTTAATTCATCAAAACTCTCCAATCAATTCCAAAAAGGGAACGGCGACGCTGCCCGGTGTTTTACCTCAACCCAAAGATGGGCTTGGCCCGTGGGCCCGGTATCTTGGAGCACATGGGAGGGCAAACCGACGGACTGGTCAGAGAAGGTCTATTGCTGACTTCTTCGGGCTCGTGTGAGAAATCCTAGTCTTGTGTAATGGGCCGCGACAGCGATAATAGTTGCTGTCGGGGAAATGAAGCTAACAATATTACCTGTAATCTACGTGTGAATATCAAACAAAGCTATAGATAAGTATTTGATTTAAATACTCTCTCTCTCTCTCTCTCTCTCTCTCTCTCTCTCTCTCTCTCTCTCTCTCTCTATTCCCCCCCTCTGTTGAACGGTCACATGATGGAGCAGCCCGGCTGGGGTTCTTCGTAGCAGTAGAGTTGGCCCCCAGGAGGGAAGGGATAGCGCGGCGGACAGGAATGGCAACTTGATTCTCCGTTGAGGCCATGGCAGCAAGGGGTGGCCGTACCGTAGGGACCATCGTCGTCGCAGAGGGCGCTGCGGTAGGCGATGGGCCTGATCTCCGGCGACGAGGTCCAGCAGCAGCTGCAGGTGCCTTCTTCGCACCGTCTTCTGTCCTCGTCGCCGAACGTGATATCGTCTCCACTCCACCTGCATCTTCCCCATCTCCTCCTCCACCTCCCTCTCTCCTCCCTCTGAAAGAGGATCTGCGCCTGCTTCCTGAACCTGCGATAGATCTCCAGGACCAGGGAGGCCGTGTCCATCGTACCCGTCACTGTGACCCGGTTGTTCTCCGCGTCGACGGTGACGATTTCCACCCCCTCCACGTCGTGTAGCTTCCTCTTCACCTTGTGAGCACAGTTGGCGCAGTGGAGGGGCACCGTCAACACCACCAGCCTTCTGGTTGGCGGTGGCGCCTCGTCTCTGCATAAGCATCCATTGCCTGCGGGGGGGGGTGGTGCTTGGTCCAAGCTCGAGCATCCGTTCCCCATGCGCTCCTCCTCGCAATGGTTACCAGATTGGAAGCAACACGCGAGCTTTCTTGATGAAGGTCGGTATATATTCAGTGGACGGAGGGTTCCTTGCCTGTGCAACCGCACAAGGGTTTCCTTCCAAGGTGGTCGGGAAGCTGACGGAGAGATTGTGAGTTCGATTTAGTTTCCTCTTTGGGGAAGATTAGGGCGGCGCGGTGGCCTTGTCGGGATCCTACAAAAGGGTCTCATATAGAAGTTCCACAGAGCTGAATACTTTTTCCCGCGGAATAATAGCAAGTTATTACTCCTTCCGATTGTCAACGAGACTTGACTGGCCCGAATCTAGATACCAAATTGACCTTTTTCTAGTATGAATATCCATTTAGCCCAATTTACAAAGAAGTCCATAAATTCAATGCTCATGAGCGCCGCGCTATCATCCGCAATGTTGACCCTGAGCTATGCTACCATTTTTCACAGGGAAACACACAAAAGTCACTCAAGGGGCGTTGTATTTATCGTCTCTTTATCAATATATAATATAAGTCAACATCCCCCCACGTGGTCAACTGTCACTTTGTATGTCCACGTGAGGCGCCGTCATCGGGACATGGCCCAATTATTGTACTGACGACTTCAGGTCGTTCGCATCCCAAATAAGACTGCGAAGAGTCCCTCCTGTCACAGACCGTCTCCCGTCGTTGAGGGCCATCACCATCGCCGCTGACGGTCATCTCCACACGAGCGACGGCGGGGCGAAAAGTAAGGAGGCGGTATTCGCGCAAAGGTCGTCACCGGTAAACCGTACGCCAGATGGCCATCTCGCGGCGCGAAGACTTCTCGGCGATGCACCGCTCCTGACACAGAAAGACGGTAAACGTGCCCGCTGAAGTCCCTTCGCAGGAGCCGCGTAGAGTTATTCAACGCAAAACAAATTAGGTTTTCACCCAGAGACTTTGCATTAGCTCCCAATGTCAAAGCACAAAGTCTCCTGGGTTTTGACAATCTCACACTGGCGGAGGTCTTCTGGGCACTGTCCGCGCACAGCGATTGCAGCGCAATCAGTACGCCACTGTAGCTTCTCGACGGGGGTCCCCTGCGGCCGCGTTTATACCTCAGCTACCACCTTCCTACCTTTCTCTACAGATCTTCCTGGGCAATCGTCAGTTGATGGTAGCGTCCAACGCCGTTTGATTCTGTTTTACACCCAGGGCACACATTGTCCGTTAATTTTAGTGGATTAAGTGTTCCGCAAATAATAATCTAGTGGTTCGACTAAAGGAATGCGGGTTTTCGCCGGGCGGCGATGACCGCTTCCCCCATCTCCGACCAGGGAAACAGCCTGTAATCGAGCTACTTAGCACGGCCCAGGCCTGCCGACGGCCCTCGGCCACAGGCCAATATATTCTCCAATAATGCCGCCGACGTCTAAATAGAGTGGCAAACTCCACTTCCACTAGAACGAAATTTTGTATCATCGTGCAGCCGACTGACTCTGGTCAAGCTGGGCAACCCTCCGACTCATCTCCGAATACACTTTTGAGGACGAGGAAAACGACATCTCGACGGCAGCGTCCCAATCGGTCAAAGCACGCCCGTCAGAAGCGAAGAAACTAATCAGCATGCATTTGAAAATTCCACGTATCCTGAGGGGGCGGGATACTGTCGACATCTGATAGTAATGAAGATGAGAAGAAGATACAACTGTACGTCAAATATCTCCTTGTATCACTTCTCCTCTTCTCTCCAAACCGGTGGCTTAAAGTGTGAAATCCTAACACGTGCATTGATTTATCTCTCTTCTCCCGCTGTGTATAAGCCGGCCGACATCTCCACTCGACCTCCTTCCTCGTTTATAAATACCCAACACCTTCACCTCCGTTCTCTCCAACTCTACTAGAGTTGTCCTCTCGCCGTCTTCAAGGGACGTCTCCGGCAATCAGCCCGATGGATCGTCTGCGTCTGGTCGTACTCCTCACTGCGGTGAGTATCAGGCAGCTGCCTCTCATCCTCTCCGTTACTAGATTCTCCCATTATCTGTCTCGAAATTCAGCTCGGGGGTGAAGTTTTTATTCTCGTGTCTTTCAATCTGATATCCAGTGTCTTTTGTTGAGAAACTAACGTGGGCTGGCGTCGCCTCCTTCGTTCTGTAATTTTCTTGCATGGGGCTCGAGTATGGTGTTACGCGAGCAATAGTTCTCCCCCAACACTACCGTTTTTTCAGAAAAATCTCATTATACTGCACCCCCTCAGAGTGAAGATATCATACCTTCGACTTGGCGACTTCTCTCGTGCGTACTTTTGCTTCTAAATTACCACATATCGTACTAAGCCTAGAATCATGTTTACCTACGTCCTCAAATGATGCTTTAGCTCGTAGTTCGTCTAATAATCATCACTCACAAAATTTTCAACATCAACTGTTTTACTGCCGCAAGTTATCTGGATCTTAAAGCTCTCGTGTCTTCCTCCAGATACAGATCTCAATTCTGCCAAGTCATGGAGGGTTGGTCGATCAGGAATACTGGAATTCTATGCTGCCCAACACGCCCATGCCCAAGGCTGTCCCAGATCACCTCCACCCTGACGGGAATGCAAAGAGCGTAAACGTCCATCAAGAGATGAAGTCAATACCGGCGATATTCTTTTATGGAGCTTCCAAGAAATTCAACGGAGTCCCCGATAACCAGGAGAAGAGGATCCCCTCAGCCCCTCATTCTTCTAGCCGTAAGGGCGATCTGATCGACCGCCCTACGGCCGAATCCTTTTTCTTGGAGAAGGATCTGTACGAAGGAGCGAAGATACACTTCTGGGCGAACAGGGTGTTCTCAAATGATTACTTTCTCCCCAGCAGGGTGTCGGAGTCCATCCCCTTCTCCTCCTCAAGATTCTCGGAGATCCTCCACCTCCTCTCCGTCTAGCCGGATTCCCTACTGGCCGGCCGCATGAAGGAGGACCTCCGCATGTGCGAGATGCCGGCGGGCGCCGATGAGAAGAAGCGCTGCGCCACCCACCTCGAGGAACTGGTGGACTTCGCAACCTCCGCCCTTGGCACGCGCGATGTCCGCATCCTCTCGACGGCGGTGGGGAAGCGCGTCCTCGGGCAGATATACACCATCTCCTCAGCCACCGCCGTGCCGATGCAGGGGACGGCGTCGGTGGCTTGCCACGCTGTGGCCTATGCCTACACGGTGTTCCACTGCCACATGATCGCGGCCAGCAAACCCTACGTGTTGCAGCTGTTGGGGGAGGACGGAACCAACGTGGAGGCGGCCGCCATGTGCCACGCCGACACCTCGACGTGGGATCCCGCGAACAAAATGCTGGTGGTGCTGAACGAGAAGCCCGGCGGCGCCACCGTGTGCCACCTACTCCAGGAAGGCGACCTCCTCTGGGTCCCCCGCCGTGCCCGCACAGACGTCGGCGTCGCTTCCGCGTGATAAGATGATACAGCAAGGTGCAGTAATAAATATGACGTCTGGGGTACGTGATCTCTAACAAATTCGTCTAGAAGTTTCGTAGATCAAATATATGCCATGTTTTTACTCTTTTATTTCCAAGAAAATGATACAATCAAGAGACTTCATATCGTATTGTGAGTAGATGTCCACTGTAATATGGAAACGTGTAGAAATGCAATGCAAGTAACAGTTGGTGCATGACGAAGAACCTGTTTACTCTTCTTCACTCTTCATTAACCTTAAAACAGTCAATCAAATATCTTAACCTAGTGCCCCAATGACGCAGCTAGATGTTAATAACCAATATTATGAAAATATATCTCAAGAAATAAGTAAACTAGGGCCGCCTAATTGAATGCAAAAATAAATTAAAAAACCCATTTAAAAAAGGATAATGACGAACTTTGCAATTATGAGTGTATAGATAGAGCTATGCGTTGTACATTTGTTGTGCAACTATGGAGGAGTGTCCTCCTAATCCCAAGCGAGTAGGTTGAAGTGCCTAAGAGAGCTCGAACCAACGATGATAACTTTTGGAAGTTGTGGTCAACGTTGTATTCAATCATGTGTTGGCATATGGAGTATGATAGCTAATATCTCATCCTTGACTATGTAATGTTCACTTAATTAACATTGTTAGAAAGCTTCTACCATCAGTAGAGTGTGACCAAGAGAGTCAGAGCAGGTAGCAAGTAGTGACAAGTATGGCTCTGCACATTACACATGTCCCAAGTACTTGCACTCATCTCTTGCTCCATTTAGTTTCACAGCTAGTCTGTCTTGAGTCTTAATCTAATATGGTAGTGTCTCACATACACATATTGACTATGCCTTCAACATACTATGTTGTGTATTGTGCATGGTATCATCACAATGGCAAGGTTTCCTCATATACAACCTTGCATATGTTGAGATTACCTTTTCATATGCATGAACCCTTAGTTGATATTAATATTCTTCATAAGATCATCTCTTCACAATCGACCCACCTAGGATCTAATATAGTAATTGCTCCATAATAAGTCTTCATTATCATGAGTTAATAATTTATAAATAATATTATTTTAATATTAATTCATAATAAATAGACTTTTATTTTTGTTAAAATATAAAAAGTAGTTTTTAGTTGATTAATGTGAATTTTTAGATAATTATGTGAATTTATACGAATTTATATAATTTTATAGTCTTATTTTTGAGAAAAATGAATAAAAAGAAATAAAAATAAAAATATAGTAAAATAGGGGAGCCCCGTCGGCTAGTCAGGCCTGCAAGCGGGTCGGAAGTGCAGTCGGGGAGTAGCTGCGAGTAGGGGCTCGAGCGACTTTGACCAATGAGGGCATGTGTGCGTCACTCCCCTTCCATATCACTGGTGGCCAGCTGACTGTGGGGCAAAGAATGGTCATACATGCGCGGGAAAGAAGCTTACTTACAAATGTAACATTGTTATATATTCATTCAAAAATTTGGTGCACAAGCGATGTGAGACTAAACCCGCATCACACCCCCAAAAAAGGCAGGCAATCAATAGGGGTTCGAATCCTCCCAGAACCAAAACTCATATTTTTTATCTGATTATCGTGACTTTTCTGCAAATTACCGGTGAAGGATTAAGCAATCAGAATCGTTTGATCATTGGTGAAAATCTTATTAATGTGATTTGGGGAGCATTGTTACTAAAATTGTTGAATGATTCATGATAAAAGGATCGCAAATCCCTCAAGTAAAGCATCTCCAATTGATCAATGAACAAGCCATCGTTGAGAAGAGGACGATATGCTGAGAGACGAGTCGCCACCTCTTGAGAACATATCGGATGTGATAAAGAGCTTCCTCTTGCTGCGCAAACCTGAAGATAAAGCTCTTTGACATGTGCCCCACTTCCGTCCAGTTCTTCTCCATCAAGTGACAGTCGTTAAAGAGTCACAAAGTCGTCATTCTTCTACTCCACCGAGTGACAATTACCGAAGACGATTCGACCACCCATTTCATTGATCTCTAAACTTCATAAAGAGATCTAGAAATTATCCACGTCATCTTTGTCTAAAGAGAGCCTATGAGGTCATAGACACTCCACAACAATCCTTCAAAATACTTAAGATTCTAGTATATTATCGATGTATAGCCGCCGTGACACTAGAACTCTATTTTTCTACTTTTAACTTACTTTTTATTTTATTTAATGATAATTTGTGTGATTTAAATTTACCAAGATATACTTTATTTTATTACGATTCTTTTAGATTTTACACATCTTAATTTAATCAATTAAATCATCTATAATCACTTACATAAGAATCACCAAGTGAAACTTTATTTTTGCCCGATTCTCATTCGCTAGGTGCTGATGTCATCTTGACATCTGATGACATCAGCACCCTTATTTCTTTTTTTAAAAATTTAAATATATGTTATTTTCATTTCTTAGTATAAAAATTTTAAAAAATAGTATTCCTTAAGAAGAATTCTAAATAATTACCCAATATTATATTACATCCTTGTGATTGACTTGAAAAATTATTGCTATTTTTGGAAGTTTATTGAATTATAATTGATATATTTATTTATAAATATTTTTAAATATTTGAAAATTTATATTTTCTAATTTTATAAAATTTAAATTTATATGATTTACTATACAACGACTAAGTCACGTCACTCCTTAATGACTACATAATTTAAAATAACGTATCTAGTATGTTTGGGATTGAAACCTATAGAAAAATAATGTACTATAATATTATAATAGAAAGTACTCATGTTGTGTGAGCACCGAATTGATTTTTTATTTTAACTCATAAAAAAGACCAATTCAACGTATTGATTGATTTATGGCTTCATTAGACGTGACAACTTATGAAATTCACATGTGAGAAGAGGAATTATCAATCAGAAATGGGGGAGAGGTGAAAGTTAGAATCACCATCGATGAGCACATCAAGGGCCAAACAATTCAAGGACATTTGTGAGATGCTCAAAGTCAATAGAGATTATAAACATCAATTGCTTAATACAGCCCATGAGGTCAAAGTCAACGGCATCTCCTCCTCGAATACCAATGCCCTCTACTCTCTAGGTTCCCATCACTCTAACAAGACTATCTTCTGTTGGCTTTATCTTTTGTACTTGTGATATGCTATTCTATGTGATCAAAAGTCAACGGATTTGTCCAGCTCTTCAGTCAAATAAATAGGCTGATAAATGTAGCTGACCCCGACGAAAACTTGATGAACCCAATTGACGGCCCAATGGACGGACCGAACCCTCAATGAGTGGCGGCCGCGTCTGTGCTCCGGCCGCCGCTGTTCCACACGAACGGGCGCCGCCGCCGGGCCCCGGCGGAGGCGTAGGCGTAGGGCCAGGAGCAGCTTCGCCGGCTCCGCTATGATTTCACCGCCATCGGTCCCCTCGCCTGCCCCACGTGACCCTCCCAGGCCCCCAGTGGCCCCTCCCGTCAGAAAGCTCTTGATCGAAGACGGACGACCAGGATTAACGCTCTGCGTGCGGGCCGCCGACGGGATCGTCCGATCGGCACCGGGCAGGGGGAAGACCTGGAAGACGACAACCGACGACGAGCCCGGAAAAATCAAACCCCACTTGGTCAACTAACTGTCTCCGGGCCCACATCTTCCCCGGGCCCCATTCGAACAGATAGCCACTGAGCATCCCTCGCTTTCTCCCGTTCCCGCCCACCGCCGACGGACGTGGATAGATCGTGGGTGCAGTGCAGTGCAATGATAGCGATCACGGGCCGATACCGAGAGGGGACCACTGGGTGGCGCATCCCTCGCCGTACGATCCGAAAAAGGAAAATAGACCGTAAATAATGAACCAAAATGAGGGTATTTAGATCATTGAATAAGGTCACCACCCTCCCCTCCGGCTCCTTAAATGCCCGAGCCGCGGGCCGAGCCCGTAATTAATCTGTCGAGGGCGGCAGGCCATGGCGCTCTGATTGGCCCCACATTTAAAGCCCCTCTAGCCTCGAGCCCCATCCTCTAAGTATTTGTCCTCAATGATCAATTTATTCACAATATGGCCACTCCGAGGAGGCGACAAACCACTCCCACCTCTCGCATTCTGTGGGAAACTGTTACCCTCCTCGTCGACTTCCGGTGAGGCGACGTTTGCCGAAGAGTGGAGTACGTCTAGTACAGTCCTCCTCCTCCTCCGCCGCCGCCGCCGATAGTCGGAGCTCCGCCGGCGGACCTTGGGCGGCGGGGAAACGCCCCGCCTCTGTCGTCGGTCTGCGCTTGGGGACTTGCAGCGGCTTCGTGCGGCGCGCAGCCGAAGGGCCCACCGCGTGGCCGGTTGACCAGGCGAGTTGATTCCTCTGATTCCAAGGGGCCGAGAGGACGAGGAAGCCGGAGGATATTGAGTGGAGGGGGAGCTCAGAGCGGCGACGGAGGAGAAGTTCAGAGAAAATGAAGAAGAAGAAGAAGCTCCCGCGGAAGGAGGAAGAAGGGGCAGGTCAGAAATAATGAGGGGAATAATTCTGTTTTGCAATGAGCTTAAATCTTTTTATACCTGAAGTAAATAAGCCAGGGGCGAATAGTAATTCACGTCACGTGGCGCGCCGCCAACGGCTATTCGCGACTCGGGCCGGCTGAAAGAAATGGTTTAAATGATCGGCATGTCCCGCCGGGGAGCCGGAGGAATCAAGACGTTGACGTAAATACCCCGCGCGGTCCCTAAAATGGGCGGCAGTGGGGGAGGTTATATCTCGGTAAGCGTGCAAGGGCATTTAGGAGATAATCAGGTGAAAGTGGGCCCTGTAAGAAAAGCCAAATACAGGAGTCACACCCACTTCTTTCCCCTCCTCATCCGCTCGGGCCCTTGTGCTTCTGAGGGTCTGCGAATTTCGCGGTAATGGCGGCGGCGGTAGTTGCGGAGAAGGAAGCAGCGGAGCAGCCTCCCGGGATACTGGTGGCCTCGACGGCGGCGGAGTCGCCGGAGAAGCTCCTCTCGGCGTACATCGGCGTCAGCTTCGCCGTCTTTCTAGGGCTTCTTCCGCGGGCGGCCATCTCCCACCTTCCCAGCTTGCAGGCGCGCAACAGGGCGCTGTCCATGAAGCTTCTGCAGGCCGAGGAGCAGCTCCGGCAGATGCGCTCGCGCCGACAGGAGGACTCCAAGGCCAACGCGCGCGTTGTGGAGATCTTCGCCAGCCACCGGAACGCGTGGCAGCAGGAGGAGATGCGTCTGGTGGCGCAGATCGAGAGCGCGTCGGAGGAGATCGACGCGTTGAGGAAGAAGGTGGCGGAGATGGAGGCCTCGGAGGCGGAGCTCCGAGCGGAAGCGGACCGGCTACGGAGGGAGGTTGGCGAGCGGGACGAGGTTATCGACTTCATGTCGCGGAAGGTGGAGGACGGATGCGGAGAGGAGGACTTCGCCGAGAAGGAGGTGGAGATCGGAGCGTACGGGAACGAAGTCGGAGGCGACTTCGGCAGGAACTTTGAGGACAGCCGCGGAGGTCTCGGAAGCTATCATCCTTCAGAGTTCTCGACAATGGGAAAGAGCAGGACCTCGGAGGGCCGGAATCCCGTCCCGGATGTCTGCTTCTATGAGAAGAGTGGCAATTTCGAAGAAGCATCGGGCTTGTACTCTGAGCACCACGGATTCACCAGTGACCTCCTGTCATCGGCATCGAAAACGTGGACAGAGCGATCCAACTGTTATCAGGTTCGTGGTCTCCCCCCTCCCCCTTCCCTTCCTCTCCTGTGACTCCATCGATTCCTGATCAGCTGTTCTCGCGTATTCTTCTCTTCTTCTCTCAGGATTTCCACTACGAGTCCCTCGGATCGCTCTATTCCCCGAAGACTTTCGTGGCGAGGTAACAGTCGAGGAAGTGGTGTGGTGGGTGGGGGGGTTTTCTCAAGAGGCGCAGTCACCGAATGGAAACCAATTTCCCTCTGTTTTCAGAAGGGAGTCTCCGTGGAAGGTGGACAGCGAATCGACCGGCGTCTCCGCCAAGCTCAAGTTGCTAGAACGGGAACTCGCCAACTTGGAGCAGCTCTCGAGCGGGGACGCGTCTAAGATTCCGTCGTCGATGAGGAAGCAAGCTAAGAGATACCAGTCACTTGCCGCAAAGGTCGATGACCTGTGCAGAAGAATGGTGAGCATGGCGTATCTAGTCGAATTCGCGTGAATTTCTTCAGAGATGGTCCAATGTCTTCTTCTAAGCGGCTCTCTGGCCCATTGCCCAGCAAGTGAGCGACCCAGGGGAGCCGACCCTGGGGCAAGAGTTCCGGACCCAGAGGCAGACGGAGTTCCTGCTGGAGGTGTTCCACCTCCAGCAGCGCGCGGCGGAGACGAGGCAGAAGCTGACGGCGCTGCAGACGGAGACGGCCAGGGGATCGGGAGCGGAGGAGTTCTCCGGCCAGGGTAAGCTCAGCACGCGCAAGTCCATGGACTCGATCAGGACCAACTTCAAGGAGATCCAGAGGAGCTTGGAGGTCTGGCTGGCGAGGATCATGGGTGACCTGGAAGGTATTCTCGCCAGAAATGGCGTCTCCCGTGTGAAGGATTACTGTATATCTAGATACCCTGTGGTCTGACTGATAGGTTCCTTAATCTATGTTCACTGCTACTACCGCCTCCAATATTTTTTGTCTGATCTGCTTCCGCCTTCCCACATGCCGGAAACGTCTCGTTGCAGTCAGGTCTGCCTTTTCTCACCCTTTAAAAAAGAAAAAGTGATTTAGAGGAGGGGAGGACGTACAGACTCTCAGTGAAAAGGCTTCCGAGGACAGGAGGGACAACATATCCCGCCGTAGGTTGGATTCCCCTAGTGCACAGGGTTGTGCAGTCAGGTGTCTCTCTCTCTCTCTCTCTCTCTCCTGAGAGTTTCACTGCGGATAAGCGTGGGTAGTGGGTGAAAGTGGCAAATTAGATGTCTTAGGATAGTAGAAATAACGGGGGAGATGTCCCAGATTTCAGCGAATAGGAGCAACGGCACATACTCAGGGTAGGCCTTCCGGCGGCGGTACCCCCCCAATGGCGGTCGCTCAGGCGGCGGCGGCGGCAGCTTCCTCCAGGAGCTGCTTAACCTTGGTGATGTAGTCGTTCATGGCTTCCTCCTTGGATTTCCCTGCAGACCGTGCCCACAGTCAGCTGAGCTATCATCAACTCACACGGTCCCTCAGTCAAAGAGATAGAGCGAGAGAGCGGACCTTCAACAGCCTTCCAGGCGTCCCACTTGGCTCTGTCCCTCTGGTTGAAGATGCCAGGGCGGGCTGCAGCAGGAATACAAAGCTTGAGCAGAATCCGGGACGTTTTCTCAGTGAAAAAAAAAGAAGAAGTAAAAAATAATAAAAAAAAGAGGATTGAACCCAACGAAAGAGCGAGAGGCGATTACGATGGCAGTTCTGTTTCCAGGGTTCTGTCTTTCTCCTCGAAAGTTGGAACCATTATGAAAGAATAAATGAATTGTGGCAGATTCCGTAAGCCGAATTAAATGGAGTATTTATTCATCATTCATCCCCAAGCCCCCCCCCCCCGCTTTTTTCAGATGTGGGCCAAGAAATTGGTACCCTGAGAAAATACATGCCCGGCCCAAACCGGCCCAAACCGGTCCGGCTCTCCCTCACAATGGGCCTCCTCTCCTTCTCCCAAAGTGAGGTGACCAGATAAAATGCATATTATGCATAGGGCAATGAAATTAGGGAAGAAATTAATATGTTATTTAATTAAAATTTTAAAATATTGGAGTCAATTTTTTAAATGATAATAATTATAAACCAATTGTTCTTTAATATTTGACAGATAAGAGCATATTCATACACTGAGATATAACACAAATAAAATGGATATTTTTTTCGGTTGTATTAAAATATTAATATAATGATTATGGGCAAAACACCAAAATATATAAAACTATTGATATGTTTTTTTAAAATATAACGATTTATTTATGCATCATTTTCAGACTAAGAAGAAGGCGTGACAGAACCGCGTTGTGTCTTGGGAAGAGCAAGCCGACGATGGCTTGCACAATACTTAATGCTCAGAGATGCCAGCAGGCAACAAATAAATGAATGTCTCTTGATAGTGGGTTCAGAAAATGAAGTGAGATGGATCCAAGGGCATGTGCATGTGAGATTTATTCCATGACAATTCAAACAGGCAGAAGTCAGGTCAATGCGATGCGCATGCGACAGAGATGGATCATATACGATTCTGAAAAAGAAGGGGGAAGAGTAATTACAAGTATTCACGGGACCAACAGTTGCCTGCTTGAAGAGACCGTAGAGGATAAGTTTGCTCTCGTTTGTGGTAGTCTCAGGGAGAGTCTTAGCCTTGGCAGCGAACTCCTCGAACTCTTCCTGCAATGGACAAAGGTCCAGAGGGTCCAAGAGGGCTTATGAGAAGACACAAAGAAGGTTCCCGTGGATTGATGATATAATCATCAACAAATGATACTCTTCCGAGGGGAAGATCTTCATCATTTTCATCTATGACGTGAGAAACATGCGTCGACGTACGTATACGCGGAAAATAAGAGACATAGGAGGGAAGATGGGGAGATTTTCTACGGTGCGTGGGAGAGTAAGCAAACGATACGTAATATAAGCTTACGATTTCGAGGAACTGACACCCCGCATGGGCCGCCATGAGAAGAATCAATCGCTTATAAAGTAAACGATATCATCCATGAAATGGAAGGATGCCTTGAGCACACACTGGACGGATCGAATCTCATATAGCGGAAATTTTCTGGGGCAGTGAAAAAAGAATAAGAACCAACTCATATATCGAGTCGAGGCAGACGCAGAAGCCCCAAGCAGCGGAACCATTCCTTCGTTCGGATACACATCGAATCCCAAGATCAAGAGAAAAAAATCGATCACACGGGGCAAAACGACCTGATTCGCCGATCTTGTGTATCCAGAGACTCGAGAAACCGAGACTTACATCGGTCGTCCATCATTTCCGAATGCAGATCAATAAGTTCCGATCGGGAAAACACGAACGAACACACGATGTCCGGAGACTCGCAAAAATCTCCAAAGAGCACGCACGACAGTCGGACATCAGATCCAGTGCCGAATCACGCTCGCGTCGATTCAGCGGCCGTGATCCAGAGCATCATTGGCACCGCAGAGATCGAAAGAAACCTGAGATGATCTTCTGGAAAAGAAAAAAAAAATAATAATCTGATACCTGGAGCCCCATCTCTCGCCGCGGTTCCTCTCTCTCCCCCTTTCCTCTCTCCTGTGCTTCCGACGCCACCAGCCAGCACCTCCTCCTGCTCTTGATTATATCTGTAGCATAGCCCTTTTTAATCCACGGCCTCATATAAGCCCCTGCGTACTTCTAAAATTACGGGACATACCACCACTTCGGTGAAAAAGATCCGGAATCCGCCTTCCCTGTTTTCCCCGTTCACATTTTTTTCGCGCGCTAATACGTGGCAATACGTGGTTCGTCAGATAACGATGAGCCCATTTTCGACTCGCGGGCTGACCAAATGGGCCGAAAACCCAACCGTGCCAGGCTTCGAAGCCCATATTATGATAAATGGGCCTATATGCGTCTGGATCAGAAAGAAAATTATGGGCCAAGCCCAATATCCCACCGATGGAACTGGAAAAGACATCCTGGAACTGATGATGGTTCCCAAAAAAGGAGAAAAATCAGAGAAAAGAGAGAAATTCAGACAGAACGATGGGGCTAGAGAGAGAAAACGAATAAAACCCAGGGAAGGGAAGGTGCGCATCTACTTCTTCTCTTCCTTCTCGGCTTCCGCAGCCTTCTTCAGCCTGGCGCCGACCTGGCGCTGGTTCATCCTCTCCACGCGGATCTTAGCGTAGGCCTTGAAGGCCTTCATCTCCTCGGTGACCTTCACAAGCTCGACCAAGGGCTTCCCCCCCTCAATGGGCAAGAACTCGCCTCGGACCTGAGAGACCGTCGCCAGCTCTTCCGGCGCGGAATCGCCGGCCTGAATCACAGGGAAAGGATGCCCGGTGTTTATATGGGCACGACGATCGTATGAACCGGGTACCATTCAGAGCATAAAAATTGAATCTTTGGAGAGGAAGAACAAATAACCCAGAAGCATCGGAGATTAAATCGGTGGGTTCAGGGTTGACCTCGGTTGGGCAGATCTCAGACCCCCCGACAGATGAACAAAAAATCTAAGCAATGGGCCCGGGGTTGGGCTGTGTTTACCTTGAACTTGCCGGCGTGCCTGGGGAAGATGACAAGCTTGGCCTTAAAAGTCTTCAGCCTCTGAAGATTAGCCTGGAGACCCTCAAGGGAACGGTTCCTCCGGCGGTGATCGACAGCAATGCCAATGGTGGGGGCGAGCTTCTTCGGGATCCCTGCCGCCTGCGTCGGGCACGTTGACCAGGTGACTGGATCAGTTCCTATTATGTGGAATTAGTAAGTATCTATCAAAATACCTTGAGCTCTTCGAGAGAGAAGCCCCTTCCGGCTCTGGGTTTCATGTTGTACTTGAGCGTCTGGCACTGGACGATGGGGCGCAGAGGTCCTGACGTCGGGCGCGGGAAGATCTTCACCGCTTTCTTCTGTCTAGCTGCAGCGCAGATGGGAGAGCGAGCAGGAGCAGTCACGGTGCAGGTTTAGAAAAAAAATTTGGAACGAGAACCTGGTTGACCGAAAACATATGCACTGCCGATGAAATGTCCTACCAGCACGTCTCCTGGTCTTCCGAGCTGGCTGGTTGAACCATGTCTTGACGTAGTTCTGCCAGTGCTTCTTGAAATGGGCATTGGGCACGACGTTGTTGTGCTTAACCATGGTGCCTACCTTGCCTGGGGGGAAGAGGAGAGGGATCAGAGTGAGAAAGAAGAAGAAGAAGAAGAAGAAGAAAAGGGCAAAGAACGAACTGCACCAGTGTCCAGAGTAACATAACGGGACTGGATATTTATAAGCTGCCATGAAATTAACAAACAAAAATGGAATAAATCTTGCACTAGCAACTAAAAACTATGGATTCCTGCTCATAAAAAAAACCCTAGAAAGATCAAACCAGAAATTAACGACAAAAATTGGATAAATTCTGCATTAGCAACTAAAAACTACGGATTGCTACTCATAAAAAAAAAACCTAGACAGATCAAAGCGGAAATTAACAACCCAAAATGGAATAAATCTTGCATTAGCAACTTAAAAACTATGGATTGCTGCTCAGAAGAAATAAGCCTTGAAAGATGAAATCCCTAAGCCATCTTCGCAGTTACAGTAATCTCCGAAGAAAATCCACGCGAAGCAGGAAAAAATCACGGCACCAGATGAATAACCAAACAGGGTGTGTCTTATCCCGTCTATTCAATAACAAAAAATGTACTGAAATGAGCCAAAATATGATGGCCAATCATTTAAACTTGTTAGGGGAAGATGGTACAAATTGCTAAGAAATCCTGTCAAGATGGTTGCACAAGTTTCAAATGGGTGGGTCACTTATCACAGAGACCAGAGCTAGAGCCCAACGAGCTCACGGGAATAAGCCACCCATCACCAACCCTATAAGATGATAGTTAGCCGTGGACAACTTCCGCGCTAGGAAGTGAAGCAGCGGCAGCTAAAAAGGGTAACCAGTTTTCTCGGACAGCGGGATAGATTGGCTTCTTCTTCCTCTATTTCGTTGAAATCGAACGAAAAGCAACGGAAAAATCCTACACGTCCTGAGCAGGGCAGGCGCTCTCAACGCGGATCAAGCAACAGCCGTAAATAATCCATTCTAGCGGTGCAAGAGATCCACGCAGACTCCGTCAAAGGAAACTGAGACGATTAAACATCCTCCACGGAGCAGAAACGGCATTGAATTCTAGATAATGAAGGCTTCGCGACGAGACGCGGCACGGTCCCGATCGATAAAGAAGATGCTACGGAAGCCGGAGAGATGAACAACGTATGAAGACCGGCCGGAGATCTCACCACAGCCGAGGACCGCCGCTCCGCGCCTCCGCCTCGCTGCCCCACTGCTCGAGAGACGAAAACCCTCGCGAAGACGAAGGAAGAAATCGGGAGCCCGCAGACGATCTGGACGGTCGAGATTATTACACCCCGTAGACGAAGAAATCACTATAATACCCTCCCTTCTCCGATTATTCCCCTCCCCCTCCGGCCTCCGGATTGTCAACTAGCCCAAAATGGGTCAAAATTAGGTTGAAAATAGGTCAAGATTTGTCCAGCGATTTTTTAATTAATTAAAAAAAAGAGAGCTCAAATTGGATCGTAGCCAACCAGCAATCTAGCTAGAGAGAGAGAGAGAGAGAGAGAGAGAGAGAGAGAGACTGTTCAAAGGAGAAGATTTAGAGCCGCCAACTGAGGTATCCCTTGGCGCTCTCTCCGAACACAGTTGCCCAATGGAAGCTTTCTCGATTGGGACAGGAATCGATGTGGAGGTATAAATAGCTTGGGGCGGCGATGATCGGCGAGAATTCCCCATACAAATGCATGCAGTGAAGCGGGGGGAGAGAGAGAGAGAGAGAGAGAGAGAGAGAGAGAGAGAGGAAGAAGAAGATCGAGTACAGTTGGCGAGTTATGATTGGTCAGAGGAAGGATTTGGCGGCTCTAGGACCGGAACCACGGCAGACTTGAGCTCCACATGGGAGACCCGAACGGCGCCGATGAGCCTCTCCGGGAGCTCCTCGAAGGTGCACGCCTGAGATGGGAAGAGAGAACCCTTTTGGCCACGTGTCGCAACGATACCGTATTGGGAAATGTAAGAGGAACAGGGTAGGTAGGGTTAGTGTTACCTGTATGAGGAAAGCCATGTCAACGACCAGCGTCGTGATCACGCCGCAGACGAGGCCGAGGACCCCATTGGCCACCGTGGATGATCCGATGTCAACGTCTATCTGCAGAGAGATTCACCTCAGAGGAGAAACCATGGAGCTGGGCAACATCTGAGAGAAGACTCTTCCCCACCTCCAAGTAGTTTGATCCGCGAATGTAGGTACAGTCGACGGCCTTGCCGAGCAAGCACGGCGTGCTTCCCACGCTCTGCCGCACGATCCAGGATCCCTGCGGGAGGATTGAACCAGGAGAATTGAGGTGAAGGTCTTCAAAGCTTCTGGACAGACGAAGGAGATTGATTCCTCAGGTGAGGAGAACCTTGGGGACCGATGGGATGAGCTTCAGCCTGCTGTTGCGGTACTCGTCGTCGGCGTCGACAAAATGCTGCAGCAGGGACCCGGGCTCCAGCCTCTTCGTCACGAAGTAGAAGACCATGCTGTAGTGCGTCGAGCCGGGCACCTGAAAGCGGCAACTGAGCTCAGAAATGGGCGCCCAGCTGTCTGTCAAAATCTACAAGACTCATATCCTGGATCTTCATCTAGGAGTCTATATCTTCACGGGAAGACTCCTCCCCCGGGGATCCACACACAGTTAATACTTGATCACATTTCAAGTGAATGTGAAGGATCAACACCTGGAGTTATGAACGCGGCCCACCTCCTCACCTATCTAGAGAGAGAGAGAGAGAGAGAGGGAGAGGGAGGGAGAGGGAGCAAACATGGCAGCAAGCCTATTCTAACAGAGATTCTAGTGTATATCAACAAGGAAGGAAGAAAACGAGCACGTATATCTGATCCTTGGCTGAGGAAAGATGCTAGAGAGCTTACTTGCAGGTTCACGACGAGAGAGAACAGCCCCCTTTCTAATGCAACCTACAAGAAAAAGGAGAGAAAATGAAATGAGAATCCCTAATCATATGCATAAAAATAGCATGGATCATGGAAGACCAAGGGAATGGGGAAAAAGGTAAGAGAATAGAGAGCACTGGAAATAGAAACAGGAGGAAAACGAAACTGAAAATATTATAGCACAAGGCAGTTGAACAGAATACACTAGTTTTTTAAATATAAACAAAACATGCAATGAAGAAGAAGAAGAATGACAGAGCAGGACGAGCTGCCCCAGAGGACTGAAAAGGGTGTTGATCGGTGCTCCTAAACAGATGACACACAATTTCGTACGATACAGATTCATCAGAATGTTGTTAGCGTTAGTAATCTGGTTGCATCCCTTCTAAGCGGCTGCTTGAACACCATCTTGGTACTGTGAGAAGGCAAGGCAAGGCAAGGCAAGGTGTTTAGGAATCTACAGAGCAGGCCTAGAGGTGGTGCCACTGGAAACTGATAGGAATATCTAGTGCCCTAGTAAACAGATGGGAGTCCAGTGGTACTCTTGAAAAATATAGAAATACATGCAAAATTTCATGCTACATTTATAACACCATTCAATAAGAGATAGTTAAAAAAAAAAATACGTTTTATTGTTGCGAAATCAAATGATCCAGGTTCACATCCCATATTAAAAAATGGATTAAATGCGAAAATCTCGACAAAATCAAAATCTTAGACAAGAAACCGTGATTATTATTGCACACTTAACTGTGGTATCTCTTGCTCTCTTCAATGTCTGTCCATTTAGCTTGAGCATAGGGGCTCTTAATCTAAGAATTCCTAGTATTCCTCTTTTATGTTTCAAAAACCAAACAAAGATACTAAAAATAGTTGAATTATTTTAAAAAATATTCGAGTATAATTGAGTAGAAACAAACATAAGACCAAAAATGGATAATATATAGCAATTGCGTCTTATTGGATCTCACTTGCGCTGCACAGCCTTGACGCCTCGCAACGTGATCTATTCGTTTCACATCTTTGAACCAATCTACAGCCACCAGATCCATTAGATGCTTTCCAGCAGGAATCTGCAGTTTACATCGTAGCCAGCAGTGAGATGAATACCGTAGAGTACAATCTTGCAAAACCATCAATTTTGGAGCATTCAAATGCTTGATTTAGAAAGAAAAAAATACCTTGGTTTTATCATATATAAAGTGTTTACTGCGGACTCTGAAGTTATTTCCATCAGATAGCCTCCAGCAATCACGAGTATTGTCTTTGTCATCCCGACGCAAATTGCCCGAGAACCAAGACAGATCAAGCTTATCTGAAAGCTCCTCCGCTAAAACTTAAGATGTTAAACGGCCAAAATTAGAATACTATTTTGGAAGAATGAGCTTATTGTGACAACTAAGAAAAGCCATGACTTGTAAAACTGTTGTCAACCTGTTTTTTTCACTTCAGCCCCAAATTCAATCAACTCCTGTAAACAGAAATAAATTCAGATCAAACAGAATCATGACCAATACAGTGATGCAAAATATCAAGTAAAGAAGTCCAACAATACCTCTTTCTCAGTCTCAGGAACCAGATACTCCTCATCTTCATCAGATTCTTCATCTAATGTGCCAGAGGTTCTGCTGTAAGATTGCATACGATCGACAGATGAACTCGCCCGAATAAAGCCCTGTCTTTTCTGATTTGTCTTAGAAGAAACAGAATCAGAAACCACATCAACCATCATTGGGATCCTTGGAACTGTACGGTGTTCATCTTTTTGAGAAAACCATTCACGCAGACCTGATATCATTTGAAGTATTAACAAAAGATCAATAATGATTAAAAAGTTGCATTTTTCTAGTGAAAAGCACCCATTAACTTTTTATGGTTCAATTTAATCAGATCAATAGTCATCCAACACCATGAAACCACCTGTCAAAAAAAATACACAAACATCTCCATCTAATCTTACATTGCAAATGACAGTTCTTAGTTTACACAAGGATAGTCGGAGTTATGATTGGATCACCTGATGCTGTAACCGTTTTTATCTTTCTCCCGTATGCTTCACTAAGTCCGCCTCGCCTTTTCTGATTTTCTCTTTTTTATTTATTTTCTGCTTTTGACTAAGCATATTCCCTACCCCGCTCATATCGACAGGATAAATCTTGGGCTTTTGATCGGATGGATAGGTAAAATATGATTAAAAACGAGGAGAATATGGTGGCTGCACAAATAACACACCGTCTAGGTTTTACTGATCTAGGTTGAAGATTGAAAGTTATGATCTAGGTTTCACTGAAAGTCCGTTGACATCAGTAACAATGCAGAAATCTCTGCTCGTTGTGATTACTTATGCAGAATATGGAATCGCCACAGGTTTTCAGAGACGTGAAATTTCAACTCATGTATCGTACTCAATAGAAAAAAAAAATCCTATAAAGCGCATATCTATAAGTAAACACTGAAAAACAGAGAGATAGCTACCAGCGACACTACTCAACATTTGTAGTAGACAGCGCTGCTGAAATGATGGGAGATATCCGACTCCCCACCCCATTAAATCAATTTGCATTAGATGCTGCACTTGTGTTCGAGCTCTTCCATTACGAGGCTTTAAGGGGGAAATGTTGAAACCGCCGCCTGGAATTAAATATGAGATATAGTATAAGATAGCGATGATGCAGAAGGTAAATAAAAGTAATGTATCAAAAAAGATTAGCATGAATAAAAGAGGATGGGTCGGAATGTACTCTCAATATGAGCTCTCACGCATCCTGGTTGAGGCCCACAGCTAGCATGCTCTCTGGAACGAAACAACACAACTGCGTGACAGAAAAAGAAAATTATCTGATTAGAAAACTGTAAAGTGTCAAAATGAAAGCAACAGATTATCAAGTTCAATTCTCACCATAACTTCCATCATCATTACGTCGCCAATAACGCACATAGCAAAGATCCCGTGGCCAAACGAACCTAGATAAAATGGATGGAGAAATCATCAACAGTGTGACACAGTCTTTTAAACAAAAATATGAGAGATAACTTTGTAAATAATAGAAAATAAAACAGCTTGCAAAGAAAGAGACCATGATGATTAGTCTTCAATCTTTCAATAAAGTGCTGTTTCCCCAATATACTTCGGGTATATACTATCATAAACGTCACTAAACACACGGCTAGAATGATGGCAGATGGCAGAGTTAATACCGACGGGATACAGTTTGAAAAGAGAAGTACACGAGAAAATAAATTCATTTTGCAAAAAGCTAAGATCTGAGTCTATGAAGTTGCAATGGAAAAAAAATATTCAGTTAAACTTATCATTCAGTTAAACAAATTCAGTTTTCAAAAGAAAACTTTTCTTCTCAGATAGCAAATTACATGGGAAACCAGTCCAGCTGCAGCCTTTGGTAAAGTATTGCTGTGTGCCCATCTACTTCTTCAACCAAGCTGCCATCTTGAAAGCTACAGTCCCACCTAAAATTCGGAAAAGGAAAAAGAACTAGGAACATAAGACCAATCAATAAGACTTGAAGAGAGTGTTGAATCAAACAACTTACTCAAATCGTGTTCCATCCATGCTCATTACAAGCTCAAATATAGAATCACATGGGGCCTCCACCACACCAACAGCCTTCATAGCTCTACTGCAGCTCCTAGGCTGCACAACAATTTGGCTAAAAACATAAATGTGGAAAATCACCAAATATCATACAGCTGAGCACGTACGAAAGAAAATCTTTTGATAAAAATTGACAGCGCTCACATACAAGGTAATCAACTTCAAGAAGTTCTTCAAATATTCTGAGCCCTGAAAATTCCGCATACCAAATAATCATAAATAAACTGTACATGGGATTATCATCCAGATAAATTACAAGGAGTATTTAATGATCACAAAAAATGGCCAGATGATTTTCTACTTGCCATTCTGGCATCTAACTAAACGCCAGTGCTTTCTAGAAAACACTTGATCACTGTTACTTTGATTTGACAGCCCAGAGTCCACTTCTTGAGTCCAGTCAAGCACTGATTCAGGAGGACCTGCCAGTCAAACAGTCGCAGATCATGCAATGCAAGACCTATAGTTAGAGACACAAAATCCTGTTAAAAAATAAAATAAGCAAGTTCCACGCTAAATTTTTGGATACCATTCCCAATCGTTGTTCTCCGTAGCAATGTACGGTGACTCTCTTCCTCATCCTCTGGACTGTACCTACACAATGGTTAATCAAATATTAGAAGTTTGCGTCAAATGTGATGTATGTACAAAAGGGAAAAGGCTACTTAAAATAGGAGAACTAGGCGCTCTCCGAAACAGATATTTTAACCAAGCCTTGTTACGCAAGCAGATTTGAATTTGAGCACTGAACATGGCAGAGTATAAATAGATCCTCTCAAATTGAAGTATACCAACGATAGAATAGATTGGGATGGCATTGAAAGATACTTTGCACGTTGGAGAGAAGTAGTAGTTCTCATAAAGAAAGATCCCAAGTTTTCTTCAAAGCAGCAGAAGGCCATAACTTTAGATCATGAATGACAACACAGTGGGTGGTGGAAAAAATGAAAGGCTCCCTTAAATATTTGAGATTCAACAAAATAAAGATCTTATCAAACCTTCCAGCGAAGCCCAATGGAAGCCATGAAGAAGATAGATACCGTTGCCATTGGAAAAGGAGAAAATAACTTTGCTAATGCACTGCACTGGACTTTCTCGAACGGATGAATTAGACACAAGTTTGCGTATTATATTTAGAATTCCCTTCTTCTTTAAAAGTCAAGGTCTTGATGTGCAGGACGTCACATGGAAAATTTCATTCTTTTGATCAGATGCCTACCTTATGCCTAATTTTCACAATGTATGCAGTCTCTATGGGGGAGGAACGGAAGACGTTGGAACACTTACCCATTGCTCCTTCTTTCAGGAGATTTGGAACAAATGAAGCCTTGACCTAATGTATACAGTGGCAGTGCTAAAAGTCATATTGGTGATCCTTGACTTATATGGAATGAGCTGGACAAAGAAGATGGACGACACAATCGGGTGGTTTACTCTGCATCCAACTATCTCGAGTATCTGGATGAACAGAAACATGTGCATTTTTATACGGAAGAGATATATCTTCCGACGATTCAAGGACAACAGACAAGCTTACGAGTGGGTGAGATTGGGAAGATTTGCAAGAGAGAAGAACGTTATTTTGGGGCTGTTAGATCGTAATTTATGTTTTATAAAATGTTGATGGAAAAACTACGCTGCTATCAAAAGATTTCTTATGAGAGCCCATGGTTTATACACTTTCACACACTCCTGACCGTGATACTGAGGTATTAACCATTTTCGACAAAAAAGTCGTAGTGACCCACTGTAGCAGTTTTGAGAAAAAAATAAATGAAAGTGCATGAATATCCCCGACACTGAAATTGCAATGGTGACAAATTTAAAATGGATGCCCAATTTTCCAGTTATTTTATATTGTTACCATCTTATCTGAACAGATAAAATGGATCAATTGACTTTGCTCAGAGCCAAAAAACGATGTCAATTTAATTGTTGTTTTAATTGCCCTGTTGACACAAAACTTGAACCATGAATATCTTAATTCTTTAGTTTTTATGCTCTTTCCTTTTTTTCAGTTCTTAATACTCTTTGAGGATTCCCTGGCACTTCAACACCTGGTAGGCTGGTTCACCACCATCTCTCATGCTATCCACAAAAGAAAATATAGACATTAACCACTGACTGCATCCATTAAAGGAATTCATAAAGTTTAAAGAATATGGCATTTCGTTCGCACATTTCAATCCCTCCCTCTCTCCCCACCCTTTAGTTAATAAGTCAAGAAAAATAAACCTCATGAACTACTAAAAAGCATCCTGCACAACTCCATAGTTCGATTTTGATGAAATTTCTACTTATTGATCCCGCATTTCTTCTCGTACAATTTATTGACTTCATAAACTGCATGATCCTTTTCATAATTCGATGTCATGCTTAAAACTAATGTCAGGTTGTCGAAGGGTAAAACATCAAATGCAAATGAACCATTTATGGTGAAGATCAAACCTTGAATTTCAAAAAACTTTTAAAGATCTACATTATTCATATGTATGTGCCCTTAAATCTGTGAAGGGGAGACAACACTTTACTTAAGGGTCCAGATCGAGCCTGAAAATTGGGCTGTCTCAGGAGGATCTGAAGAGCACTAGTTTGACCAGTAGCCTTCCATTTGTCTCAGTTTTTCATGTTAGAAAGAATCTGCTCTGGCGAAAAATTAGTAACAACCAACAAACTTTTAAAATTTTCAGAAGTTCCATCAAATGACAAGTCAGCCAATCTTTGCCAAAACCCCTCAACAGCTATAAATGTTGAGCGAATTTTAAATTAAATAGATTTTCAGTAATGATAACACTGACTCACAACAAACTAATCAGCAATAGGAAATCAGAACTGAATAAAATGGGTAATTTACATCAATAACTCTCGTGCAAATCCATGTTCTAAGTTTGAAGAGATAAAGTACCACGAAAAATTGGTTAGTACAAAGATTGTGCAACCATTTTTGTCCGAATAATTCTGTCTAGTGCTAATAAGTGAGTGTGGCCCTCCATATACCATCTAGATAATGCAGAAAATCGTGTTTGCTTCTGATTGCTAACATGGAATCCAAAATCCGTTATTTGCACATCTACGATTACATCGAAAATAGCTAACTGAAGGTATATAACTAGATGAGCTTCTTGGATGCTTTAAAAAAAACATGATGTTGTTACTTACTGGCTTTCATTATCTGACGAGGAAACAGCCCTTCCACTGTCCACATGCGTCTTATACTCGAAGGGAGGATAGGATTTACGACCATTAGACAAGGAGCCCTGGTGCCGAATCAAACATAAAGATTAAAAATTAAAAATGCCAATCAATAAAATAAAAAAATTTGTGTTGGAGGTAGGGAAGGAGAGGGTGACAAGGAAAAGAATATGCGGTGTGAGCTAGTTTTTATAAGGAAAAAATGGTATGCGATCGAGGAGAATATGTGAAGCAACACCTTAGTTACACATTCATGTTACCTTAAAAAAAGAATCCTTGACAGAATTTTAAAAAAAAAGATAGATTATGTTATCTGATGGTTGCCCCGTGGAGCATACAAGTAAATTTCAATAAGCCCCATTCATAAGGAACTGCACCTGATAAATAACAAGCTCAATCTTTTCCTTCCAGGCCAGAGCATCCTGGATATTAAATGCTGCCAACTGTTTCAGTGAAAACATCATAAGAATAAGCACACACAAAAGTCGGTGAAGAATTTATATCAGATTTGGTTTATGTTCAGCATATAAAAGCCAGGCTGATATGATAAATAAAGGCCAAGAACATCAATCCGTGCTATATAATTGGTATCAAAATGAAGTTCGAGACACTCTAAACAAGAAACAAACGGATATCAGAGGGTTTTATGGCTTCATCATGTTGACAAAAAAATAAAAAGGGATTAAAAGATAAGAAGACACATTCACTAAAAAGACATGTCTGCAAATTTAAACGACACAAAATAGAAGAGAAATCTGGAAATATCGATTAAATCATTTATCCTTACTCCAAGCACTATGAAATGGAAAAAATATAACATATTTGACAGAAATATAGAGCTACAAAAAAGATAGAACGTAAGACCATGAGAAAAAGGAAATAAATAATTTAGGAAAAGTTCATTACATACTGTTATCCGATGGTGCTTCTCTTTTTTGTTGTATACCCATAATACATACACCATCTGCCAAAAGTATTTTATGTCAACATGCTAAGTCAATATCTAAAAAATATCCATCATAGTTAAGAGCGCCAAGAAAGTACAAGGCATGTAATGACACGACTGTATCTAGAAGCGTCTGTAGGATATCACGATTCCATAAATATTAGCATGTGTTTAATTGAAATTCAGCTGCACGCAACACAAATCGATGAATAAGTGAAATTCAGACTCAACTATGACGTTAAGCTCAGCAAACACTAATACTATGACTCTATGGAAAATTACAGATCCGCTAATTTGTAAGGCTTTCCATCGGGCCAAGACCTTCAAGTGGTTTCCACACATGTTTGGGGACATTCTGTGGAGTTCTACCAAATGTTGAATAATGATCAGAGAAGAAAGGAGAAGAAAAAAAATCACAGAAAGGAGAAGATGAGCAGAGAAAGAAAGGAATATGGCGTCTGCCAAAACTATAGCCTAGAAAATCCATGAGAATGATAGTCATATCAGAAGGCAGGTGTCTCCGCACAGAAAAGTGATTGTAAATACAGATTGTACCCTAAAAAAAAAAGACAAGGTTCAGCCATCAGTTCTTTTTACTCTCAGTCTACAATCATTTAAGTTGACAGCTCCAACAGTTCCCTACTTTAGTAGATTTCAAGTTTCCGAATCAAATTTCCACTTGGCTGTCAAGACGTTATTTTATTTACATATTTTCCAATTTCTTAGTCGTCTTAGCTTGCTAAACAAAACCCTTTCCTCTGCATTCCTAAACTGAGCACCCTTCCAGCGGATACTCAGACGAAGAACCTCAACAGTGACTTCCTCATTGTGCATTCACAGAAAACATGCCCATAACTATGACTATCAAACTTTCTTGGAGGAGAATTAGCAGAGGAAACACCATAGCAGAACCAATGTTATTGACATCAATCCCATTATTCTTTCCATCTTTAAAAAAAAAAAGGGAGATCTAGAAAGCAGGTGGGTCGATTAACTCTATCAATGTAAGGAGGGAAAATGAGACGGGCTCCCAAATTTGCCCATGATATGCCACGATACTGAGACTTTACATAAATATGATTTAATGAAAATATCGACTCAATTATGGCAGCTTCATAAACTTATACTTTACACGTGTAAATTTCTGTTCAGCAATATTCAATCTAATTATCAATTACTTTCCAGACATGTTTAAGAATCATTTCATAAGTCAATACGCAAGCTGAATTGGGTCAGCCTTTATACCTTATTCATATTCACCAGTATAACGGATAAGTCTTTTCATGCGCCTATTTCAGTGTTTACGTATCATATTCTCCAAAGTTTGATAAAAAAAAGTTTGTTTCAAGGTCGTCATGTGACACAGAACGAAGCCCACAATTTAAACTTCAAAAGAAAATTCTAGGGAGAACAGAAAAAGAGCTAAAATATCCAAGATATGATTGGAAGCACATCATGCTCTTCGAGGTAACATTGGCAAAAAAAAAAGGAAAAATGGCAGAACTATATGAAGGATTTAAATTCTCTTTCCCCTACAATTAGTATACGACATCAGACAATTGGCTTTGCAATAAGTTTTTCCCCAGCCGACGACGTGTATTGACTGGAACAACAACGAGAAGTACATACGTGCCCATGGTGTGTTTTAAGTCCCCGCTCATCCACCCTGCAGTTGCCATCAAGGAGGAAAGTCTTGATCGGAACCTATGCACACCCAGGTAAGCGAGTCAATAGTTTAGCAAGTTGACGGGAATAGATTCTCACATAAACCGAATTATCGAGAGGAAAACTTGAACAGAGCGTCGACGGCGCCGCGTCCAGATCGAATGCATAAGAAATTAGCACGAAAATAACTCAATACCGTTTCGTCACCAAATATTGAAGCCAGATCAATTACAATAGTAGAAGGAATAAGAAAACACACCATGTTGTCCTTTGGTTTCCTCTTGTAGTAGGCGAGAAGCGCGGATTCGAGGACGAAGTACCGCATGTGGATGAAGGAGCGCCCGATCTTCCTCCGGCCATACCGAACCATCCACCCTTCGTATATAACTTTCCTTGTCGCCCCCGACATCCCCATCTCTGCAAAACCTCTTCGACTGGGATCGCCCTCCTCCGACGCCATCCCCCGTATGCTGGAGTTCCTAAACCGTCCGATCTTTACGACATCCCCGAATTCCACGGCTTCGCCCGCTCCAGTCGAGGATATGCGCACAGTCCACCGCGAATTCCAACCGGATCCAACCAAGACCACGCATATACCAAACGGCGTCCCCAAATGACGCAGTTCTCCGTTCGACTGTTCCAATCCCCCAAAGTGTGATCAAATCGCTGCCTGGGTGACGAAATCCCACCCTGCCCGCCGGTCCTCCGACGGAAGATTGTCGCAGTCAATTCGGCGCTGCTGAGCTTGACTGCGAGATCAACACAACCGCGCACGCATAGGAGGAGATCAAGAGGAGAGGAACTCTCGAACAGCGGGGACTGTCCGATGGGGCTTCCCCGTTCCCCACCAGACGAAGGTGCGATTCCTTCCCTACCCTCTTCCCTCCCTCTCTCCCTCCCGCCCTCCGTCCCCTGATTTTCCTGGAGAATATTTTCTTTCGGATAAAAAAAAACAGCATTTACGTAATATTTTTTGAAAAAAAATCATTGCCCGTCTGACGGCTCCCCGCTGCGCGCCGGCGTTGATGGGCCCACCTTTTCTGGCTTTTCATACTCTGAGCTCCCATAATTTATTTTAATTATACCAAAGTCCTTCCCTCCTTGAAAGCCATTTTAATGATATCCTTTAATTATTACTTGTTACTGTTATACGCTTCCCGGAGGAGAATTAGGAAGAGTTAATATCTACCTTGAGACAAATATTCAACAATCTTAGACCATGGTTAATAAGGACATAAGAGCTAATAAAAAATATAAGGTTATAAACAGTTGAAAAGGCTTTTTAGAGGGGTGAGCATAAATAATCCCAAGCGTCGTGATATCCACTCACACGAAGATAGCGGTCAAATCACCCACCCTCGAGGTATCCCGACAGAAAATTCACAAAAAAAAATGATTATATAAGGTAACTCATTATGTTTCCGTGACAATATATTTATCATGTTTAACTAATTATTTAGAATAATATATGTGTGAGAATATTTTATTATTTTAGAATAATATTTATTATTTTATTAATTCCAACAGTAATGGGAATTAAAATCTGTAAATCTCCAATTCGTGGGATTTTATTATCAAAATATTTAAATATATATGTATTTTTAAATAATTGGAAGCCTTTGTGGGCCCCACAAACTATTTTATTACAGGACTGAGCGGGAATAGGAAGGGATGGAGAGAGTACAGGGCCATTAGCGGGGAAATTGGGCCGATATGGGCCGGTCCTTGCGAGGGAGTTGGGCCAATATGCTTCCCTTGAGATCGAAGGTTCGTGTCGGTCTCGAGAATGGCGCCCGTCGCTTTACAGCAAGCGTCCGTTCTTCTCCGTTTAAAAGTTCCTGCTCCTGCTCCGTCCCGCAGCATGGGATGGTCGGAGTTTCGGATTCTCGCGGACTCCGAGAAGGTCGGGTGGCGTAGTCATGGGGCAGAAGTTGGGAGCGCTGTGGGATAGAATTCAAGGTATGAGCCGCGTCTCATATTCCTTCAGGGAACTCTTGAGAACCGTGGCTCTTTGGGCGATCTCTCTCTTCGTTTCTATGCATGCGCCTCCTGGATCTGTGGATAGATATTTCGGAGAGATGGGGATGTGATTTCTGGAAAACCGTGGCTCTTTGAGCGATCTTCTCTTCTTTTCGATCCACGAGCCTCTTGAATCTGTGGGTGGATATTTTCAGAGAGATGATGATGTGATTTTCCCATTTTCTTGCGCGTGTATCAGGGAAGCGACAGGTTCTGGCAGTATGCGACAAGGTCTTCGATCGATGCGCGCGCGACGATTTCTTGGGGTTAACTGAACTTCACCTGGCCACCTTGTTGGTCTTCGAGTATGCGAATCTTCTGTCATATGTTGTATTTTTGGCTTGGTCGAAATACGATCATATCGTCCGATCATCGCGATGCTCATCTTTGCTCTCTATTTTTCTTATTTATTATTGCCGGATGCTCGTACACGGTGTAGGCAGTAAATGCGAATCTTCTCCCAAAAAATTTCTACACAAAATATTCTAACCATTAAAATCATTCCAAATTTCATCGCAGCTGCATCAACAAGAACTTCCCAAAGCCACACAAGAGTCCGCCCAGCCAAGAAGAAATCGACGACGTGGCTATGGTATGCCTCCCTCCCGCTCTAGAGCTCTTAGTTCCTCTGAATTTAAGCACAAACTAGAACTGTTTATGCCACCAATCATTTTCTAGTTTCCTGTTCAAATTAAAGTAAATTGGTTTATGATTCCCTCTCGGAATGCGGCTACTCTCCGAGCTCATTAATGCATCTCGGAGAAGGCAGGTGAGCAAATAATGCAGAAAAATAAATGCCGACTCTGATCAAGCTACTCATTCAATCGGTTCCATGTCGTTCACGATCAAGTTACTCATTCAATCGATTCCTACCCAGTTCTTGATTGGTGTAGAGAGCTAGCTATCCAGTGCAGATGTTGTGAACGTTATAGCTGGCATAACTCCAACAGCATTACCAACCACTTCCCATAAAAAAAAACTTAGTTGCCATAGTCTTCTTACAGTAAGTTCCTCAGGATTTTATCTGCTGCTCTACTTCTCCAAACGCTAAGACTCCATGAATCTACCCCGGGAACTCTCCAAGCTGAAGGCATCAACACCATTCCACCAACTAAACGGAAAGAAGAACGAAAACCGGAGCGCCTGGCCATTCATGTTCTCAATCGACTGGCTTTGATCTGTCAGCAACCATACATATACCCTCTGCCCATTTCCACGATGGTCACTGAGACCGTTCGTCTGCAGTATATCTTCTTCCATTCTGCCTTATACCCATTTTGCTATCACTTCCATCTTCCTACGAACTTCTTGTGACCGATCTGGATCAACCGATAGGGAGGACATCCTCAAATCCTGACAGATCTCTTGGATTTCACGATGACTGCAGGAGCTCCGGCTCAAGGCGCAGGGGAAGAACGCGATAGACCGCGCTGAATTCGCTGCCCTAATCTTGAGGTGGGTTCAGAGAGACCTCACCGTCTACCTCCGGAACAAGGTTCTTCACGTACTCACGGCGGCGGGAGCGATGGCGGCGCTGACCAGAAACGCCGCCACGTCGGTCCCCAGGATCAAGCGCGTGGTCGACACGGTCCCGACGCCCTTGCTCGCCTCAGCTTTCGCCATCTGCTTCGCGTTGATCGAAGATGTTCGGGTTGAGTAGCAGTAGATTTTCACTCCGATCGGCGGCGGGCTACTTTCTATCAACTGCTTCGCCTCCGAGGTCGACATCAAGAAGAACACGAGCTAGGGTGGATTTCTGGAGCTACTTTAAGTCAACGCATATCCGTCTGGTTACGGAAAATTGCACATAGAACCTTCAAACAATATGTATAATGTTATTGACCCCAAACGCCCGGTGTTTCTTTTTGTGCGCATCTAAGCTCCTATTAGTTGGGTTGAGTACGTCAAGGTTTTGGGGCGGTGGCCACGTAGAAGATCATATCGGCCGCTGCGCCCCCATTTCGTTCGCTTCTTCCCTCTGAGGCGCCGCTCGATAGGCTATCCGTCCGTCTTCCAGGGGAGCGCTAGGGCGAAGGCATGGGGCAGATCCTCGCGACCGCCCAAGAAAATTATCAGGAGAAATTCAACGGTGCCGCTGCGTCCCTAGAACATCGTCTTCTTCCTTTCTTCTCATCGTCGGTATCGCCCGGGGCTTCCCCTGATTTGGGATCCCCGGAGAGGTGTTGATTTCCGCTGTTAGGTTTTATTTCTGTCGACGGATCTGCGCGCTGTGGCTGATCTCCCGTTCCTCCCCCCCCCTCCCCTCCCCCCCCCCTCCCCCCTCAATCGACTTCTTCGCTTCATTCTTCTCGCAAGGGTTTCTGGTCCGAATCAGGCTTGATCGTTCCATTGCTGAGCGCGTTGGCTGCCGTTCTTCTCTCGCTTTGTTCTTCATTCGTGAACGATCGATTTGAGAGTTCCGTGTGTGATAGCATCGCCTTGGAATGGTCAGGGAAGGAGTGGCGGGAAGAACAGGTCAGGAAGATTTCGGACAAGGTCTTTGATCGGCTCTGGGACGAGTGCGTGAAAGATCACCTGACCTTCGAGCACGTCTACATCGCCGTCCTCACTGTCTACAAGTACGCGCGCTGCCCCCTTTCATATGCTGCGTCTCTTCCGATTCCCTTCTCCGTATGCCCGCTTCATTTCCTGCAACTGTTTTTGCTTCAGCGACATCAATAAGCACTTGCCCGGGCCTCACAATGATCCTCCCTCCTTGGCGAGGATGAAGGCTATGATGGAGGTAAGTCGCTGGATCTCTAGAGAGTTTCTCCCTCTGTTGCACACCGCAACGACTGGTCTCATCTTCCTTAGAAGTGGATCATTTGTATGGTTCTGTTCATCTGAGCTCTGCTAATTCTAGAACCCTAGGAAAAATTCCTGTAGATTTTTGTATCGAATTGCGGAAAATATGGAGATAATCATTCACAGATGTCTTCGCGCAGGAGTACGACGTGAATCTGGACGGGCTGCTCGACCGAGAAGAGTTCGCGGAGTTCATCCGGAAGCTGACGGCGGACGCGTTGACTTCCGTCGGTCGGAACTTGTTGATCGCCCTGGTGGTGGCCCCCGCCGTCGCTCTGGTCACGAAGAAGGCGACCGAAGGGGTCCCCGGTGTCGGCGCGGTGGTGCAGAGGATCCCCAACTCCATCTTCGCCTCCGTCGTGGCCCTCGCCGCCGTGCTCGTCCAGAACGCCGCCGACAATGCCAAGTAGCGCCGCCGGTCCCCCCGGCTCTGCGAATAAGGATCCCGAAGCAGGTGGTTAATGATGTAATTTTTCTTTAGATGAATTTAAGGAATATTAATTATATCGTGATGCGAGTTAGCCTGGGTTCTCCGAGTCGGGCGAATCGGGACGAGCGAGTCGCACGGTAGATTCCCAAAATCAAAAACACGCCGGAAGCGCTTCCGGTGTAGGCGTTTTCCCTGCCTTCTCGCTGGAAGTCGTTTCGTCGCCCACTTGGCCACTTGGCCACTAGGCTTCTGGGTACGTGTCCCCTTCTCCGTCCTCTCCTTCCTTGCTGGCTTACTAGGTCGCGGCTCGGTCATAATGGGGCTCGGCATAGACCTAAATATTTTACTAATGAAGGTTGATATTTATTTTTTAATGTTTGATAAATTAGACTGATCGGATCGCAGATCTGTCGCGTCGCATGGGGGGGGGCATCGCGGTGTTCATTAGGGAGAGGAGAAGGAGAAGGGAGGAAGTAGCGGGGGAGCAGCCAGGCAGGCGATCAGGCAGACAAGGAGGGAGAGAGAGAGAGAGGGGGAGGGACCTGGCTCCTGGTGATCCGAAGAACTTTTCGATCCTCTCCAATCCGATCGCTCATCATTCGCAGTCTCCCTTTTTCTGTGCAATCAATCATTGCAGAGGAAGAGGGAGGAGAAAAACAAGAGGAGGGCGAAGGAGCTCACCGTTATTCTCTCTCTCTTCTGCCAGGTACCGACCGGAATCCCTACCCTAGCCTTCATACCGGAAAGAGGAATAGACAGTTCACCGGAGTAGGGAGGGGAGATCGCTCGTAGCAGATTTTGCGTCGCCCGCGAAACCACGCAGATCGGGGTGCGTACCGTGGAATTGGATCCGCAGGGCTCATCGATCTCCGCTCCCGCGTCCTAGAAGATTTTAATCTGTCGAACATATATATATATATATATATATATATTCAGTTATTATCAATTCCATTCGTGATTGCCGTTGATCGAAGATGCGAGCTCGTTTCTTCCACGCGATCTAGGGGTTTTCTCCGATTATTTTCTTTTCCGATCTCACGATTACCATCTGCGGCGGACGTAGCACAGGCCTGGGCCTCGGATCCTTGTTCCTGCCTTGGTTTTCCGCTCATGCAGTCCTCGAAATGAGGAATGATCAGCCATCCCGGTTTCCGAATGAAAAGTTTTGCGTGGAAATGTTGGGGAAGGAGACCTTTTGATCGATCGCCGCCCTTATTTTCTCAGTTACCACGGAGAATTCATCTTCTTCGTACTCGATGGAGGAGGTCTTGTCCACTGGCAGAACTTGTGATTCGTCGACCTTTTCCTGCTCCTTTTATTCCAGCAGTCGTCTCGGTTAACGGGGGGAGGCGATGGGCTCCTTCCGAGGACACGCTCTCCCTGGGTCTCTGTTCCTCCTGGTGGGCCTGTGGCACGTGTGGAGCTCTCTCTCTCGATTCGCCGCCGCTCCCAGTTCCTTCCGGGCGCGAGCGTGGAATCCCGCCCCCGAATGGCTCTGCGGCGGCCGCCTCGTCCACCTGGAGCTCTACCTCGTCGTCGGAGGCTCCTTGCTCGACCTGTGCATCGAGTTCTTCTACTCCACCCACCTGCGGATCTTCGTCAACGGCGGCGTCCTCAACCCGGCCCACATGAACGACTTCGAGCACGCCGGCATGCTCCTCATGTTCTTCCTATTCGGCTGCGCCGCCCTGCTCTCCCAGACCACTCGGTGGGTCCCCCTCCCCTCTCCCATCTCCTCCGGCAAGTTCCCCTCCGTTTAACTCGGAGAAATCTTCTGCGATTCAGATTCCTCCCTCTGCCGGAAGGCGCGCTGTGTCTTCTCGGGGCGACGGCGTTCACGGCGGAGTACCTCCTGTTCTACTTCCACTCCACCACCCACAAGGGCCTGGAGGGACACTACCACCTCATCCTGGTCCTCCTCGTGGGGCTCTGCGTGGCCTCCTCCGTGACGGCGGCGCTTCTCCCCGCCAGCTTCCCCGCCGACCTCTGCAACGGCGTCGCCATTTCCCTTCAAGGCCTCTGGTTCTACCAGACGGCCTTCGTGCTCTACGGTCCCATGATGCCCCGAGGCTGCCGGCTCAGAGACGACCAGATCACCTGCCACTCCCCCGGCAGCGAGACCCGCGGGGAACTTCTCGCCAATTTCCAGCTCTTCTCCCTTGTCCTCCTCGTCCTGGTGGTGGTCGTCGGACTGTACACCGTAGCCGCCTGTAAATACGGCGATCCGACGGAGGAGCTCTCGAGCCCTCAAGAGGCTCATTGAGGATGAGATAGTGGGCCAGGCCCAATTGCGCCGAGGCCCATTATCCATCGTAAGATAGTGGGCCAGGCCCAATTGCGTCGCAGAGCACCGCATGTGAGAAGAGCCCAGATAGGCTACTGTAATGGGCGAGGCCCGGGGGGAGGGAAGAGTCCAGACAGGCTACTGTATTGGGGGTCTCCTCAATCAGGTGCAGGTCAGCAGGGCGCGTTCGTTGACGGGAAGCCCACGTAGGAATTAAAAAAAAGACATTTTATTTATTTATTACGGGATGATATTAGATAATATTATTTAAATGAGGGCGGGCATAATCGGGCAGAAACGACAGAGCGCGGGGCACGAGATTCGGTGAGGGAGATATATAGGGGTCTCCGGTAGCGAAGACCGTTATGCGTAGAGGGAGGCGAAGGTGGCGGTGCTTTTTGTACGGCGGTGGCCGTCGGCGAGCCTCCTTGATTGACCCTAATAAAGAAGTCCCTCATATAGAGAGAGAGTGGGAGATAGTACTCTGGGTAACATGTGCCGGACCCGGATTCTCTCTCTTGATCTCTTTGCGGTTATTAAAGCTCATAGACTCATTCTCTCTCTCTCTCTCTCTCTCTCTCTAGTTTTTCGGCGGAGGCGTCGACAAGTGGATGAGATGGCGTTGACTGTTGGGGACACAAATGGGCATTTCGGGTAGATGAGATTTATGGGGAGAATATTAGCTCCTATTTGACGGGGATTTAACGGGAAATTTAGGTTTTTTATGATAGTTGAATAGTATTAGGAGGGTCGTCATTGTCTTTAAAAACGGGCATCCGAACACCCCACGCCTTCATGGAACCCAGAGGCATTATGGCGAGGCGACGACTCTCCCCTTTCGGGCAACGTCATCTCTCTCTCTCTCTCTAACTTCTCTCTGCATGTGGGGATCTGCAGACCCCCTCGAGGCCCCTAGAGAGTAGTAGCAGGAATAGTAGTAACTCTGCGTGTGAAGTCATGGAGGTACGGAAGTGGGGGGTCATGGAGGAGTGGAGGAGAAGAAGCTCGAGGCCTTTTTAATGGCGTCGCCACCGCCGCTCTCCCACTTGCAGAGTGAACCAGGCAAAGCCGAGGAGTAGAGTAAAGCGAAGAAGACGACCCAGAACGGGCCCCGCCACCTCCCCCCGCCGCCTCGGCCACAGCTTCCTCATCGTCCTCTTCCTCCACTTTTCTCACGTGAACCCCCCCCCCCCCGCGCCGCTGTGTCAGCCCTGATGCGACGACATCTGAGGGAGCGCTCGTCCGCATGAAACCCTAGAAAAGTCTTCTCTCTCTCTCTCTCTCTCTCCAACCTCGAAGCGCAATGGGGTCGTTAAAAGTCACGAGAATGGGATCTGATCTCCTAAAGTAGCAAGAGGAGGAGCTCATCACCAGGTGTACCTGCGCCTGTACAGGGCTTCAAAAACTTAGGAAACCATTACAGTACGAAGACGAGGTATCTCCGCCCCCCCTCCCCCTCCCGGGGGCAGCCATTAATGGCGCCTGGTTGCAGGCCCTGCTCAGCGGTAAAACCCGCAGTCGGAAGCCCTCGGTTAAGACGGTCATCTCCCCGGCCCCCCTCCTTTCCCATCTCCGGTCGCCGGTCGGCCTCTGCGCCAACAGCTCGCCGCCTGCCGGGCCCCTCACGTAAATGCTGAAAATGAAAGGCGAAGGAGAAGAGGAGGATCGCCCTCGTCGTCCTCCTCCTCCTCGCCGGCGAGGACCACTGCGGACAAAAGCCACGGCCGTCGGCTGCTGCTGCAGCGACAGCGGCGGCGGAGGCGGCAGGACGTTCCCTTTTAATGTAAGCACGGAGGCGCCACCCCCTCCGCTCCTCAACAGCCGACAGGCGCCGCCAGTCCGAGCAGAGGGAACCGAGCCCTACCACCCAACCTCCCCCCCGCACGTCTTCTTCTTCCCCCATGAAGAAGAAGAGGAAGAGCTCCCCTCCTCCCTCCCCACTATCTGTTGCAGAGGTGCAGGTGGTGGCGCGCTGTCACGTGTGGCCACTGCCTGTCAGGAAAAGGCGGAGCAGCAGCGGCGCTCGAGTGGGTGCTCCGGCCACCGCCTCCGCCTTTGCCCTTTTCCTTTCTTCCTCTCCGGCCGAAGCTGCCGAGGGCCCCCTCCCCCACTGACAAAGGAAAGCACCAGGGAGAAGACGTACGGGGAAGAAGCAGCAGCAGCGGCCCCTCCTTCCGGCGATGGGAGGCGGCGCCGCCGGTGGCGGCGGTGGAGGTGGGGTGGGGCGGGGGGCACATTAATGGCGGACAGGGCAGGGAGTTATGAGGCCTCGTGCCGGCTGGCGGAGGGGAGGAGGAGAGAGGAGGGAAACCCTCCTCCGCCGCCGCCTATTAGTGCTGGTGGCGGTAGATGCTTTAGATTGACCGTTGCGGGTGCCGGCGGGAGGGGGCGCCGCCAGAGATGGGTTTACCGGCGACACTGGCCTAGGTTGGATTGGGAGGTGGGTTGGGAGTAGATTGGACAGAGGGAGGATAACGAAGTTGGTCAGCCCAGGTGTGGGTTTCGAGGTTGACGACGACAGTCCATAGAGTGACTCTACATGTGGGCAGCTGTTCGTGTTGTCAGCCGTCTGATGATGGGCCCATGGGGACGAGCCGCACCCTCGCGTTCGATGCTGCTCTGGAGATAGAGAGTGACAGAGAGAGAGCGAGAGAGACTGCTGAGTTCCATTCATCAGACGGTCTGTGGCTGGAGACGTCTTGTCACATCTTCTCGTCTGGAAAGCCGAGCCCTTCCCAACAGATATCCGCTGTAAAAGACACAATCTCTCTCTCTCTACACTCTCTATTCTCTCTTTCTCACTCTCTCTCTCTCTACAGGGGGGATGCAATTTGGAGGGGGGGTACGTGCCTACGTAGCAGGGTTTTGAAAATAGTTTCCTAAAACTGTCGCCTTTCTCGTGGGTTTTGTGACCTGCGCCGGAGGAAGCGCAGGGGGGGCGCCCCCGCAAACTTCACAAGCTCCATCGTTTCCATCCGGCAGAGGCCAATCCATGGTTTAACCCCCCCCCGGGTCTCTCTCTCTCCTTCTCTGTCTCTCGATCTCCGCGTCTGTTTCTGTCTCTCTGTAGAGTCGGCACAGCGGCAACACCCTCTACACTACCCAAAAGGGGACGAAACTAAACGCACAAAAATCCCGCACACGCAGCTCTCTCTCTCTCTTTCCTCTCAGCGGAGCTAAGCATTAATAGGGGGCAAGAACCCTCGCCGTTCATTCTCGCACTCTCTCTCTCTCTATCTCTGTCCTGGTCGCTGCATTTTTTTTTTTCTAGTCTATTCCTCTGAACCTCTTCTGCCTATAAAAGGCCTCATCGATCCCTACGACCGGGGGGAAACCCTTTCCTACACCGGCAGCCTCCCCTTGCAGCTCCCGCTTTCTGCTGCCTGGAAATGGCGAGCCACTGCGCGTCCACCTTCCTTGCGGAATGCCAGAGCCCCGTTTTTAACTGCTGCCCGTTCTATTCCCCCTGCTCCTCCTGTGCCCTGCCCGGCTATGTCTGAGCCTCTGCAGTCTTTTCCCCACCCTCCTCTCTCTCTATCTATCTCTCTCTACCTTCAACATCTCCCCCCCCTCGCCTTGGCGCTTCCCTTCCTTCTCCCCTCTCTGTTAGGTCCTCTCTTTTCCCGTTTTATTTTATTGCAGCTGCCTCGGAGGTGGGTGGGGGGCCGGAGCCCTAGGTAGGAGGTAGTAACTAGGACGGGGGAAGGGATTTAAGTAGGATAAGGAGGAGAAAGGATCGCGCGCAGATGAACAGCACAGCGGCGGCGGCGGCTGCTGCAGCAGCGGCGGCGGCGGGTTGCCGGCCACCGTTCACGGCGTCCCAATGGCAGGAGCTCGAACACCAGGCCCTCATCTTCAAGTACCTCATGGCGGGCATCCCTGTCCCACCGGACCTTCTCCTCCCCATCCGCCGGAGCTTGGAGTCCATGGCCGCTCGCTTCTACCACCACCCCGCCAGTAAGCTCCCCTCCCCTCCCCTCCCCCCCGCTCTTCCCTCTGCAGCTCCATCTCTCCGACGAAACATCTTGGTTCCCGTCCGCATGAGCTATGGATTCGATTTGGTCTCCCTACACGCTTGTTCGTTCTTCCGAAAGCCGCCTGTTTTTCCTGCCAAAAATAGACCACAAGCCCCTACCCGATCGACTACCCGCTTTATCCATCCATGTCTTCCCCTCCTCCTCATCTTACTTTTGGTCGTCCCCATCTTTTTCCATGAAAGATCCCTCCTGCTCCTCCGCCCTGGTACGAATATTTCGTCACATTTTCCTCGTCAGCGATATCTGCTCCTCTCTTCTCCCTTTTCTTTTGCATGCATTGATGGGTTCGGCTGTCCTTTTCCCGAGCTCTGATCCTCGGCGGCGGGCAGGGTTACGAACTTCTGATCTGAACAAGGAAATTTTCTTCTCTGAGACGCTCTTGGATGACTTGCTGCAGTGGGCTACTGCTCCTTCTACGGCAAGAAGCTGGACCCGGAACCGGGGCGCTGCCGGAGGACCGACGGGAAGAAGTGGAGGTGCTCGAAAGACGCCCATCCAGACTCCAAGTACTGCGAGCGGCACATGCACCGCGGCAGAAACCGTTCAAGAAAGCCTGTGGAAACGCAAAATCTCTCCCAGCCTCAGCCCTCCTCCTCGTCGCCGTCCTCAACCGTGACCTCTCTGGCCCCCTCCGGCAGCGGCGTCAGCGGCGGCGGCGGAGGCGGTGGGAGCTTTCCCAGCGGCATCCTCCTACAGTCCCTCGGCGGCGGTGGCGGCGGCGGCGGCGGCAGCTCAGCTGCCCAAGTATCTCTCACGGGCACCAGCCTCAACCCGCTGCAGATGGACCCGTCCTCCTACGGAATGGGTAGCAAAGACTTTGGGTTGGTCCTCCTCCCTCTAGAATCCATGATTATCTGGTAACCCGTTTCTTCTTCCATGATTTCTCCATCACCTTTCCCTCCGCGTCGACGACTTCCTCTCTGCTATATTTTTCCGAGTTCGTCTCTCGGTACCCTTCATATATAGTATGTGATTTTATGTAAGCTTATGGAAACGACTGTCAGTTCCATTCTAGTCAGCGCTGGATTCGTCGATTCGTGCCCTGCATTGTTTTTTTTCTTCCCAAGTTCAGCAATTTCTGCACATGTCCAATGGCCTGCGCATGCCCACCTACTCCCGGTTGGTCTTCTGTGATTCTTTTGCTGCCTCTTAAGCTCTCTGCCTGTAGATCTTGCCTCGGATTTCACACGATAATTCATGGATGATTCATGATAATCTGGATTTTTTCTATTTCGGGTTTTTTTTCATAATCTTCCGTATTAATTGTCAGAATTTTACTGAAAAAGGATTAGTTTTTTTTCATCATCATGCTCATCGAGGAGCGATCGGCATGTGATGCAGATACCTTCGCGGGGTGAAATCCGAGGTGGATGGGCACAGCTTCTTCTCAGAGGCCTCAGGGAGCGCGAGGGGCCTCGGGATGGACTTTTCTCTGGACAGCGCCTGGCGTCAGATCCCTTCACAGGCCTCGTATTCTCTCCCGAAGGCGGGTGGCGGCGGCGGCGGCGGCACCACCCTTCTGCAGGGCGGCTACCCTCACCTCCACCCCTCCCAGGATTTCGGGCAGGTAACCCTGAGCTCTCTGTCGAAGCAGCAGCAGCAGCAGCAGCAGCACTGCTTCTTCGGTAGCGACTTCGGCGGCGGAGAGCCGGCGAAGCACGAGAGCCAGCCGCTGCGGCCGTTCTTCGACGAGTGGCCCAAAACCAGAGACTCGTGGTCGGAGCTCGATGACGAACGGTCCAACCGGACCCAGCTCTCCATCTCCATTCCCATGGCCTCCTCCGACTTCTCCACCACCAGCTCGAGGTCTCCCAACGGTGGGTCGCCCTAGCCTCCGCCCTCTTCCCGCGGCTGCTGCGCCGCCGCCGTGCTCTTTCGATTAAATCTCTGGCAATTCTTCCCGTGCAGATGATTGAGGACGATCATGGACCTCTGTGGGGAGTGCTTCCAGTCAAGAAAAGCTATTAGGAGGATCATCAGCGGTTTTTTCTAGGACTCCCTGTTCGATTTGTGGTTGCCCTGTTGACTGACGTTTCACGCTTCTAGTGGGCTCGCACCGGAAGAACGATTGCCCGCCCTGTTTCGGCTCTCGGTGGGGGAGGGAGGGAGGGAGATTTTGAGATTCTGGCGGCTCCATGATAACTATTCATTCAATCCCATCCCCATTCCTCACTCCGTCTGTTTCAAAGAAAAGCAAAGACCCAGCAGCTCCTTTTTTTTTTAATCTCTCGCGCTCGCTCTCCTTTGACTGATTGTTGCCCTCTTACTCACTCCAAGAAATGCCCCCGGTTTAGAGATAGAAAGAAGAGAGAGAGAGAGATAGAGAAAGCTCCGGCGATCTGGGGGGGTCTTCTGAGCTCCGGCTGCTCTTTGAGTTCTTGGGGGGGTTATTATTATAAGGGGATTTTCGGACGTGGAGCTCTGAATTCTCTGGGTCGCTCTCGTTGGCCCCCCCCCCTCCCCCAACCCTGTCAGAGGGAAGAAGAAGCTGGTCGCTAGGGGGAAGGACGGAGATCTGCCGGTGGGCCTGCAAATCCCCCCTTCCCTGGTTCTTTCTCCGGCGAGCTTCCCAGACGAGGTTCCTCGCCGCCATGTGGCTCAGAAGGGGAACAGTGAAGGAACAGTTGTTAGGGCACGGCTAAGCGGGCCGGCCACTGTGGAGGAGACACAGTTCTCTGCTGGTCTCCTCCGCCGCCACATGGCCCTTCTTCTTCAACCCTGCCATCGGGCGACGTCCCAGGGGCGCTGTTCCTCTTCCCTCCGACCTACCCGCCCCATCCACTCTCTCTCTCTCTCTTCCTCTCTTTCTCTCTGTCTCTCTCTGAGTCTGCGGATCCCACCCTACAGATGCCTGACCATGTAGCCTGCGGCGCTTCTGCTCCGAGTTGACGCTTGGTGCCGCCTCGGATAGAGGGAGAGAGAGAGAGGAGCGATGTTTGGTCGCTGATGAATGGAATCTCGACCGTCCATTTCTCGCGAACAATCGCTTGTCGGCTAGCGTGGCATCTGGCGTCAAACTGCCCCCCAGACAGCTGGCGGTGCCTCAGGCACTGCGCTGTGTCAGGTACTAGCCGCCACGTGGCCTGATCCAGCCGGGTCCCCTCGGGAGGAACCTTGTCGCGACTCGGCCCAAAACTCGTCGCCGCCCAACGTGGGCCCACCTAAGAGATCCTCACGAATCTCTCAGCGTACGTAGTAGTGGGCCGATTTCGAGAACCAAGATGACATCTTGGCGATGAACGAACACGGCGACCCATGAATGAACTGGCGATCCTCTGGCGTTGACTAGATGTCCAGCCATCGATTTTTCTTGTCGGGGCGCAGGGACCCATTCATCATCTTCGCGTGGTGATCCGTCGCCTCGTCAGCGGCGGCGTCCGATGCCGGTGGCTCTCCGGCGGGGGAACAGGAAAGGGAGGGGAGAAGGATGTGTGGACCCGAGTAGGTCGCCGTCTCTCTCTCCCATGGCGATGGAAGTCACAGTTTTGCCCATCCCGAAATTAATTCGTAAAATATGCAGGGGCTCTGAAGATCTTTCCGACGGAAGCCAGGGTTGTGGATAAGGCACGCCATCGCCGCCGGCGCCTCCGGCCATGGAGAGGAAGAGGAAGATAACGTAGAGGGTCGGACAGAGAGAGAGAGAGAGAGAGAAAAGGGAGGGGAGAGGCTGTGGAATGGGTTCCCTGTCGATCCTCAGCTCCTCAGCGCCGCCTCTTTCCGCCGTCACGAATCAGAACGCCGGCGCCTTGCCGGCTCGGATTCTGCCGCTCTCTCGCGGCCGGCGGCCGCCGCTCCAGCCCGCCGCCCTGAAGAGCCCCCGCGGGTTCGGTCCAGCCCCCGTCAAGCGCAAGCCCGGGAAGAAGCAGCGGAAGGGCGGCGGCGGGGACGACGACGAGGAAGACGAGGAAGAGGACGACCATGAAGAGGAAGGCGCAGAGGAGAGGGACGAGGGGACGATTCCGGAGGTGGTGACAAACAGGATGATGAAGAGGATGGGCTTGTCGGTGGGGGCGCCGCTGGCGGTGGGTTTGCTGTTCTTCCCCTTCTTCTACTACCTGAAGGTTGGGGCCAAGATAGACGTCCCCACTTGGGTGCCCTTTCTGGTCTCCTTCTTCTTTTTCGGCACCGCCCTTCTGGGTGTCAGCTATGGGATCGTCTCTGCTAGCTGGGACCCTCTTCGGGAGGGCTCTCTTCTGGGCTGGAACGAGGCCCAGCGCAACTGGCCGGTCTTCTGGCAGTCGATCTTTCGCGGCGGAGACGACGGCAAGTCCAGTCGCCGCGGTGGCGGCAGATCTCGGAAGAGGTAGATGTAAACTTTCGATGTTGTTATTCCGAAGCTCATCGTGTTTTAGCGGTTCAATGATCCTCTCGAGATTTCCGGCAATTTCCCCAATCGATCGGTGGCAATCGTTCGAATTTCACCTGCTAGCTGTTCCATATAGACCAGGAGAGAGCTTCCGGAATGGCGGTCCAGAAACACCCTCGATCCATAGATAAACCTTGTTCTTCCGATCGAGAACTTATTTCCAGGCGAATCGACCACCCGGTTCCTGGACCTCAATGCCCCACACTCTCAGCAGCGAGGAACTGCAGCAGATCCTCTCGCTCAGAATCACCGTCGATCAAGAACCCGTCCTCGTCGGGAAGGTCGGCAATGGCGTCCTCGCCCTCGCCAGCGCCGGCGGTGGCCCTCGACCCACATCCGAAAAAGTAGTAATCGCCCCTCGTTGACGACGACGAGTTCTGAACCCCGTGGTGCGTGAAGAACCCGTCGACGTCGAACTCTAGCGGCGGAGGGGACACCATCTGTAGGTAGAGATTCTGGCGGAAGCCGGAGTCGTCGGAGGCGACGGGAATGGGCGGTTCTGGGAGATCGCTGGCGACGTCGGCAACCTGGTTCTTCACGACGAATCTGGTGCAGCGGTGGGCCTTGGTGCGGATCACAAGAGACGCAGTAGCCCTCCCGCCTCCGGGCTCTTCGTCACCGGCAGAACACCGTGGATGGTGCTTCTTCGGGAATTCCCCCGTCGCCTTCTTCCTCAGGCAGGTGTTCCAGTAGTTCTTGATTTCATTGTCTGTTCGGCCTGGTAGTCGGCCTGCTATCAAGGACCATCTGCAGGCACATCCGGAACACGGTTTGAAAGATGCAGGAGCAGAAGAGAAAGAGAGAGAGAGAGAGAGGGAAGGAGAGTTTAACTACGAGGAAGAAGACGAGAGAACCCACCGATTACCGAGCAGGTTATGGAGCCTGATGATGAGCTCTTCTTCCTCCTCTGTGATGTTCCCTCTCTTAATGCCGGGCCGCAGATAGTTCAACCACCTCAGCCTGCAGCTCTTCGGGCATCTGTTCAACCCTACAGAGAGAAGAACCCCCCGGCGACCTCAGGGGGAAAGCAAAAAATGGGAAGAGAAGGGGATTCCAGCTAACTCTCCGACGAGCACCTGCGTTCTTGGGGAGGCTCCGCCACCGCCCGAGGCCGTGAGCGGCGATGTACTCCGACAGAAGCTTGTCCTCCTGGCTGGTCCAGGCTCCCCGCTTCACCCCTTCCTCGGGGCGGCAGCTTCCCCTCATCATCCTCCCTCTCGCTGGAGGCCGCCCCGCCGGAGCAGAGCAAAACCCGCCGCGCGCCACCACTCAAATACGGCGCAGTCCGCGGGCCCCCGGAGGAGGAGCTACATCCCAAAACAGGGGAGCCCATTAATGGAGCCAACCAACTCTTCCCCTCGGATTCACCCACCCTCTTGGCCGGGACTTGTTCTTCGTTCCTTCCGGGGAGGTGACGAGGGAGACGGCTCGTCGGACGTCGATTGTCTACGCTGAAAACGTGGGGATCTTGTTGGGGGCCTGCCGGCGCGGCATTGATGAGTCGGCGAAGGAATTCCCCTCCACTGCGCCTTGCTTTTGACGGGTGACGGTGGTTGGCCTGCGCCTGTCCTAGGTTTCTCTGTTTTTACTCTGCCTTCCTCAGGCTAGGCCTTTTATCCATTTCCCCACTCTCTCTCGCTCTCTCTCTGTAGAAGGGGGGAGAGAGAGAGAGAGAGAGAGAATCTGCATGCACTGGCTCGAGTGAACTGTCACTGTCTTGCAGGGCCGAGTGTGTGTGTGAGAGAGAGAGAGGGAGGATCTTTACGTGCAGTTGTTGAATTCCGCTTCTTCTTGTATGGGTAAATCTCGGAGCCGTTGTTGGCTGTCACTGTTTGACCCAATAAGTCGTTTCCGCGCAGGTCTCACTGGACTTGTCTTGGTCAACGTTGATCCGTGAACTGGGGATAAATGTATGGGCGGGCCTCATTTGGGTCTCTTGGCCCATTAGCCCAGATATCGGTTTCAAAACGGGCCTCACCTCTGTATATCATGTCTAGAGAGAGAGAGAGAGAGAGAGAGAGAGTCCCATCTTTAAGGTGGCCCGGTATCACCGTTCTTTTCGACGTTGAACCCTCATGCATTTTGCCACGTGGCACACCGAACGAGCGAGAGACCGAGAGACGGAGATAGAGAGAGAGAGAGAGAGGAGATGCCTGGGCGTCCCATTCGTGGGTGGGAAGCCGCTTTACGGGGTGGGGGGAAGAAGCAGCTTCCAATGGATGGACACGCAGCTCTGCAAGACTGGCTTTTTCGAACTCCCCGTCATCTCCCGGAAGGAAGAAAGCCGCGGCGGGATAAAGCTAAAGCCAGTGACCGGCTGCAGCCGGTCCCCTCCCTCTGACGGGCCGTACGGGCCGAGAATCGACTCGATTCTGGGGATTGTACGATCCCTCTCTCTCTCTCTTCTGTCTCTCTCTCATCAAGGAGAGAGATTCCGCGGCCCGCCGACACCTACTTGTCGGATCCACCAGTACGGGACGGCGGCCCAGTCGAGACGGCCGACGGCGCCACCAACCACCACACGGGGGGGCGGCGCGGCCGTAATTTGAAAGAAGATCGTCCTACCGACGGTTGGATTTGCATGAGAGCCCGATTCCACGTGGGCATCACGCCGTCCTTTCCACCTCATCGAGCTCGGCGCCTTGCTGTCGAATCGGTGGGGTCCACTGGATAAAATTTTTGAAATCGATTCGCTCCTACGATCAAATTGGCGCGGCGATTTAATCCGTCCGATGGGCTAGGACCCTATTTGGACGGTCAGGATCCGGAGAATCGTCCTGGCTTGGGGAAAGCAAACAACGGCCGTAGGGGACCGGCAAGTACCAGAGCTCCGTCTGTCGCCGTTATCCAACGGCGACGGAAACGGAAACGAGTGGTGTAGGCTACAATTGAGTGGCCGCCGAGGAAGAAAGGTGTTTTCCATATCGGGGGGGTTATAACGGAGAACGAAGCAGCAGAAGGAACAGAGAGAGAGAGAGGGGCGACTGTTGGGGCTTCCTCTTCCGGAAGGACCTCCGGGGGAGATCTCGGGAGGGAGACGGGGAGTGGAAAGGGGAAGGGAAGTTACGGGAGGAAGAGGAAGAAAAGAAAAAAATTCTCGAGGACGCTTCGTCCCCTATGAGATTCAATCCCTCCCGCCACAGCGATCACTTCCTTTCCAGGATTCCGATCGTAGGCGACTGTGTCGCCGTCCCTGTATACTTTGGCCGTCTGAATCGACAGAGAGAGGAGGAGAGGACACTGCGAGCCGCCGGTCACGGAGCATTGCTGCTGGCGATCGGTGAGGAAGAGGAGCTGCGACTGGTTGGTGAAGGCGAGTGGAGCGCAGGTAAGATCGAACACGGTGGGAAGAGTTCACCGTGGTTTGACATCATGCTTGCGGTTTTCCTTTGCTTCGATCACTTCCGGCATTTTTCTTTCGAGCTGTTCCAACGAGAGTGCCGTTTGTTCCTACTGGTCGTGTTTTCCGTTTGTCCTAAGACTGTCATTGCGATACCTGATGGAGAGCGGTCTTTCACTCTTTCTTTCTGCGGATCTTCCGTCTCCTTGCTCTCTTACCATTGTGTTCCTATGCTAATTCTATCTTCGTCAGCCGCTCTTTTTCCTTTATGCGTGATTCTTACGATCTCAGGACTTCCAGTTGTAGCATCCTCCATCCACAATCAGATTGTTCTCTCTGAATGTTCCTGCTGCTCTGTTACTGTGCATGTAAAGACATGTTCCCCTCGCCATTCCATCGAGTTGAATCGCATCCTGAGGGCATTTTCTTTCGATCTATTTCTACTTCAACGCCATCCTGGTTGGGCCCTTGTTACAAGTAATACCTAGTGGTATCAACGTCGGTAGCGTATGCGACTCCCCAGCTCGCGGAACCGACGAATACAAGAGGTCGCAGAGGAAACAGAGATGGGGTAGCATTCCACACCGAAGACAAAGCAGCCGGTTGTTCTCGGGACGGGCAGAGAGTGAGAGAGTGGAAAGGGAAAAAAATACAGCCAGCGAGAGGAGCATGGAATCTCCTCATCCTTCTGACGCAGTTTCTTTATCTTTTTCTCGGGGAGCACAACTCGATAACCCTAGATGAAAGGACAAGACCGCAGAATCTGCATCTACGGAACGAGCTCCGTCTTCTCTCGCTGACTGCCGCGACGGCGGACATGAACATTCTTCCCCCACGGGTCCAATTTTTATTTAGTCGGACTCCTATGAAATTATTAAAATATTATTTATATTTTTTTGCTGATAATTCGCTCGTGCTGTAGAGTGACGGAAGCCGCCTGTCTTATCTCAAATCCACAGGGCTCCATCATCATCACTAGCATTATTTTGCTCAGAATTCTTTTGTCGCTACGATCTGCATCCATTCTACTCGACGGTTCCTCTTCCAGTGTCTTTTTTCCCGCCAAGAATGCTTTTTTTTTTATCTGGGTGTAAATTATCTCCTACTTTCTTTTACCACGAAAGGGATGTTTTCTGTCGTTCAATTCAAAATTTGATCTGTTTATCTGTCTTGCATTTATATGACGTAGGGGCAGGCCGGGAATTCGTAGGTCGGAGAACGCGTGCAGCAGTAGCCAGCGGCGGCGACAGCACCGGTTACAGAAGCCGCAACCGTACGGTGGTCGGAGGAGGAAGGTGACCGGGAGGGGCGGGTGAAGGGAACAGATCGCCCAGGGGAGGCTTATAGGATGTTGACCTGCCTCGCGTGCTCGAAGCAGCTGGGGGATGCAGCCGAGCCAGCGCGTGGGAACCCGAGTACGAAGGAAGCCGTCAAAAGCCTGACATCACAGGTTCCATTCCAGCACAACCCCCTACTCTTTCTCTCTCTCTCTCTCTCTCTCTCTCTCTCTCTCTCTCTCTCTCTCTCTCATTCTCTTTCTCTCCTTTACACACACATGCAACCCCCAGCTATGCATCATTCATCATAAATACCTTGTTTTTATTCGCTTTTCTGCCTTAGAGAGAGAAAGAGGCAAGAACGACCTTTCACTCACATTCCTTGCCCCACTTCGATAAAGGTTAAAGTTGGGCAGCCAACTCAGAAGAATAGAGTGAGGGGAGGAACGAACTGACTGATTTAAACATAGACACAGTTCATCATAAATTCTCAGAGCCGATCCCCACTAGATCCCCACGAAGCCGACAACATCCTGTACTGTGTTGGTTAGAAGAGACCCTGTAGGCGTTTCTCAGAGGAGACAGAACCTCCACGGGCAATTGCTTCTGCAACCAAGTCCAGGTACCTCTTTGAGGGTGACAATGGCTGTAAAGAACCCTGGGAGCATACAGGAGGGAGAAAAGTTCCTCCTCTCATGTTCTTTTTCTTCTTTCTGGAAAACCATGGCATCCCTCGTCGAACAGATAAAGGAGATGGTGCTGAAGCTATCCGGGGGGAATCGGCAGTGCAAGCCGTCCGCCGGCGTGCCCTTCTCGTCCTCCAACCCCCACCGGAGCCACAGCGGCGGCGGCGGTCTGTCAGAGGATGAGCACCTGCAGTACCTGACGGGCTGGGGGAGTTCTACGGCCACCATGCCCGGGTGGGACTTCGCCGGGGTCAACTCGGACTCGGTGGACGCCCGCTTCGCCGACGGGGTGAAGTGGTGGCCCCCCCCCCGGATTGGGTTTCAGGGTGGAGAGCCTCTGAGCAGAGAAGGTGCATCGTACGACGTTCTGCTTGAGGACGACGACGGTGAGCCCAAGGAGTGGATGGCCCTGGTGGAGCCCGGCGTACTCATCACCTTCATCTCCCTCCCCGGCGGCGGCAACGACCTCAAGCGCATCCGCTTCAGGTATCCCCCCTTCTCTCTCTCTATCTCTATCTCTATCTCTATCTATCTATTAATCTCTGTGGATCTGATAATTTAGATGCTTGGGGTTGTTCAGTAGGGAGATGTTCAACAAGTGGCAGGCGCAGAGGTGGTGGGGGGACAACTACGACCGCATCATGGAGCTCTACAACGTTCAGCGCTTCAGCCGGCAGGGCCTCCCCACTCCCCCCCGCTCCGAGGACGAGGTGAGCACGGTCAACTTTAGATTCTCCCTCTTGGTCAAACGGGAACACCCTGTAGTTTTCCACCTCCGTGAATTGGAGGTCAAAGGGAACATAACCCCCACCCTCCTCCCTATAGTGCCAGATTTTGCTTGTCCTCGTCCCCCGCTGAGAGGACCAGGAAAGACGTAGGGCCCACATCATGGTCAACGTTCTCTCTCTTCTCTCGTCGGCTTATTTATGAATGATTTAATGCCGCGGTGTTGCAGAGGGACTCGTCGCACCACTCGCGGCCCGGTTCCGCGAGGGAGAGCCCGGGGGCTCTGCCATCACCGTTCAAGCACGCGCCGGCGAGGAACGCCGCTCGCAGGGTGCCCACCGGCGGGGGCGCCGCCCCCGACGGCGAGTGCGGCGCCGCTCTCGCTCCCGTGACGGACCCCACGGAACGCCTCCTCCAGCGCGCCGCCTCCTCGCCTGTAGAAGCCTCGCGGAGGACTACCTCCTCCAGAGACGAGGACACGACGGAGTGGGTGGAGCAGGACGACCCCGGAGTTTACGTCACCGTCCGGCAGCTGGCGGATGGCGCCAGGGAGCTCCGCCGGGTCAAGTTCAGGTAGATAAGATCTGCCATTCGTCATCCGCATGAAGAATTACACGTGCTCCACGTGCTTTTTTACTCACTGGCGAGACTTGCTACTCATTGGCAGCCGGCAACACTTCTCGGAGGTGCGCGCCAAACAGTGGTGGGAAGAAAACTGGGAGAGGATTCAAGCCCAGTACCTCTGACGTCATCGCCGCCGATAGTTCCCGGTCTCCCTTTTAACCGTTTTGAGGCCAACCCGCCACGTGTCGCCCACAGCGTATACCGACGTGTCAACAATCTCAACACCACACGTCATTCAAAGCTTTTACGCCTCAAGTAAGCACTCTCGATTAGAAAGATAGAAGGGGGCGGGGGCACGATCCTCCCTTACGGGCCGGGCCATCTTCGGCCCATTAAAGCCCACTCACCCGAGTTAACGGAAACCGTGACGTCTTCGGGCCATGGGCCGCCTATTTCACAAAGCCCAGGGGGGCTGTGTGGGCCCGTCCGTCCCGGGCCCTAGCCGTTTGCCCGGCTGACTTAGCGTTATCTGCGCCAGCTTCCGAGTCACATCCGAAGCCTTGTGCAAGGGACGCCCTGCATAGACGGGACCTGCGCAAGCCACCACACGACACAATTAATCAATGATCACCCTTCTTCCTCTCTCTCTCTCTCTCTCTCTCTCTCTCTCTCTCTTGCCTGGTCTGTTTCGTGCGGTGGGGCGATAATGGAGCAGCTTGGGGGCCGCCTTCACAGAGTCTTTATTTTTCTCCGCTGACTCCTGAGTGGAAGAGAGAGGAAGAACGTTAAGTTATGCATCGCCAGCTACATTTACATCTACATCTGCTTGTCGGTAGTGGAATATTATGGCAAGCTGTCGTCACCTTAGCATCCATCTCCAGCTTTCTCTGAGCCCCTGTAATATATATATATATATATATATAGAGAGAGAGAGAGAGAGAGAGAGAGAGAGAGAAGAACGTGAGAGCTGACTGGGAGTGCTAAGGAGCCCGTCCGTAAGAAAGAGAAGGCAGTTTGGCGGACCTGTTCGCACGGAAGCGGTCGGCTTGGTCAGAGAGGTGGACCCCACAGGCTTGGAACTGAGCAGGGCTCCCGTGGAGTATCTCCGGGAGGCCTTGGACTCCGATGCCCCCTTCCTTCCAACTGAAATCATCATGGAGAGGCAGGTTGGATGAAGATCTCTCCTCCGCGTTTATTTATTTATCTATCTATTTACTTTATTTCTTGGGAGGTCCAGTAAGCGAACCAGATGGAGGGGTTTTGTGAATCCCGGTCGTCCCCGTGCCCAGAGCTGGAATCCGATGACAAGGCTGCAAAAACACAGTTAGAGAGAGAGAGAGAGAGAGAGAGAGAGAGAGAGAGAGAGAGAGGCACCTGGAAGAAAGGATGCTCGAGGGCTGCTGTGGCCGTCGGCCTCTTGCAGGGATCCCAAGAGCAGAGCAGCTGCAGGTTGGTGCCAATCGAAAGAAGATTTCAGAAACGGTCGATCTCCAACAGGAAACGAGGAAATTAAGAAGGAAAAGATAGAACGGGGAGAGCGGATTCCTCACAGAGATGAGGCTGATCGCGTCCTCGCTAGCTGAAGGAATTAGACTCGGAAGAGGGACACCTGGAAGCTGCAAGAGAGGGAGAGAGAGAGAGAGAGAGAGAGAGAGAGAGAAACAATGAACAGAAGAACTCAGCTTCCCACATGAAATTCCTCGGTATTCAAAGATCACAAGCTCATCTGCGACGAAGCCTGCTGAGACTTGCCACAATGATAGCCATAAGCGGATCGATCGAACTGACAAAGAACCCTAACATCAGTGACAAGTCGGAAGTAGAGATTGCATGCAGTTTTAGAATCCTACACGTGCCTTCATAAGACATCCTCAAATAGTATCATCATCGTAATAATAGTAATAATATGTGCCTCTTTCTAACAAGTGTTCAATCCACAAGTATGATAATGCATGAAATAAGCTGATAAGATGGAGGAGGAGGCCACTGGACAGAGAAGGGGAGGAAATCATGCAAACCCTAAACAGATGGGTAGAAAACGAATAGAGAAGAGAGAACATAGACGGATGATATCACAGATTATGGATATTTAAAAACCCACTGGAAAATCATCAACCAGATCGAAGATCACAGACTCAGACCTGTGGGAACTGATATTTAATTGCGCTTGCCAGCTCAAATCCCTTGCCCCAAGAATCGTGAGAAGGGCAGCCAATAACACTGCAGATTTTGTGGATTTCGTCTGCTTCACTGCAGATTTTCCACCCAACAGAGAAATAATTGTTACAAGGCAAGCAAAACATCCACTGAAGATCCTAATTCTCTCTAAAAACTAGCACCTCAGCATGCCGATAACTTCCTTAGACACAAACAGCGACAAACAAAGCACAAGCTAAAGTTGCACAAGAAAACCAAGTGAAATTGGGGATGGAGGCCAAAGAAATATGACTCACAGTTGTAAAATCTGACCAGAAAGGCTACAGGTAAACGTGGTTATCAGTGGTAAACAGTGGAGAAGAAGGATCAAGCCACTGAAAAGATGTTTGATCTCATGTTCGGTTAAAAGGGCTTGAGAAATTTTTACAATGATCATGGAAATCTGTCCGTGCATGCATGCATGCATTGCCGTTATTGATATCACATAAATATAAAATAAAAATAATGAATTCAAGCTAACATGATCCCGGTGTGTAACACCAGTGCCTGGAACACGAACCTTGCACCAGGAAAGAGAGGAGAAAGAGTGAGTAACTCAGCCATAATGGCACCCATTGCCCACATGTCTACAGACAAAAACAAGATATGTCACTAGATGAGAATACAACGAAAGAGGGGGGGGGGGGCATGATGATTAGTTGACAACGTGATATTTACCAACGGCGAAATCATAGGCAGTTGACTGGAGCAAAACTTCCGGGGCTCGATACCTGACAGAATGGAAACTTGATCTCAAATTGTTTGACCAAGGAAAACTACCAATAAAGGCAATACGTCGAAAGATAACCAACCAGCGAGTGGAGACATATTCTGTGAAGGGTGGATCTGAGCAAATTTCACGAGCAAGTCCAAAATCTGCTACTTTGATGATATCCTTGGTGATCAGCAAGTTTTCTGAGCAGAATAATGAGCAGCTCTATCAGTTGGGGAAGGGGGGGGAGTCCATAGCTCATAAACGGAATTGATTTATGTACTTGTGCACACACGCTACAGTTCAAACAAAATCATCCTATAAAGATCTATCTTCACTAATCCATAGGTAAGGAAATGAAAGAGCGGCAAGAATATCTCAGATCTAATTTGATGGATTACTCTCATTCCAGAGGTCAGTTCGCTATACTATGCCGCCCATAGAAGTCTCTTTTGTGACAATCAATCATTTTTCGGCATGTGTAATGTAAGAACGGGGCTTGAGTAATCCGTTTCAATGTAGGAAGAAATGGACTCGAAAACAAAATCATGTTCGGGTCAGCTTTGCGACTTTTATACCCTTTTTTAGCACTAGGAACTACTTCATGCCCTTGCATAAAAGTCAGAGGTTGTTGCCAGCGACAATTCCGAATGTATATGATTCCAACCGCTTCCGAGGCTCACTGAAGAAGGTCAGAGTCTTCATCCTCGGTGGTTGGATAAAAATCACAGAAGCTGAGTCTTTCCAGGTTGAACGATAAGCAAACATGAACATGAATTAGTGCCGAAAAGGCCCATCATTTCATTGTAATGAAAAAAATAAGAATGATTGAGCAAAAAATTATATTTCAAGGATCGGAAAATCATAACACTCGTCCCAAAAGAGGAAGATAAAATGGAAAATCATACCAGGCTTCAAATCACGATGGAAGTACCCACGCTGATGCATATGAGCAAGAGCATGGAATATTTGAAAAGACCAGTTCCGCACATCAGTCTCAGAAAAAGGCTTTTCACGATCTTTCATGAGTTGATATAAGTTGAAATCCTGGGCAGAAAAAGCATGATGAGAGCTCTGTTTAGAAAATTCGTGCAGGGTAGCGAAGGCAAGATTCACATTTGAACAGCAAGGAAATTATACCATGTACTCAAACACAAGATATAAAATATCGTGCTCTCTAATGACCTCTTTCAGCTTCACAATGCCGGGATGGTTCATCTTTCGTAGGGACTGAAAAAAAGCACAAAATTGGTGACCATATTGTCTCATGACGTTTTCCAATTATTCAGATATCCACAAAATTTGGCAAACCTTCACTTCTCTGAGATTTATGCACTCCTGCCAGGAATAGTACTTTTTCTTCATTTTCTTAATAGCAACCTAAAATAACGTCAAAAGATAGATAATGTCATTGAACTTAAAAAATGTAAAGCCAAGTCAGATCAAGGTTGCGTACAATTTCCCCGGTCAATTTATTTACTGCTCTCCATACACTGCCAAACGATCCATCACCGACCTGCTTAATTAATTTGAACCTGTAAAAGCGGATATTTTACATTACAAGCATCTGCTACACGTATCATAAACATAGAACCAAGAAAAAAAAAAAACGTACCGGTCCATTTTGACTGGTTAAACCTGAAAATATATCGAATTCTCCAATGCTTATTCAGGTAAAAGCATGAATGTAGAACTCAAGTACTTGATGATCCAATGAAAGAGAGGAACTAGGTTATATACTTTGGTCAATCAGAGCTGAACCCCCAATTAGCCCTCACTTGCAAGAAGATCAGGGCACAAGTCTCACAACCGGATACCCAACCATATTTCAGATGACTGGTGACAGACAACAATCTATTCTACCCTAATGGGCTGTTGGACTGATAGAAAAGGTGATTTATGCTTACACGACAGTCGGACCTTGACATATTACTGGGCGACTAATGATACAAATAAGTAAGATGTCATGTACAGGTGATTTCCCCGCAGGTCTATTCTAGATTTTTTACACCATTACACGAACCACGTTGCTGGCTCATAGGTTAGAAACTCATGACACTAAATTACCCCATTCTCATTCGTAGAGGTGGCCAAATGAACAGATGTAGACTCCACTCAGGAAAGAACTCATGAATAAGCTGAGACACTAGAAAGATGAGCAGAAGGATAACCAAGGGACATTATTCCTGCAAGAAAAAAAAAAAAGGAGATCAGTACTCAACGAAGAACTCTTCACGTAACTTGCAAAATAAGATTTACGACCTAAAACGTACCCACAGGGCACATGGCCATCATGAAGCCTGCTGATACATAAACCTAATCCACGGAGAAATCATGCTAAAACAGAGCATTTCCAAGTGATTTCAAGCGTTGACCAACCACCATATCAGAAGAGGAGTGCATCAGGCTTCCAGAGATGCTCTTGAAAGAGTATCTTTCTTCTAAGTACAGCTGACAAAAGAAACTATAGAAAAACCTCCAGAAAGAAGAAATCTTCGGTCAAGGGCATTCTGAAAGGATATGGCACAGCTCAGGAAGCAACTCGACCAAAAGCGAGCTTGCTCCATTATTCAGACAAGAAAATTATGCTGACAAGGGGACACTTTAGCACAACCTAGAAAAAAAAAGAGCAAATATCATTATTCGAAACAATCGTCCATCACAATACCTGTGCTGGAAAAACAAGTAGATTAAACGTTAGGCAAGCGATAAAAAACCATATAAACAAACAATTTGACCTAGTTATGCAGAAAAATGAATTATAGTAAAAAAATCACTCTGTTGAAGAATAGAATCCTACCAATGCCTTGTTTGTCGTCACTTTGCAGAATACATTGAGACTCCGTCAAAGTCGCACCAAGAGGTAAAATTAAGACTGTGTAATGCACGCACAATACTTTACAATATAGAAAATAATAACTTCGAAATGAAATACGTGATGAAAACGGCAAAATAGAGCCTGAATTCCTCATAGCTCGACATCGGCCCACAGAAATCTGACTACGTTGATGATAAAGACTTACATGATTTGATAGAAAACTTTTGCGTGTCATTGACGATACTCACAATTCACAATCACCAAGATAAATGCGCGAATGCCGCAAAAGGGACTAATGCGAAAAACCAATCGTCCGGGAGATTGAAAATGCAGGTAAAAGCCACCAGCTACCCGTCATTTCGATAGGACATAAAACGCCGCCTGCATTATCTGGAACCCTTAGAACTGCCGAAAACTAAAAAACTCTCCGAAAGCTCATCCGCACCACGACTCATGGCATCAGAATCCCGACATCCGATTTAAACCAGAGGAAACCTCAAACTCCGAACTCACATTATCCACCGAGTCGTCCAGAGAGCCCAAAACACTGTGCTCGCGCGCGAATCCGGGTTATCCCCCTCCGCCACAAGCAGATCCAAACCCGTCTATTCCAATCAAAGGCGAGACGGGAAACGTACAGCCCAGCCAGGGATCAATGGAGCTCGACCATAGCCGACGGTGTTACCTCGGAGCTCTGGGGCCGAGCCGGAGAACCTTCTCCTTCTGCCTCGCGCCCGGCAAAGCCAGATGGATCCGTCTGTTCCCCCCGTACAGCGGACGGGCAGAAGAGAAGAAGATACCACACCAGAACGGAAAACGACGGACGATGGAGATGGAAGCACGCGGGCCGCACCTTTCTTATACACCGTCCCCACCACCGTTAACTTGTCCCTCGCGACTCGCCACCTAACAGCCACTGACTGACGCCAACCCCAGGCCTGCTCCGCTGCTCACGCCGAGAACCACCGAGAACCTTTTGTCTTCTTGGGGGGGAAGCGGAGACTAATCATGCTCCTGTGGAGCACTGGAAATGGGAATTTCCACCGATCTAGACCGGTACCCCCTGGGCCCATACTTCACACAGCCCATCTTCTGTGGGTTGGGGCTGGGCCTTGAATAAGATGGTTGGACTCGGGCCCCTCGTTGACCTTTGAAAATTGTTGCTGTGACGTGGTTCTTTTTCAGATTTTTTTATTTTATTCTTATTAAAATAATTTTTTATTATTATTATTATTTAGACTAGATGATTTGGTTTCTTCTTTTTTTTTTTTAATAAGTGAAGCAAGAGTGTTCATAGACAAGCACATATTATTATATTACCAAGTAGGATCATAGGGTGGAAGCCCAACAAAAAATCAATGAGCCAATTTAATAATTGATTTGCCTACAAAGTATGAGGCACATATCTAACTCAAATGGGTTGCAAGAAATGAGGTCTAAATCATATAGAGAGGTCAACAAGCTTACTTAATCACAAGCTTTACCCTGTCGACACAATATCACATAAACATATCTTAAAAAGTGTTTGACGAGTGGGAGGAGAGAATCACTCTCTCACTCTCTCACTCTCTCACTCTCTCATAGTAAGGTTTTCCCATCTTGTCTACCTTTTCTCTCCATCTCTCCTTCAATCCCCCTAATAAGCCTCAATATATTAAAAAGAAGAAGACCCAAACCCCAATAAGTCAGTAATGGTCAACATGATTGCAAGAAGAGCAATATGGTAAGGAACAACTGTGGCAAGAAGCAATTATAGCAGGAGAGATTATGACAAGAGTAGTTATGACAAGAAATGATATAAGAACTGATGGAGGAGGAAAGGAAGGGGGAGCAAGGAAATTTGATGTTAGCATTTCATAGATCTACAAGAATATTTGGAGGGTTTTATGTGAACCTCTTATCTATTCTAGGTTCTTATACTATTCTTTATCTTTGTTTATTTATGTTCTAGATATTATTTTTCTTAGGGCAACATAACAAAAATTAAAAAAGAGTCACATATGTGTAGTGGAATTACAATAATTATTTGATATATAACCAAAATTTTAGCTCATCATTAGAATAGTCAGATACGTATATCAAACTACACAAATAATATTCACATAAGTCTGGAGTCGTGTCTGGGCTTCTCTTGAAAATAATAATTAATTATGTCATCAATTTATTACCAAAGACTCAACCTATTAATCTATGATCGTATATGTATGCACAATTTTATAATGATGAAATAGAATGACTTGTCCAAGAACTATGTATTGTAGGCATCATTCAACTTTTTAAAAGTCCATATGCTAGCCTAATACTAGTTAAGAAAAAAGATGACAACTCACAATTCTATATAATAGACTACATGGCCTTAAATAAACCTATGATTCTAAACAAATTCTCTATTTCTATTGTTGATGAATTGTTGAAAGAGCTATATCAAATGTCTACTTTTTCTAAGTTAGACTTGAAGTCTAGTTACTATCAAATCTATATGAAATATGAAGACATTTAGAAAATATTTTTAAGACCTATGAAGGTCATTATGAGTTCAAGGTTATGTCATTTGGACTCTCTAATACCACAACCTCATTTCAATATTTAATAAATGATATATTTAGACCTTATGTACAAAAATTCATATTTAATATTTTTTGATGATATCTTGGTGTATAACAAAACTCATAAAGAACATGATGAATATTTGGAGAATGTCTTCCTTATTCTCACAACTAATAACCTTTATGTTAATTAAAAAGATGTCAATTCAAATAATCTCAATTAGAGCACCTGAACCACTGAATATTTATAAAAAGAGTGTCTACAAATCAAAGAAAAATTTCAACAATATGAGAATGGGCCACTCCTAAGAATTTGAAAACATTATGATGATTATTAAGATTAATTAACTATTATTCCAGGTTTGTCAAATGTATGCCACCTTATCATGACATCTGACTAGATTGCTCAAGATTTTTTTTTTTGTTAGAAATCTAATGCTTAAGAAGCTTTCTATAAACTGAAGGTGACGATGACTTCTACACCAGTTTTGACCTTACTTAATTTCTCTTAAAAATTCATAGTTGAAATTTATGTTTCAAGGCACGACATAAGTACAGTATTGACGCATGAAAGATGACTAGTAACTTATTTGAGTCCTAGTTTACAAGAACACTCTCGACTTAAGTCAGCATATGAAAAAAAAATTATTATCATTGTGATGGCAACCATGAAATGAAAGTATTATCTCATACTTTACCCTTTCATCATTCAAACAAACTAGTATAGTTTGAAATTCATAATCGACCAAAAGGAGATTCACCCAAAATATTACATATGAATCATTAAACTAATGATATTTAACTTAAGTATAGTATAAGGAAGACAAGAAAAATGCGTCTATAGATGAACTATTTAGAGCATCACAATTGGGTGTGATAGTGACAACACCCATGTGCATTGCACAAGGAGTGGATGTGACAACAATCAATAAAAAAGTGAAAGATGACTCAAGCTTGTCCAAAATTAAAATCATACTTATAAAGAACTCTTCTTTTTCATATTATTCGATTCAATAAAGTCACTTCTATACAAAGGTTGATTGATATTACCTCTTACATCTAATCTTATCTCTACATTCCTTTGTGAATTTTATGATAGCCCACTTGGAGGTCATATTGGATTTTTAAAAACTACCAATGAATTGCTCAGCATGTTTATTAGTTTGGCATGAAAAAGAAGATTAAATAGCATATTAATGAAAATATTATTTATCAATTAAATAAGGTTTTGACCTTATCACTAACATGACATTTGCACCCCTTGCCTATTTCGAATATAATATGAGAAAACCTCTTCATAGATTTTGTAAAGACTCTACCCAAATCCAAAGGCCCTTTTGTATACTAGGATTGTTGGCATCATCCAAACAACAAAGAAGATTATGACTCCATATTGTCATAGTAGATAAATTCAACAAAATTTGACCACTTTTTCCCTCTCAAACGTTCATTCACAGCCAAAGACATTACCTAAATCTTTGCAAAAGAAATCGTCATGCTACATGACATTTCGAGAGCTATTGTGATTGATAGAGTGAGTGTTTTTACTAGTGCTTTTTGGAAATCACTCAACAAATTTCAAGGCAAATAATTAAAAATGAGTTCTTACTATCACCCACATATAGATGAACAAATAAAGGTGGTGAATTACAACGTAGAGAATTATCTCTGCTACTTTAATTATGATAAACCTACATTATAAAGTGGCTGGTTATATTGGGTTAAACTTAGTTACAACACTTCTCATCATTCTACTATCAACATGACCCCTTTTAAAGTAATTTATGGTAGGAACCCTCTCACACTTACACATTATGGATCTCCTATGTCATCAATTGATGTAGTTGACACTTATCTTAAAGAAATAGACTATACACTAGCATAGTTCAAGATGAAAGCATAAACTGACAAACATTGAAGAGACATAGAATTTCAAGTGAGAGAATTTATTTATATCAAGCTCCGACCTTATCATATGAAATCATTAGTCAAGAAAGCTCATGAAAAACTAAGTCCTAAATATTTTGACCCTTACCCTATCAAGGAGCACATTAGGTAGGTATCATACAAATTAGAACTTCTTAGTTCCATCACTATTCACTTAGTTTTTCACATCTCTCAGCTGTGCAAAGCACTAGAAAATTATGCTTATTGTCAATCAATTTTGGGCATCTTGATTGACGCTTTGGAATGGCACACGACTCCCCAAGATATCTTAGTCATCTAGAATTCCTCTTTTGACATAAAAGTCTTGGTCAAATGGACTGATCTCCTTGATTCGAAGCCACATGGGAACTAACTTCATCAATCCACCAACAATTTCCTAACTTTCACCTTGAAGACAAGGTGAAACTTATGGGGGGGAGTATTGATAAGACTTCATGTACATATATTAGAATGAAGGAAGCCCAAAGCCCAATAAGTCAGTAACAATCATCATGATTGCAAGGAGTAGTATGATAGGGAGCAATTATGGCAAGATCAGTTATGGCAGGAGCGATTATGGTAAGAGCAGTTATGATAGGAGAAGATATAAGGACTGACGGAGGATGAAAAATTGATGTTAGTATCTCGTGGATCTACGAGAAGGTTTGGAGGGGTTGTATGACACCCTCCCATCTGTTCTGGGTTTTTTTTACTGTTCTTTATCTTTGTTTATTTCTGTTCTATACACTGTTTTTCATCTAATTTGAATTATTCGAAGTTCTTTGATCTGAGATCTTATCATCCCCACTCTTCTCCCTTTTCTAGGGAATACTCGCCCACCCCCTTTCTGTGAAAGATGGTAAGAGAATCAGCTCTCTCTCTCTCTCTCTACTATACTTATTATGCATTAGGGTCCAATACAAGGTGAAATGCCCATCACTTTCCAACTAGGCAATTCAGTTTTCTCTCTCTCTCTCTCTCTCTCTCTCTCTCTCTTCTCTCTACTGATTCTGCATTGGGGTCCAATAAAAGGTCGTGGGGTGAGAAAGATAGCAAGAGCCTCAAGATGTGATGGATATGTCCGGGGGCCTTTCAGCTCGAACAAGGAGCCAGACTGTGCTAGGAGCTGATGTTGCAGCTGCCCCTACCTCTTCTGTTGTTGGCTGCTTCCCTCGGCGTTACTACCACCGCCTTCTTCCCTCTTTTCTTTCTCTATTTCTTCACTATTTTTTGGGTGTAATCTGAGGGCCCCACAGTCATTTTTTTGCATAATTAATACGTATTATTAATTATCAGTCATTTACCAAATATATATGGGAGGTCGGTAAACCAAATCCAGAACCATGCAAAGAAGATCTACGGTCAAATGAGGGAAGATACAGGCTGTGAAGGCCTTCGCCCTTCACGACTCGTTGCAGCGAATAATAGTAACAGTAATGAGAAAGAATAAAATCGAAAAAATCATCAATATATGATCAGGCCCCGGGGAGAACTGGGGAGCCCTTCTTCCCTTTCCCACGGCGGCTGCGGAAGGCCCGGCCGCCGTCGTTGTGTGGAGAGCCAGAGAAAGAGAGACGGGGTTGGTTTCAGAGGCGGGCGCTGGAGGAATACCAGAGCTTCTTGCGGCAGAGGAGGACCTTCTCGGTATCCACCTTGTACTCGGTGTCGTGGCTTCTGCAGTCCCACCTCATTCCCTTGGCGATGGTGGCGATGGCGTCCACCAGGTACTTGGATTCGCGGATTATGGCGTAGCCCTGCGGACGGAGCAGCCGGTCCATCTCCAGGAGCACGTACTTCATCTCGCATCTGGCAAGATGTAGGGGTCAGATGATGATGAGGGTGGGTGGTGGGGTTTCGAGCTCGTAGTTGGTGGGTGTTGACTTCACCTGTGGCCCTCCGCGGTGAACAGCCCGTCAACGTGCAGGAGATCGTATGTCCGAGGATAGGAGGAGAATGATTCGCACCTGCGTGTCAAGAACCCAAATGGGGAAAAAAACTAAGTCCATGTATAATAAATGCTTCATTATACATGGGAAAGTGATGGGTTTGATTTTTGGGGCGTACCAGTCGTGATAGGAGCCGATCAAGCCACGGTCGTAGACGGCGCCGAGGGAGCGGAGGCCGTAGAAGGAGACGACGTTCATGACCCAGAGAGGGGAGTCGATGAGGGCGGCGGCGAGGCCTCCGTAGAGCGTGTTCATGTCCATGACGTTCCTGATCTGGTCTGTGCCGAGGGCCGGGAGCAGGGTCTTGTAGTGCTTCGCCCTCGCCTTCCACTTGCTGCCGTCGTGCTTGAAGGCGGCGGGGCTGGCCTGGGGAACGGCCGAGAGCCGCTCGGGGGTGGCATCGAGTCGCTGAGGCCACTTGGGGGTGGCCTTGAGGGCGAGATTCTTGAAGTTCTCTCCGGGGGGGGAGACGCAGGTGCGGAACGGGGTGTACCAGGCCTCGTCGGGGTCGGTGCCGTCGTCGCACAGCGGCGGGTAGAAGTCGGGGTTCTTGAGCTGATCGTAGCAGCTGCTGTCGGAGCTCTTCTGCCACACGGCGATGTCGTCCTTCTTGTTGTACAGCTTGAAGCACATGCTGGTGAGGAGCTTCTTCAGTTTGTTGAAGTCTGTCCTCTGCTCTTCGATCGTCGTGTTCCATCCCCTCCACCGGTTCTCGTAGTTCACCGGCGGCCCGGAGAGGACCCAGAAGCCTCCGGGGCGGAGGATTCTGTGCACCTCCATGAGATATATTCCACCTGCGGAGGAGGCAAAATCGTCATCTCCCAATATGTTTATCTATTTTTTCCCTCCCCCCCCCCACCCTTCTAAATGCGGTGATTACTCACCAAACTCTGTCCACGGGATGAGGCACCGCGAACAGTGAGCCATGTCGAAGGAGTTGGCCGGGAAGGGAAGCCTCTGGGTGGAAATGATGCCCAGGACCGCTGGAATACCGCGTTCCAGGGCGAATTGGATCTGAGCCTCGTGGTTATCTCTCGGCGCGAGAGAGACTGTGAGGATCCCGCGGTCCAGCAGATCACCTCCCCAGCTCGCGACCTGTGGAGACAAAAATAGCGCCAAGTATAACCAAAGGCAGTTATTATCTTATTCGCTAGATAGAGATATAAGATGGAAACAATGTTGATGATAATCTGGAAATAAAATATAATAAAATGGTGAGGCGAGGTTAATTATGAAGCAGGTCAACTCTCCGTCCTTCTAACCGGAGGTTAGCATCTAGACTTTGTTCTGATCTATGGGTAAATAAACATCAAGGTATCGCGAATCAGGACAATAGAAACATGGAGAGTTAGTCAAATGGGCATCGAGATGAACATTCCAACTTGCTAGAAGACTCGTGTGTTTATAGTCAATACCATACAAATACAGCCATCCAACCGTACTAAAGGAGAATAATTTTTCCGCGGAAGACAGAAAAACTAGCTCAAATATGCCTTTGTGACATACAAAATGTCTAATTACGTGTATCAGTCTGAGGCTATGTGCACCATACATACTATTGCATGATTGTACTGCAATATGTTAGTGAAGATCAGCGGATGGGAGACGTACAATCCGTGCATGATGCGTGCGTGTGCATATATACCTTTGTGTGTGAGTGCGGACATGTATATATGTACTTATGTGTAAATGCATATATATATTCACACACACACACACACACACACACATACATAGAGAGAGAGAGAGAGAGAGAGAGAGAGAGAGAGAGAGAGAGAGAGAGAGAGAAGTAACTCACCCCACACCCTGTATCAATAGCCGTTCTGACAGTCCCATCGTTCATTTCCGGAATAAGGTCTTGCATTAGATCGACGTATGCACCAACTCCTTTGGGGAACATGGTACCTCCCCCAGGGAAAAGGAATTTTTCACCTTCTTTCCTCAACCAATTCTGATTCGATTTCTGGTTGTTTATCCAATCATATGGCACATTTCTGAAATCAAATGCAAATAATCCTCTTAAATGCGCTTTATCAAAGACAGGACAGACGACTAAATTGACACGTATGACTGACGACCATCTGAGGGCTCCATACAGATTCTAACCCAGTCGGCTCCCCTTCCCCACCCCCGCTTTATTTCCCCTTCATTAAAAATAATAATGTGTTTATATCTCAAATAATCTAACAAAGGTTAGAAATGGCCTGGTTACCTGTACCAACATTCATCTCTGCTTTTTGGCCATCTGATTGGGGTCTTGTATCCAGCAGGAGGAGGCACTAAGCATTGTTTCCTTTCAAAAATAGGTGGGCAGTGCCGTTCCATAAAGGAAAGTCGATAGTGGCCATACTTTCTCCATCTCTGAAATGTTACATTCATTGGCATATTAAACTCAGCATCTCAAGAGGACGTAAAACATAAAGCGGTGTACGAATAAAATATTCATCAATGACATGTTTGCCAGTGGAGAAATACCAAAAAATAAACACCGTGCAGGAGGACCAGTTGAAAAACAGAAAGCAAGCCACCGAAAAAGGAGAATTTAAATGGAAATGTACTCCTTGTGATTGAGAATTACAACTTGACATGACATGTGGCATCACATATTACCCTGAAATCAACTAGATTAAATGAAAACCTCGCTAAAACGACAATTCTCACAGCATTGTACAACTAAAACGACAGCCGTGAAAAAATGAAAAGGGAATGTGGATTAAATGGAAAAAACATGCCACATTAATCAAAATATAATTTTTGGAAGACTCAAAACGATAAAGAAGAAGACTGAAACAGTGGAGAAAAATACAATCACAAGCATGAGTATAAGCACAACAAGCACAAACAAGATGCACAAGAATGCAAATTTCCATGAACCATTTCCCAGGCTCAAGTATTTTGGAGTAGATGAAAATGATGATGATGGCTCGTATTGTGCCAAAATATCCTCGCCTAACATTCATGTAAATGGTACAACCAATGAATGTCTTTCTCCAAATTTATCTGTTTGAAGCATTTTTTTTATTTTTTGGAGCGGCACCAATAGCATAAAGCTTGCTACACATGATTTTCAATGGATGTTTTTGCCAAAAAAAAGGAAGAGAGAGCGGCTATATATTGCTGCACCTTTGGATCAGTGCATGGGGTGTAATCTTGAAAATCGCTACTGCACTCAGGGAAGATGGTAGCCTTTATTTGAAGAGAAGTGGAAAATGATTTAACTGAAGCTCCCTCTGCTGTGGCCGCGTTCCTTGTGAAAAGTTTTTTCCCTTCGGAAAAATAAATGCCTCCAAGATAGAAGGAGAATCCACAGAGAACAATCAACGTCAAAATTATGGGAACTGCCCTAGAACTTTTGCTAGGATGAGTAGCTGGCTTGTGTTCGCCCTTCATTTTGTGTGTATTTAGATGGACTGCCTGCAGAGAAGAAACAAATTTTAACCAAGTTAAAGACAGTCACAGCATCTCATATGCGCATGAGTTCTAAAGCCATCAGCAACTCGGTAATAATATATTGAAGGATCTATGAGAGGAGTCGACTTAGAACATGAACAGTGTAAAAAGCGAAATTCCTAAGCTCGGACGGATGAGCAAGCCATGTGAGGCCTGGTTAGGATAAACTCGATTAAAGTCACTTCACTTATTCGACCAACGGGTTGAATAGTCGAAACTCAGTCCGCTTAACTTATCCCAGCGATTTTCAAACTACCGAAGTCAATCTACGACAAAGAGAAATAGAGTTATCAAACTGAGAGTTAGATAAAATAGAATCCAGAACCTAGCCGAGGCTAACCTAGTTAATCCTAACCCGTCATCAAATTCGCCCCAAGTGTTTTGAATAAGAATTGAACAAGAAAGATGATCGTACTGGATGTAAACTAACGGAAGAAGACAAGAAAGAGATTACATCGCACTAAATTAGATGACACCGGTACTCATTCAAGCTCAAAATCCAGCTTAAAACATCGCCAATCGTGCATCTAATCTCACGACTTCAACGAAATACAGGAAATTCCAAGACAGGAAAATGGTGGATCTATATTCGCATTTTGAGCTCGGGGAGTAAATAGTGGATCTCTTATTCGAAATTTAAAGATAATAAACGGCTCTGATTCGTAAGAAATCAGGCTAAATTAAGCTTTAGAATGAATGGATAACTTCGTGGAATCATCAACATGTATGGTGAACTCTCTAGATCCAGAGAGTGTGGTGCAGCTCCCTGCTGACATCACTGTGCACATGATACCATCTAAAAACAAATCTCAATCCCCTAATCCCCAACATATGGAGGTCTCAAATATTAGCAATTTGTAAATCCTTTGAACGATCTGAATCTTGATACCTGTGATTATTGGTGTAAAAAGGCATATAGCAGGGTTAAGAGATAACTACGGCCATAAAACAATCAGACAGATCTGATAAGGTCGCAAAAAGCTCAAAAGCAAACAATAAGAATGCCACGGCCTTGTATTCTCTGTTTATTTGAGGAGTAAAGAGAGAAATGATAAGCCTTAGAGGCAGGCAAGCGCCATGATCCACAGAGACCATCAATCCATGGCTACCAGTCAACAGGAAAAGTCGCCTTAGCATGGCTGAGGAAGCCGTAGGGTCAAACCACATAATATACCTAAACGTTACATTCAATAAAATATTCCTTATGCGCGGACAGGAACAACCAATGAAAATAGTAGAACTAGTACTTTGATAGTGACCAATAAAATAAAATAAATTCAAATCTGGTCGTTGCATTTCGCCTTGGTCGGTAAATTCTGGAGAAAATAATGGACGATAGCGAGACATGAAAAGAAAGATAACTGACAAGATTAAGAAGATTGACCTAATTTGACAAGACTGAGAGTATTAACGAACTTTAATACCGGGACCAAATCTCCTCCCCTGGCTCTGTTAAAAGCTAATTGAATCCCCGCGCAAGTAAGAAAGATCGTGAAATTCTTCACCCGGATCAGAGAGGAGACTTAATTAAAAACGACGAGCACGCCGCAATTCGGGGAGAAAATTCAACGTAAACAAAACCATTCACAAAATGTGAATGGAAATTCACAACCCTACATCTCCCAGAGGGCATGGGAGAAAGAGACAGGTGAGATCCAGGTGACAAAATGGATCGGACCGAGACGCATCTGATGTCAAAGAATGCGTGAAAATCTCAAGATACGGTAGAGCGCAGTCAACATTTCGCAATCCAGGCACCGACTCCCCCTCCACTCGCGGATCAGAGAAAGGAAAATTCGACGGCATCGACAGAAACACTGCGTCACCCCTGCCTCAACAAAGAGAGGAAGGTCTGCAATACCCGAAGCAACCAGGCGTGCAAGATAGGAAGACCTAAGTCGATCAGCATCGGTAAGAGACAAAAGTACCTCAGGCAGACGCACCACCTCTTCTCCTCCTCTCTATGCCGCCACCCGATCTGTCTATATCCGTCGACTACTACCTCACACTACCTCCCAATTACTCTCCTCCCAAAAACAAACACGCCGAAGGAGAATGACGACCTCCACCGGCCCCCCGCCCCCCGCCCCCTCCGAGAAGCAAGCTTCGTGGAGAGGGAAGGAACGACGAACCTCTACTTATCTCTGGAAACGGTGCTCTCTCTCTCTCTCCCCTAGGCGGGGCCGACTGCGTTTACAGCTGCCCATGCATTTTGGGAAATCTATCCAGTCTCTTTCTATCTCTCTCTCTCTAGGTAGCCATTGATGTATCTGGTGGCCGGAAGAAGAACTTCACCGCGAGGGATCATGTCTGTCGGCCACCGACTTCCGCTGCATGGGATCGGCGGCCGTCGCTTTACCTTAGGCTCCGCCCGGAGATCCGCCGACACAGCCAACCGCCCCGCCATCTCGAAGAGGGGTTAAATGCCTTAAAATACTATTTTACCCTTGAATATACGGCCCACCGGCGCCGCAGAAGGGTATTGTCCGTCATATTGAGGGTATTTATGTCCTAAAATATAAGATGATATCCACGCGCCATCCTGTGATTCGTTACAAAAGGAACTGAGGGCGTTTTCGACATTCTACTTATATAAGCCTATACTTTGGCCCAGATCCGGCCCCACGCTGGCCGAATTATTTTGAAAATCGTAGGAATAAAACGGTTCGTCAACTCTATGTGGGATAGAATGATTGTAGACTGATTTACCGGGGTCCACTCGGGAAGGTGTGGGTCCGCCATGTGCCGCCACTAGGCCTTACGGTTGGGGCCGCCCAGCCCCGGGGCCCACATGAAATCGGCGGTGGCGGTGCGGAACAGCTGGCACCACGTGCAGCGCAGCTAAGCTCGCAAATTTGTAAAGCCATGTGTCGACGGTGGAACGGTGGGTCCGGCCACATACAACCAACCGGTGGTTTCTCGACGAGGACTCGGCGCTCGCACGTGTGTGGGAAGTCTGAATAATTTGCTGGTCAACGACTCGCCGCATTCAAGAAGCAGCCGAGTCGAGCACGTGGATTATACGCCGAGGCATAGGTGGGGGCCCACTGCTAAAACGTGGCAAAATCTGATTAGTGGAAGGATGACGACGGTGTAATCCCGATTGCTGTGCTATGGAGTCGTCAGGCCAAATCTTCAGAATCTCAGACTGTCAATGACGGCCAGTCAAGTCGTACGCGCATTTTACCTGCTCCACGCTTCCTCGCTATTCCCCCACGGAGACCACATCGGACGGCTACCACCGCTCGGGTCTTGAATCGACGGTGCAAGCGCGCCTTCGAGAAGAGCCACGAAGGTATGAAAACGCGGGGGGCGCCCGGCGGCGTGGGATGCCGGAATCGGTCCGGAGGCCTGGACGCCGGAATCGGTCCGGAGGCCTGGACACCGGAATCGGTCCGGCGTTGTGGACGCCGGAATCGGACCGGCGGGTTGGTCCGATCTTGATCGCTATCGACTCGGCGATCCACGCGAAGAGCCCGGAGTCCTGCTTAAGAGCTCATATAACCACGATTATATCAATTTATTGTATTTATTTTTCTCCCCGTAATTGGGTGCAAAATATTCTTCAACTACTTTTGCACGGGGTTACAGCCGAGTGGAACGATTCGAGTCGGAGTGGGTCGGACGATTCCGTGTTGCTTTGGAGGGACGGTGAGAGTAGGTGGAGGGTCCAAACCGGCTCGCCCGGTCAACAGCTCCCCCAAACGAAGGGGCATAAACCGGGGAGGAGGGGAAAAGACGAGGGGAAGAGGGGTGTTCGGAGATCTCGTGCGATCCACGCGTTTCGTGGTCTCCGCTGCAGCCTGCCGCTGATTCGATTATCGTGGAGTAGACCAGAGAAGGGTTGAAGGCGCGCCTGTGGTCTTCCGCAAGCTCCGTTCTGTGGGTAGGTTTTGTGGATTTCTCGGATGCGATTCCCCTCGGCCCCCAATTTGTTTTCTCATTTTTTTGAGACTTCTGTCTCAATTGTCCTTGGTGCGTGGTGATTGCTCGAATTTGGATCGTTCCTCGCGATTCATATCTGTGGCTTGCGAATTCATTGGAGTGCCGGTAATCGTCGGATGATGTTGTGGTGATCCGAGGGCTTCTTTCTGTGGCCTGGATTCCTGCGTCTGGTGTTTGGTGGGGAGTGGGTGTCCGGCAATGGGTTTCTAGGGATTATGCCAGCACATGGAAATCATGGATTTTCGCTGCTGCTTTCGCAGTTGGAACGTTCTCAGTTTAGGCCGAGGGACTTGGAGATGGATCGGTCATCAAATCGGGAACAAGATGGTCCTCAGATTGCGTAGACATTTAGGGTTATCTTCAGACGGCAAACAGATTTTTTATATTTCCGTGTCTACAAGGTTCATGCTTGCATTTCGTGAGAGGCAGCTTGCTTCCTTGCATGTTCTGGTGATGGGTCAGGATCGTTGAAAACTGGAAAGCAAATCTGAGGTGAAGATTTTGGCTTCATTTTAGTCTCTTCTGATCACCTTGGATCGAAAATTAGGTCAATAACCTTAATTTGGTTGGAAAATTGGGCAAAAAAGTCTTCATAATTGTGCATTTATGATGCAAAAATATTGATGACGAAGGCGGATAAGAAAAGTAAACCCGAAATAACTATCAACATCCTGGTCTAGATGGCATGTTGACGGAAAAATGGGTATAGAAAACACGAAGAAGGGAGAGGACATCGGTGCAATTTATTATTTAATGCTTGGTCAATAGCCCCTTGTGTTTCAGCAGCCTAGGCGATGGATCTATGTTTTCTATTAGCCTGTGCGTCGAATGCTTTCAGCTTTTTATTAGCAGCATCCTAAGGCTCCTCCCCAGCAATGACCTCCCCCCTTCCAGTCGCATCCTGAACAAGAGCCCAGTTGGCGGTTGCAGTAATAAATCTTCAGAAACTTCTAGTTATTGTCTTCGAAATGTCCATTGTTGACCTTGCTAGTTTTTATTTGGGCAATTTTCTGCTCTTTGTCTTCTGTTCTGGAGGTATTCACCCTTGGAAATCGACACAAAATCCTTTTCTATTATGCATCAAAGTGTTGACTATTTTCTTTTAGAAGGTGTCAAGCACGATCTCTTTGTGGACTTTTATCCATGTTTTGTGGGATCATCCGTTGTTATTTAGGTTATTCAACTCTGAGGATGAAACCCTCCCCAGAAACATTTGAATCTATAGATCACATGGGCTCATCTGCAAGGCTTAGGTTTTCCACAAAGGTGTTCAGCGGAGTAATTTCATTGCGATACACTCCCATGATGGTTGACCGGTGAACATGTGATCTTGGGATATTCGAACGATTGAAATAGCCAACGATCACTGACGATCTCTCCTGATGTCCTGATTGTACATTATTTTTTTCCAGTTGGTTGATTTATTAAACAGGATTTCCTCTAGATTCTTGGAGGCCCTAATCCTTTCCTCTTGTTGTGCTCTTGCCAGACTCAGCCTGGGATGGAGTTCATTGGGGGATTTTTATGTGATTCATTCTCCCAGAATTCGTTCTCGCATCAGGACATTCAGAGATGCCCCTTTCTGCGGAACATCAATGAGCCCACAAACTTCTCCTTCTCCTCGTCCTTTGATTTCCCCGCTGCGCCCGTGGTGAGTTCATCCTTGTTCCACGCACTGGGGCTCCTGATTCCTCCATTATGCTCCCTTTTTTGGAAAAAAAAGACTGAAGATTGGAGATCTGCTGCAGGTGAGGGCCGCCAAAGGTCCCATCTTTGAGGATGGGCCCAACTTCGACATGGCATTCAGGCTCTTCCACGGGCGGGACGGAGTCGTCCCGCTCTCCGGCAGATCCCTCCCCCATGAGAGGGACCTCAAGCCGGCGGAGCCCGCTCTCCAGTTCAACCCTTTGGCCGCCAAGGCCGCCACCATCAGCCTCTCCGCCTTCGGCCCCGGCGGCCCGTTCAGCTTCGATGCATTCTCCAACAAGTGGAAGAAGCAGAAGAAGAATAATTCCAGGAAGGATTCTCAGGTACGATGGATCTCTGAGATTGTTCATCTTGTTCTGGGTTGGAGTTCGAGTTCTCCCTCTCCTGATGCGTTCTTCTCTGTGTTGGTCGTCACCAGGGACGGAAGAACACATCGCACGAAGCCGAAAGCAACGAGTGGCTGGAGACAGGGCAGTGCCCGCTCGCGAAGTCCTACCGGGCCGTCAGTGGGGTGCTGCCGCTGGTCGCGAAGGCGTTGCAGCCGCCACCGGGGATGAAGCTGAAGTGCCCGCCGGCGGTGGTGGCGGCACGCGCGGCCCTGGCACGGACGACGTTAGTGAAGACTCTGCGCCCGCAGCCGCTGCCGGAGAAGATGCTGGCGATGGCACTGCTGGGCATGGCGGCCAACGTCCCACTCGGCGTGTGGAGGGAGCACACGCGGAAGTTCTCCCCGCAGTGGTTCGCCGCCGTCCACGCCGCCGTCCCCTTCATCGCCATGCTCAGGAAGTCCGTGCTGATGCCCAAGACCGCGATGGCCATCACCATCGCCGCCTCCATCCTCGGCCAGACCATCGGCTCCCGGGCGGAGCGTCTCCGCCTGAAGTCCGTCGCCGCCGCCGGCGCCGCCCCGTCTCCGGCGACCATCGACGCCTTCGTACCCCTCAAGAAGGACGGCCCCTGTGGCGTGGAAACCGCCTGGATGCCTCTCCCCCTCGATCCCACGGCGGCGGCGGCGGCGGCGGCGGCGGCGGCGGCGGCGGCGGCGGCGGCGGCGGCGGCGATTGCTGCTCCTTCCGGCCCAGCGCGCGTCTGCGTCTGATCGACGGCGGCGGACCAGAGCCCTCTCAAGTCTGTTCACTTGAGTTCCGTCTGTAACCTTCTTCCTCGACGTGGTGGGTGGGGAAGACGATAATAAATGAGACCGTAAACTCTCTCTCCCTCTCCCTCTCCCTCTCCCTCTCCCTCTGTGTCTCTGTGTTCTGTGTCTCTCTGTCTCTCTCTCATTTCAGTACGCGGCCATTGTGGGATTGATAACATCCGCAATTCGATTCCGGCTTTTGTTCCTCTGTGGCGGATCTTCCCCGGCACCACGTAAAATCTGTCCCGCTATCTAAACGCCATCTTCTTTACCTGAGGAGCCCTCGGCAAGGTGGGGCCCATGGAACACGTGGCTGTGGGACAAAACGGCTCCCATTCGAGTAAAACATGGGCCCATCTCGATACGACACTGGGTCTCCGGCCCATATTGATACGCCCATAGTGCGAGAGAGGAGAGAGAGAGAGAGAGAGAGAGAGAGAGAGAGAGGCATGTCGAACCGTCGTCAATGTGGTTGCCAAGTCCATCCCGAACTCGCCACTCAGTGTTATTTGTCTCGTAACTGGGAGACGGCAGGAAAGCGACCGGTGGCGTCAGAGTTAGAGCCATGCAAGGGAGGAATCAGAACGCCGGGAAGGTGCTCTACGCCGCCGCTGCATCGGACTCCTCCCTCAATTTCTTCCCCACGGAGAATGAAGACCGTGGAGTTTCTTGCCCCCAGGAGGCGGGAGGAGGACAGGGTTCGTGGTCGGATCTACATGCCCTGCGGAAGCTGTACCGCCTGGTTCACGTCCAAGACGATGTGAGTTCTCCCATCTTCACTCGATCCGTTCTCCGCGTGGAATCCCCCTGGCGTCCTCTTCGACTATCAAATTCCTCTGAATCTCCATCGTTCGCCGTGTTGTTGTCTCTCGATGAGAAGTTGGACGAGAGATCGAGATCCCTGCTCAGGAGACTGCTCGACGAAGCCACTCAACGGGCCATCCACTCTGATCTCGAGGTGATCGTCTGCTTCCTACGCCGTCTCCTTCTCTGAGAGACCAGTTCCATTTTCCAGCGTCTCAGTGTTCCGCCTTCTCCTTCCAAACCTACAGGGTATGGCTGCCCCGCCGACGGCCGACGGAACTGCGCGAGATCCCGCCAATTCGGAGGAATCTCGAGTTCGCCGCCCCTGCAACCTCCTCCCCAAACCGCCGGCCTCCGGGTCGGAACGGCCGACTGAGAGGAGAGGACGAGCCGATTCCCCCTGTCGCCCGCTTAGCCGTGGTGGCGCCGATCGGGTTACCGCTCTCTCTGTAGGGGCGGGGACGACCGAGTCAGTACCGGGTCGGAAGCTGACCCGTCCAGAGGCCGCAGCGGGTCGGCGAGTGAACCCGGACCAGGCAACGGTTCATCACAAGAGGAACCGAGCCGAAACCGCCGAACTTCCGTTGACGCCGCCGCGGAAGGATAGCGGGCTAACCAGCGGGTCGACCCGGGCTGGGCCGCCCCGTCACCGGGCGAAGACCGAGATCCGGTCCACCGGCCGGTCGGATCTCGCCGATCGGACGGCTGAGAGCTCGAAACAATTAGTTATCAGGAAGGAGACGCCGGTTCGAGCTCGGCGCTCCGGTTCGGGGAGGAGGGAGCGGCGCTTGCCGATACGCGAACTCGGTGGTCGTCGAGGGTCGCCGAGTTCCGGGACGAGCTGCGGGTGCGAGTCGTGTGCGGTGCAAAGTCCACGCGGCCGCGGCTCGGGGTCCTCCTCTGACGCGGCAGCGCCACCCAGGAGGCCACGGCGGGGCGCGGTGGCGAGGCAGGAACCAGTGCGACCTTCCGGTGTCTTCAGGAAGAGCGGCGATCCACGTGGGATAGCTTCGGCTCGCCACAGCTCATCGGCTTCGAAGCGGGAGGTTCCTCCTGCGCTGCGGCCAGCCACGAAGGAGAAGAACCGTCCGCAGAGATCCCCGACGATGACGAAGAAGAAGAGCCGGAGCATGGAGACGGAGAAGAAGGACGGACGGCTAAGAAGGATCAAGAACAAGCTGGGGTTCATCTTCCTCCACCACCACCATCACCACCACCACCATCCGTCATCCGATTCAGAGAAGGGCGGTGACGAGGGCCGCCGGCGCCGGCGCCGCATGGAGCGCCGTCATCACAGGTCCCTCGGGGAGCTTCTCCGGGGTCTGCTGCACCACTCAGGAGTGAAGCCCGCGGAGGGGGGCCTCCCTCCGCCCCCTCGGCCGGAGCGGGAGCGTAGCTACGCACACGCGCTTCTGGAGGGGCTGCTGCGGTACGTGTGGAGGAGAAACCGGAGAGAGAACAGACCTGCGCGGCTGCCGCAGCCGCGCAGGAAGCTGTACTGGTGGCAGAGGATCCGCCGGCGGCGCGGGGTGAGACTCACCGGCCGGAGGAAGTCGCGCCTCAGGTTAGGAATCGGACGGCGGCCCAGCCGTGGTCATAACGGCGTCAAGAACAGGAGATAACGGCAGGAAAGGTCTGCTAGGCTGGTGATCGTCTTTCATCTCTTTTTTTTAATTTTTAACGCTCAAAAGCTTATTATATTAATGCGAACAAGTAAGGTTTTCCGAATCTCATAGCTGTGTCAGAAAAAAAGACGGAATCTTTCAACAGGAATATTCTACTTCCGTCTCCCTAGCGGTTCGAGATTCCGTCCGAGGAAGTCCACGAAAGCATCCAGTGAGCCGGCGGAACTCCTCGGGAAGCCTGCGTCGAAGATCGAGCGGACGGCGGCCGCCCGTTCCTTGACCCCATCATCCGCCATCAGCCGTTCGATCCCCCTCGTCACGTCTCTCCTCGTAACCCGCTCGCCAGGATCGGGTGAGGCGGTTCGGACCGGGTAGCCGACTCTGAGCCGGGCGGTGACCAGCTTCGAGTTGGAGACCTGGTCCCCCTTGATTGGCCACGCCAGTATGGGGACCCCCTTCGCCAGCGCCTCCACCGTCGAGTTCCACCCGCAGTGGCTGAGGAAGGCCCCCGTGGAAGGATGGCTCAGGATCATCAACTGCGGGGCCCACCCGCGGATTACCAGCCCGCGTTGGCTCTCCTCCGCCTGCCTCGCCAGATCCTCCGGGAAGTACCCGCCGCCGCCGCCCGGGGGCCCCCCTGGGCCCATGGGGCCAGCCTGCAGAACCCAGATGAAGGGCCTGCGGGACTCCTCCAGCGCCGCCGCCAGCTCCTCCAGCTCCTCATCGGCAGGGCCGACGAGCGTGCCGAAGGATATGTAGACGACGGAGGCCGGCGGCTTCGCGTCCAGCCACGCACGGATCTCGCCGTCGGCGACCCCGAACTCCCGCTGTTCCTCCGGCCGGGCCGCCTCGTCTCCGACCGGTTCGTCGGCGGTCGACCAGAATCGGGAGGGGAGGAGGGGGCCGACCCCCCAGACCGGCTTACCGGACTCCTTCGCGATGTACTCCAGGAATGGGCGCTCCACCGCGTCACACGTGTTGAACAGCAGCGCCGCCACCCTGCTCGTCTCTCCGAGCCCGCGCTGTGGCCCTCTCCCCCCTCCCTGCGCCACCGGTACGCCATCGGCACAGGGCGGCATGAGGGGCGGCGGAGGAGCGGCGCCTTGCTGAGGGGGCGGACGGCTGGGGAAGTGACCCTGCTGGAACTGAGGCGGCGGCGGTGGCCAAAATGGCAGGGCCGAGCCGCCATCGGAGTGGCCCCTTGGTGACGGCGGGCTGCCGTGCGGCGGCGGTGGCCAAAATGGCGGGGCCGAGCCGCCATCGGATGGGCCCCATGGTAACGACGGGCCGCCGTGCGGCGGCGGATCCTGTCGTAGATCGGACGCTGTGAGGGCCATGTCCTCGGGGAGTCCCGGAACAGCTAGAGTTCCCTCTGGGCCCAGATCCTCCTCTGAGAGCTTGGAGGCGGCGTGCTCCAGCGCGGCGGCGCAGCCGCTGGACGTGAAGAAGCTGACGACGGGCACACCGAGGCTATCACACGAAGGGATGTAGCTGCTCATCATCACGTCCACGATCGCGCACAGCAAGGGAGGAGACGCGCCGGATCGTCTCGAGAGGTACTCCTCGAATGCGGGGTCCCGATGGAGATGTGGCGGAGGGGAAGGAGACGGGTGGCCGTCGGCGGCCGCAGTGTCCGTCGGCGGCGGCGGTGGAGGGGCGGCGAACTGGTGGACCGTCACGATGTCGTGGAGGGGAGAGCTGGGCAGGGAGGGGAGGAAGAGGGTGACGGAGAGGCCACGGGCGGCGAGGTGGTGGGACAGCTCGATGGCCGGGAAAGTGTGGCCCTTGCTGTGGAAGGGCACGACCAGCACCTCCCCTTCTTTAGGAGACGACATGGCTTCGTAGGTTGAGGAACGACGAGTAGAAACGGAGGGCGCTTAAATAGCGAAGGTAACTTCTCAGCCAAGCGACGAACACCGCCTTTGACTCACGGTTGACGGCTGGACTCATGGTTGGTACACGTGGCACGCGTGAACTCTTGGCCGGCCGCTTCTAGATTTGAACACGTGGATAGCCACGATCGAATTCACTCCCACTCGGCCGTTTTAAGTACTGTAGGGCGGAGTTCGTTTTCCCGCCAAATCGAGGCCACCGTGCTGGAGCGGAACCCTACCGCAAACCTCAGAGATATCTCCCGTCGAGCCATGGTCTCTCCATATGCAATGCCTGATCCCTCGTCTCCTCTGGCTGCTGAAAGGAATCCTGACAGAGATCTCCAGGTTTTGTTCTTGCTCGTCGTCTTCCCGCTCTTTGGATTGTTCCCACATCGTATGAGTTTCTTACTTGTAAACGATTTTGTGTAGCCGTTCTTTGTTTTGCGCAAACCAGAGCCTGGAAAGGTCGTGACGACGGAAGCGACGCATGGGAAAGCAAGAAGGAAGATCGACCTCTCTCAGTTGTCCCCCAACTCCAGAAAACCGTCTGCGGCATTGCCATTCGAAGAGGATGCTGATGCGAATTACGAGCAGCTCCGTATGCAGAGCTTCAATGCGACGTGGTCGAAGATCGAATGCACTATCCAGGTCCCACATTTCTCATTTCTCTCTCTCTCTCTCTATCTCTCTCCCTCCCTCTCCCGGCTCTTCCGCATTTCCTGTATTCTTATTTATTGCGATTCGTTAGGGCCGATTTGATTTTACTATCTCTCTTTTCTCATAGTAGGGATGTTTGAAACAAATGAACCTTAGCCTGTTCGAAGAGGTTCGCGGATGGATCTATGAATCCTTCGACAAGATCAAATCTACTGGACTGCACTCCGTCTCAAACACTCTTTGCCCATATCCTCTTCTAACAGATGGAATCTACCGGCAAATTTTTACAGCATTGATCCTCACAAGTGAGCCAATGAATAGAGCGCATTTGACTTGTCAAATTTGTGCGACTTTGTATTTTTTTTCGATTTTCTATTTATCAAAGTATCTTCTCCACAGAGAATATGGAATTCATTGACGATCTATTGACATTCCAAGATCTTGGCGAACATTTAAGATCCAGTGGATGTCATATTGCAAATCTATCATATTCGGATTTCACAGTTAAGCATGGGATTGCTGGTTGTTTCAAAAGCTTGCTTAGACAGCTAGTCATGGTTTCATTGGAGGTAGGTTTCCGCAAAGTTTTCTCTTTACTATTAAGCCGGACATGTGAGCTCACTCTTCTTTCACTGATACTGTTCCCACAGGCATACGATATAACTGCATTAGCCTCATGGTACTGTCAAAAGGAGAACAATGGCAAACCCGTGGTTCTCATTATTGATAGCATAGAGCAATGCTATGGTCCTGTCCTAGCTGGCTTCATCTCAATCATAGGGTATTCCTTGGTTTTTTTTAAGTCAATATTCATATTTTAACTTTTTCCCAATCTCTAGTAGTTGGTAACTGTCATCCTTAACTGCATATGTATATACGTGTTCGTATTGTTGAAGCACATTTACCATCTACTATCCACATTTATGAATCAGTATCTGTTTCATCCTTGTAACTCTCTAAACCTTAAGGTGTTCAACTCTCTAAATCCTTAAGGTGTCTGCCAGATGTCAATCATTTTTCGAAGCAGTAGTAGATCTGAAATTCAGGTTCTTTGATATACCCTTTAGACCAAGGGGATCTTTAATCTGATGAAGTTACAATATACCTTGGAGAGCTTTATGCTTCAGATATTAATCTCAGACCTCATTGATGAGACCTTAGCTTTATCAAATAGGCCATAGTAGCTGTCTGTGAGATTATGTTTAATAGTTCACGAGCATGATATCGATCTGGCCCTGTTCATAGATTTTCCGTGTTTCTGACGAATTACAAGTTCATGCTTAGAAGAAACGAAATAAATCTTTCATTTATTGTAGAACTTTTGCTGAAATTCATTAAAAGGCTGCTAGCTTAAGTGACTTGCTCTGTTGCATAAACTTGTATGCTACCATTCGTTGTCTCCTGGTTAAATGAGATTGATTTTCAATCAAAAGAGTTGGGTTCATTTGGTGTTATAACTACAGGAACGATGACCAGGATGGGATATCTTTTAGAGAATCTGGATTATATTTTTAGATGAAAAATGATGCTTTTTCGCTATTTATAGATTTCTTTTCTCTTCTTTCATGAATGGATAATTTAACAGCCACAGATCCCAATCAAGATCTCAGACAATGTAGGTAGTTTTGCTCACCTTGTATTAGATTTCCGTTTATTAGTTGCTTTTTATTTTTGTCTTCATTATCCCTTGTTTTTGTCATTTTTACATAGCAGTGCTTATTTTTCCAGCGAGTGGGTAATCAAGATCCCAATCATCTTAGTCTTTGGGGTTGCGACTACTATCGATGCTCTAAGAAAACAGCTTCCATCAGAAGCATTGCAATGCTTGAATTGTTGCAAATTCACCTTGCCATCTCCTTCTGAGAGAATGAATGCTATTGTTGGGGCAATATTTGCAAAACCAAGTTTGGGGTTTAGTGTGGGACATGAAGTGGCAGTGTTCTTGAGAAACTATTTTTCAAGGCACGATGGAACAATAACATCCTTCATTAGGGCATTGAAGGTTAGCACTACCGTAATTATTTTTATTCGGGCGAGTCCATCAGCATGCGTGTCTAGGAGCTCTCAATCATAAATGTTCTTGTTTCTTGCAGATTGCTTGTACTAAACACTACTCCTTGGAGCCTCTGAGCTTTCTGAGCCGTATCATGTATGATGAAGAAACAGAGGTCACATTTTTTTGACTTGTAATTTGATTATAGTTTTGACGTAAGGATAATACTGTTGCATGAGGAATATCTAAGTGAAATATTAATATTTCATTATTGAAGGACTACGTGTGGGCGAGTAATATTTGTCTTAAAGTTGACTAAACACTAATAGATAATTACTAGGAACGGAATCAAACGTGAGCTTTGATTTCTTGCAATTTCTTGCAATTGAGTTTCCTATATTTATTTAATTTTATTTTAATCTTAAAATATATACTATTTGTATAATCAAAGGCCAAAGATGTATTTTCCCGGTCAGATGTGATTTTAAATGGAATATCAACATTACTAATTCTTGTCACAAGTGGTTTTCTTATTGACTTCCGTTTTGGCATCGGTAAGAGATAGAAATCTACCACTTTTGAAATCATATTCAAGGTATATCTTTGAGGTAAATATACATAGAAGTGAGACCAAAATCTCGCTGAAAAATTGTGACCATTTACTGCAACAAGAAAAATACGTGAAGTGGTGATGAAATTAGTTAATGCAAGGAGTGCTTGAAAACTGATGGGATATATAATAATTATTCCCCAAAACGGACAATGCTTAACTTTTGTCTAATTTTTGAACATGAACTTTTTCATGGCTCAGGGTACCTGGAGCATTATGTGTGAATCATTGCCTGTCTCAAAACTCGAGTATGCTTTTGATCTTCCATCTTGCAGAAGGTATTGAAATGAATATTACATTGACGTTTGTCACTCTGGAACTGAAAATATGGTATGCAATGATTGATGACGACTTTTTTTTACCAGGGATAGTTTGAATAGGAAATCTGGTTCCGAAATTGCGCAAGGGTTGTTTGATTTTAGGAGACTGTGGAAGGGTTGGACCTGTGTACTCCTGGTAAGCCTTTTTAGTGTTTGTTAAAGGTGGATATGAATTGACATAACAGCTTTATGGGTAACATTGGCGCCTTGAACAAAAAAATTTCTTGTCAATTTTGATAATAAATAGATGCTGTGGAGTTTAGGTGGATACCTATATATATATAGCGATAAAAGTCTGAGCATGCCTTACGTGTATTTCCTGTTGTTAACTAATGTGGAATCTATTTTAAAATAAACGTATTCATTTCAAGAATCCCGCGCATGAATTATGCTCGGTGGCAGAGGGTTATTCATGGGATTGTTGGATTATCAACAGGATAGCACATTGACAAAGTGGTGTGCATGTCTTTGGCATGCATTGGATATTGTGGTCGGATAAATGAGAGTTTGCTAAAATTTCCAGGGTACCTTGTCTGTTTTGTTACAGTTTTGGAGTACAAGTCTGCTTAGAAACTTCGCCATATTCACTTGATATTGCCTTCCATTGCTTCAGATCATTTCTTTTTTTTTTGATGTTTGTCTTTCTTACAGTGCCTGTTTGAGATAGGAAGAATTAGCAAAATGCAGCTACTAGACATTTTCTGTGAAGCTATAGGTCAAACGACATCTGATGTACATTCCTCAAATGGCTCGTCACTGTCTTCTGTTACTAGTCAGAAACTGTGCCATGCAAGTTCTCAGTCTGCGAAAGGAAGGCTCATTGGTCAGGCAATACAGAAGGTAAGGTATGTATTGTATCTACTTCAAGTTTCTTGGCATTTTACATCCTTGTAAATTCTGGTTGATCCTGGAAGAAAGGCTTATTGTGTTATCTTTACTTTACAAATATTTAGTCAAATCTGCAGCACGTTCCTGAAAATTTAGAGATTCTGGTGATAGATAAAAATTTCTAACTGGTATCTGGCGGTATATTATTACTACGAAGATGCATTATGGATCACGAGGAACAATTCTCATTGTCATCTGTGTTTTCATAGGCATTTCCTGTTGCAATGTGTAACACCACTGGGACCCAACGTACAAATAGAAAATGGATAACTACGATCCCTACGGGAGTGGTTAGAGAAATCATTAGGACACTCCAGAGAGAGACAAGATGGAACCCTAACTCGGAGGTACCCCGACCTCCGTTCTCCTTTCCCAAAGATAGAGATGTCCCCTTCCTTCTACCCCTCCCCCCCCTTAAGTAGTCACCCCCTTCTTTCCTCCTACCTAGTCTGTTCTTAGTGGGCCAACTCCTGTGGTCTCCGACGTTTATAAGTCAGGCCCACGGGTCTGACGCAATGACTCTCAGATGCAAAAGCACGTAGTTTGTGTTCCTCGCATATATCAAGAGTCTGTTTGTCTTTGTACTCGCTCTCGGAAAGGATTCGTTGATGTTAGAAGTGGTCTCTTATGACTATGCAGGTTGTGGATTCTGTATACTCTAACCAGATCAGTTGCGTTCCACCAATCTATGAATTTTTATTTTACTGCGGTTAAAATTATTTCTAGAGTTTTTTTTTATGGTCTTTCATTATGAATGTTTTTAACAGCAGTGGAATGGGTGTCCAAACAGGGCCTTGTTAAGTCAAACTGTACCCACTGCTCTCTTAATTATGCACGAGTGTTGAGAAGGTTTTCTTCATCAGGCATTGTTTATATATGGCCGACTGAGTGAATGGCAAACGACTTCTCTTCCAGTGGTCTTCTCCACTTACCCTCTTCTTACATGAGGCTGAAAATAAGGGACTTGGAATTCGCAGGCTCTGATCCATCCCTACCCAGCCCTTAACGCTCTCGGAATGAAGCCAGCATGGCTATGGGCTGAAGTAGCCTAGAATAGGTCAATTATGAGTGGTTCAGCCCTTGTTGGTCTATATCTGCCCGAACAGGCACCATTTGGCCATAACAGATGGCTGGTCCAATCTCAACCCCGATATGCATTGCTTTTTCCACAGTAATGTGGAACCAAGTGAATGGAAATCTCATTGTCCTGTAGTTATGGTCAGAAAGGATATTGCCACAGAGACCGGTGAAAGCAAGTTTGAAAGCGATTGTGGTCCTAATATATTATGGATGGACCTATATGCAGCGATCTTTTTCAATAGTACAAGTATTTCTGAGCAATTGTATTGGATTTCTCGTTGCGGAATCATTCACTTAAATTGGATGTTATCAGCTCGGACTACAGAACTTCCATAACTTATGGGGCACACCATTCATTGTTCACAGGGAATATGTTCGGATGTTAATTTACCTGCATGTTAGTGATGGGATTTAATTCACATTTTCACTTAATTTCTCAGGGAAATTTCACCAGCGTCGCTCTCATCTTTGCTTGAAAGTTGGGCAAAGCATACCAAGGACATTGATGAGGTACACCTTATGAATCCTGCAAATTCTTTTTCATGCGAATGATAATAATATTTTCTAAATAAAATTGAATAAAAAGGTGAAATAAAATAACTCTTATTCCTCTCATGTAATCCTAACTAAAAAACGAGAGGTACGCCATACAAGTTTGGAATGTACAGAATCTATGGCTAGCTGTCTAATCAGGACCCACTTCCATCAAGATATTTGGTTATACTGTAGATGGGGAACCCCTGTGCATTGAAAAGGAAAGTCTGAGCCAGAGTAGACATAGAGCATCTGTCGACAGTAGCTCCCTCCCTCAGAAAAGTGGACCCTTGTCGGCTGAGGAAGTATGCACAGCCAGACAACGTAAATTGTTTGATTCTCTCTTTTTCTCGCTCTGAGATGTATCGATCAATCTTAAAAAAAAATCATCGTCTGAGAATATTTGAAAATTTTGAATTTTCCTGATTCTTCAATGCCTGATAAATGTTTGATTGTTCCGTGTGCTTCTTTTAGATTCACAGCAAAGTGAGGCAGCTGCAATCTTTATTGAGATCTGTAGATAACGATGGGGCGAGTGTGAGGAAGGAACATATTAAGATTGGCAGGTGCGCCGTTCTTCAGGATTGCTTATCACAACATTTTTTTATTATTTACTGCTCATATTTAAAGTTGGTTATCAGACCTTGCAATAATTTAAATATAAAAAAAATAATTTTCCCTCACTTGTTGTAGGAGGCCTGCACTGGAGATCTTTGCGGATGTTGAAGATGATGGGGCTCTGAAAGTCAACGAGAAAGCCGCCATGCTGATGAAACAGATCGTCGAGTATGTGCATAAATCTCATTTGATGTCCCATGTCTTCCTGCTACGACTTTCCTGAGTCTCCTCGACCATATTTTTTTCTCCCGACTTTTGTTTTTATTTTTATAGTCTAACATCTAAAAAAAATAAAAGTTTCTTCGTCAAACTGATTTATCGTCTAATATTCATGCAGTCAAATATAATTTACTGCCGTTTAGAGTTATACCATTCTTACATCGGTGATTATGAATATATACTGAGATTCCATCTCAATTTCTTTGACCGTTCTTGCCGCATTGCTTGATATGGCTCAGTCTACTCGTCCAGCATCCGCGCTGACGTTCCCTTTCCTAAACTTGTCAACTGGGATTTGTTTGACTTTTGGAGAACAGGGATATGCTGAAGCCCATCGAGTCTATCCCTTTCCATGAGATTTTCTTCTTCAAACACGTTGGCGTGCTTAGATCGGTGAGTCCTTCGGAGACTTCTGCTCTCGCATTCCCAGAGCATGAAACGGTGTAAAAAGGTCAACTTTCTTTCATGCGAGACCCTGCACGCGTTTTAGTTTTCCTTTTTTGTCCAGGCGTTGACTGGAGATCCGAGGAAGATGATCCAGCTGGACCTTCTCAAGTCGCCGTCCTATCTTCGCTGTATCTGCTGCCGCACAGGAGATAAAGCCCTGAGACCGTCCATGCACGACACCTCGATCCTGTAAGACTCTCCAAACCTTCCCTCCGATCCCTCTCGAGCCTTTTCTCGTCAAAAGGGATCGCGATAGAAGGTTCTTTCCATGGTCAACCCTCCCTCCCTCTTGGGGAGCTACCCGTCTGACTGCGCCTTCTCATCTGTCTGTCTGCTTTAACAAGGTACCACCTCGCTCAAGAACACGGCGATTTCGTCAACCTCCACGATTGGTACAACTCGTTCAAGACGATCCTGACTTCCCGAAGAGACTCTCGACGGAAGGTGAAGGGCTCGTCGACACCCCAGAAAGCATCCGCGGGGCCTCCTACTTCAGATTTGACCGAAGCTTCAATCCAGTATCCTTGAGAGAGAGAGAGAGAGAGAGAGAGAGAGGGATGGGATCGTCACCATTAACGTGGATCCTTAGCACGCGCTACCTCCAGGGCACGATTCTGCCGGGCGGTGACTGAGCTCCAGATCGCGGGGCTGCTCCGGATGCCGAGCAAGCGACGGCCCGATCACGTGCAGAGGGTCCTCCTGGGGCTCTAGCTGAGCGAGCTGTTCCAGGTAAACCAGAGATAGCCTCTCAAGTCTCCCATCTGGTGGGAACCCGTTTCTCTCTCAGAATCGGCACTTTATCCCTCTCTCTCTCTGTCCCCACGGTGGCAGGAAGCTCCCCCGCGAAGTCAAGGACGCCTTCTGCTCGTACGTTGCGGCGAGGACCAGAGGGGGTCATCACGGATCGAATCCAACCGGAAGGTTCGAACTGGGGGGATTATAGAAGACGTATAGCACCACGTGTGAAGCGTACCGTCGTGCGCACTGGACACGTGGGGGCGAGGGGAGGCACGACCCCTCGAGTCCAAGGGAATCGACGAGCGAGGCCTCTGCCGCGCCGTCTGTATCAAAATGGACCCTGTCACGGGGGCCCGAGACATAATGTGCCTTTACGTGATAAAGAAAACCTTCCGGTACTCTCCTTCGCCCTGTCGGTGGCGAAGACGCGTATTACTATCCGTATGTGGCCTTGCCTCTCCGGCCGCCAGTCTGACACCCGCTTATCGTCACCTTCTCGTTGATGGATTATTCCACCTGTGCAGCCAACTGTTTTTAAGAAATAACTCAGATCCCTCCTCTCTCTCTCTCTCTCTCTCTCTAGGTGTGCTCGTACCTCTCCGCAGCGTGGTGTGGAGGGGTTACCTCCGTCTTCCCTCGCAGTATTTAACAGCGGGGGCGGTCGGGGGATGGGTGCATCGCTCCCTTAGAACAGCAGCGCCGGTGATCGTCTTCCCCCCGTCTCCCGCATTCGTCTCCGCGCCGTCGGTGGGATTCCGCCGACTCCCGATTCCGCCGCCCGCGCCGGAGGGTCGGGGGGGTTGCCAGGTAAATGACTCTGGGACCTCTGGTCCTCTCTCGTTTGCTTGATCCTCTTCGGAGATTCTTTTCCCGGCCGATTCCACCGCAATTCCCCCCCGGCATTCTGCTCGACCGCTTCGCGCGTCGGATCTGGCCCCCGTAATCCTCCTGTTCCTCCCCCAGATCTGTCTCAGATCCTGATCTCTCTCTCTCTTTCTCTCTCTTGTTCGCTGCCTAGGGTTCTTTCTTCGTTGGGGATGTCTCCCACCGTTGGCTGCAACGGCGCGAAGGCGCCAGGCGCGCCGTTCAAGATCTTCGTGGGATACGATCCCCGGGAGGCGGTGGCGTACGATGTCTGCCGGCGCTCCATTCTGAAGCGCGCGTCCATCCCCGTCGAGGTGATCCCCATCAAGCAGCCGGAGCTGCGCGACGCGGGGCTCTTCTGGCGGGAGCGCGGCCCCACCGAGAGCACCGAGTTCTCCTTCACCCGATTCCTCACCCCCTACCTCGCCGGCTACCAAGGGTGGGCCGTGTTCGTGGACTGCGACTTCCTCTACCTCGCCGACGTCGCCGAGCTCGCCGCCCTCGCCGACGACCGCTACGCCGTCATGTGCGTCCACCACGAGTACGCCCCCAAGGAGACCGTGAAGATGGACGGCGTGGTCCAGACGACGTACCCGCGGAAGAATTGGTCCTCTATGGTGCTCTACAACTGCGGCCACCCCAAGAACGTGGCGACTCTGACGCCAGAGACGGTGAGCACCCAGACCGGCGCCTTCCTCCATCGCTTCCAGTGGCTCGACGACGCCGAGATCGGGGAAGTCCCCTTCGTGTGGAACTTCCTGGTGGGGCACAACAAGATGGTGGAGGGTGACCCGGCGACTTATCCCAGGGCTATCCACTACACGACCGGCGGCCCCTGGTTCGAGGCCTACAAGGACTGCGACTTCGCCGAGCTGTGGTTGCAGGAGTTGGAGGAGCTCGAGAAGGAGGCGGCCGCCCCGAAGCCCCTGGAATCCACGCCCATCTCGGCGGCCTGTCAGCCCGTCCTGGAGGCCTCGGCTCTTTAGAAGCTGTCTCCACGATTACGCAGCAGCAGCCCCTTCTTCTCCCTCCCCCCTCTACTACTCATTCCTCATTACCTACCCAGTATCGTTTTCCTTCTTCACCTGTCCCCCCGCCCCAACGCTTTCTGTTATTCTTCCTAATCTCACCGACGAGCAAATCCATGGCTCCCCGCTCCCCATCTCTCTGCACGTATTATTTGCCGCCGCCTGGTGTGACCCTGTACGGTACTCTCGTGTTGTAGCAGTACGGATAGCATTGTCTGTTCCTCAGAGTTCCTCTCATCCTCACTGCCTTTCCGGGTTGCCCTCTCCGGCACGCACGCACGCACGCCTTCCTCAGAGCAAACCCTTGGCCCCCAATCCAGGCGGATCTCTCCGGCCCCGCGGGGGAGGAGGAGGAAGACCCTGTCACCCGGCCAAGGTTCGAACTTTGGAAAAGACCAATCAAAACCCGCCATCTAACATACATCATATAATTGGGCTGATGAGATGGGTAATGGGCCGGCCCAGCTTCGGGCTGGCACGGCCCAAATAGGGGCGTGGACGATTTCGTTCCACGTGTTTCCCCCCGAAATGACGGCTAGTTTCCCTCGGCCTACTGCCACTGCCGGATTGTCAGTTCCCGTCTTCTTCTCCCTGCGCACGCGGTGGGCGCCCTACTCTGATCCACGGGATAATTGGCGGCTTCAATGGCCGCCGTAGCGCTGGCGTGGGCGCCGCTCCCTGGCATCGGTCGCAGATATCTGACCACAGCAGATGCGAACTCCGTTGGGCCACGTGACCGCCGCGTGGTGGCGCTGGCGGCGAGGACGGGGGTGGCGGATGGGCTGAGGAAGGGAATCGCCGAGTTCTACGACGAGTCCTCTGGCGTGTGGGAGAGCATATGGGGCGACCACATGCACCACGGATTCTACGAGCCAGGAGCGACGGCCTCCATCGCCGACCACCGCGCCGCGCAGATCTGCATGGTGGAGGAGGCCCTCCGCTTCGCCGGCGTCTCCGGTTGGTCGCCGCCGCTATTCTCTCCCATCTTTCCCTCGTTCCTCACTTCCGTTTTTTAGTATCTCGTCCGACCAGTGACTCAATTATTCCTCTACTTTCCGACGAGCAAGCAGGTTGGTTTGCTATGGATCTTTGATGGAGAATAATCTCTGGTTGTTCTCTTACTTTTTTTCAAGCTAGATTTGTCTCCCCTGCCTCATTATGCGCTGCTTTTTTCTGGGAGCCGCTTAATCCTACCGGATCTGTGCGCTGCCGCTGCCGGAACAAGAGGAGACAATCGCGCTGTTTCGGTCTCGCGGCGTGCTCTCTGCGGCCGAGGCGAGGTGTACTCCCTCGGTGTTCCCTCTGTCCTGATCTTCCGTCGAATAGCAGATCCAAATGAGTTTTTCGTTCTCGATGTCGAAACGTTCTTGCTGCTATTCCATCATTCGATTCATCTGAGATACTCTTCGTCGCGATGATTTCGGAAAACTTAATGGAGTTCCTCGAGAACACATCCTGTGTTTGGTCTTGATTTTGTTCGGCTGTTGATGTTCTTGGAGTTCCTCGAGAACACATCCTGCGTTTGGTCTTGATTTTGTTCTGCTGTTGATGTTCTCGGAAACAGATGATCCTCTGAGGAAGCCGAAGAACATCGTAGATGTCGGATGCGGGATCGGAGGGAGCTCAAGGTATCTAGCAAGGAAGTACGGGGCAGAATGCCGGGGCATCACTCTGAGCCCCGTCCAGGCCAACCGAGCTCAGTCCCTCGCCGCCGCGGAGGGCTTGGGCAACAAAGTATGTACAAATGCCTGCTGAGGGAATATCACCAATCAGAATACGCTGTTCATCGGCGAGCCTTGATTGTGGATGGTCTTCAAGAGGCTTCCCTAATTGTAAGATGCTTATTGAGGTTGGGCTTGGCGGCAGGTGTCCTTCCAGGTCGCAGACGCCCTGGAACAGCCATTCCCCGACGGACAATTCGACCTGGTTTGGTCCATGGAGAGCGGCGAGCACATGCCCGACAAAACCAAGGTACAATATCCTCTCTCTCTCTCTCTCTCTCTATGATCCTACTGAGAAAGAACACCTAGCCTTCTCTGCGCCAAACAGCTTGTACTACCGCCTCTCCTCAAGATTTCGGAGAGACCCATCTTGATGATGATTATGCATCTCTCTCTCTCTCTCGCATGGCTGCGGAGCTACGGATTGTCTTCACATTGATCCTTCTCTGGTATTACTATTTAACGGTGGGGACTTCGTTGTTGTTCCAGTTTGTGAGCGAGCTAGCGCGTGTGGCGGCGCCGGGAGGAATCATCATAATCGTGACCTGGTGCCACAGGGACCTCCTGCCGTCGGAGAACTCGCTGACCCCCGACGAAGTCAAACTGTTGGACAAAATCTGCGAGGCCTACTATCTCCCGGCGTGGTGCTCCGCCGCCGAGTACGTGAAGATCGCCGAGTCCCTCTCGCTGCAGGTGAGTTAACTTTTCTAAGAGAGAGAATGCAGAAGAATGCCAGATGAAAACTCCTGTCTGGTCCAGGACATCAAGTCGGCCGACTGGTCGGAGAACGTGGCTCCCTTTTGGCCCGCGGTGATTCAATCCGCCCTCACCTTGCAGGGCTTCGTATCTCTCCTCCGCAGCGGTGAGCTCCCATCCCTCTCCTGATCCCTTCAAACTTTCTTCCCGAGAAATTTAATGGAGAACCGACCCTTCGGCTTCCTCGACTAGGGTAGAACGCGGATGGGCCTCTCTCTCTCTCTCTCTCTCTCTCTCTCTCTCTCTCTCTCTCTCTCTCTCTCTCTTAAATCCCTCAGTTTGAGGAAAATACTAACCTTCTAGCGTGCGTTGGGAATTGTGGGGCAGGGTGGAAGACGATCAGAGGAGCCCTAGTGATGCCGCTGATGATCGAAGGCTTCAACAAGAACCTCATCAAGTTCGCCGTCATCACCTGCCGCAAGCCTTGAGGCGTTGACCAGTGAGGAGAGTCCTCTGCTGGTGGCTGGCTGACGACCTGATCGGTGCTCATTATCATGTTATTGTCAGTACTGCTACTTTGGGCATGTATGTAGTGGGTGTGGATCATTCGGAAGGTGGAATCTATCCTCCCCAGCTCCCATTCCACTTGAATGGTTCATGTGCGTTTTGTCCGCTAATCAGGTCCCGTTTGTGACAAGGATGCGCGTGCCGGCGTGCGTATGCGACATGCCGGCATGCGCTCCCACCGAGTTGGGGAGTAAATGGACAACGTGTAACGTGTAGTAGAAAGATGAGGCAACGTGCCGACACTAAACATGACAGAGAAAGTGCAACATTAGAAGGTCCTCCGATGAACCGGAGGCAGTCGGCCTGCTAATCTGGAAGCCAAAGAGAGTTGTCGTATCCGCCAGGAGTCGTCGTGACTTCATCTAGAGGACAGGCTAGAGAGAGAGAGAGAGAGAGAGAGAGAGTTGGCCTGGAGGAATTCTCGGAGGAAGAAGAGGAATCGTTTCCTCTCCAATCACATAACAAGAGGTCAAGTAGTTAGTAAGCTAATTTTGGCTTCGAAGTCAACTCCATCTCCCAAACGGCATTCACGATCAAAATCACACCCACACGATGAAAAAGATACACTTGACGCGAAAAGAAGCTTAAAAAACTATACAAGCGTTAACAAATTTCTCCTACTAAAGAAAAGACGAGAGAGAGAGAGAGGGAGAGAGAGAGAGAGCGAGAGAGCGAGCGAGCGAGAGAGAGAGAGAGAGAGAGAGAGAGAGAGAGAGAGAGAGAGAGCAACCGTGGAGACGAGGAACCGAGAGGAAAACAGCCCAACAAAAAAAAAGAGATCAGTACTGTTCTTGGCAGAGGAGAAGACGAAGAAGAAATGAAATCTTACAGAATGCTGGGCACGTGAGAGGAGAGCCTGAGCTGTAACTCTTTCACCTTCGTGGAGAGTTCCGCCTTCTGCTCCTTGTAGCTCTGAAGCAAGAACTCCTTCCCTTCGATCACCTCCTTAAGCTCCCCCACTTCCATCTTCAGCATCTCGATCCTCTGCGAGTCCCTCCCCTTCTCCGTCCCCGCACAGCTCGTCTCCAACCCGTGCGTGCCGCCCTCTGTGTACCCATTCGCGTAGCCGTTCGCTCGGCCATTGACGGCATTTGCCGGCCAGCTCTGTGATCCCACGGCCTTCTCCGGTGACCCCTCGCCGGCGACACACTGATCAGCGATCGCCTTCCTCAGCTGCTGGATTTCCCGTTCCGAGCCCAGCAGGTCCCTGTTGGCGCAGTCGAGCTGGGCCTGCAAGTGCGCTGACTGGGCCGCCTGTGCGCCCAGCGACCGATGGAGATCAGTGATCTGCGCCTGCATGTCGAGGATCATCTCGTCTCTTCTCTTCAGTTGCTGCCGCAGCTTGTGGATCACCTCCCTCTTGCTGAAGATGTCCGAGCCAGACTCTGAGACGCAGGGAGAGTCCGAAGTGTTCGAATGGTGGAAGGCCTTCCGGGGAAGCTCCAGGCGCTCGGGAGACGAAGCCCACATCATGCCGGCGCTGTCCTTGGTGGCTTCGTTGACTGATACCGCCACAAGCGGGAGGTCGGGGTCGCCTTCCTTCAGTATTGGGCTGGAGGCCGTCCGCTTCATGTCCATTCTACCTTCTGACATACCTGTCGGAGAAATATACGTTTTCAATAATCGTATGTTCAGACGTTGGTGTCTGGTTCTTTTAGCGTTGACTAAGCTTTTGTCCAGGGGGATGGCCAAAAGAAGCGATTTCTATGGTTAGTACCTGTCAACTGAACAGGATGGAGACTGTTCTTGAAACCCTACTCCTTTATACCAAAGAAAAAAATAATATAAACGATTTTTTCTGATAAATTGTACTTTATGAAGATCAACTAAGCACTTCTGTTAGCACATGGCAAAAGGAAACGCTAGCAGAACATCTTCAGCTTGTTAATTTCTCTCCCACATTTCTCGTTTCTAAATAAATAGCAAATGTCTGTACAATAACCAGACAGAGGAAAAGGAACTACATATCTGACATAGCGGAAGATGGAGGAAATCGTCCCTTGAATCCACAAGGGACAAAATCTACAGTTCTCGAATCCACAAGGATGGGATAGTGTCGATCCTTGGGCCCAAAAGGATCGAAAAACAAAGCTCTTGAACTACAGGCCAAGGCTGATAGCAATGTAGAGGCAAACAATGGACTGAAAATGGAGATCAGTCCGTTGTACCCATTTGGGAGGCCAGGGCCATAAAGCAGCATGTATATAAATGCTCTTCATATTCCGCATGTCACAGGTTTCCGGGTTTTTAAAGATGTTTTGATGTTACCGTCTTCTACAATCGAAGAAAAATCTTGAACGCATTTGAAGGACAAACCATTGGACCAAAATAATATTCACCGAATTCTCAGTTCAGGTGAATGCTACTCAGTTAAAAGTCTCAAATAATAATATTCCGCCAAGAATATAACTAATCTATTTTTATCTTCGATTCAGTGTCAAAAAAAGTTATATCCCCCTTCCCATCCATTGATGCTTAGAGCCTCACTCTACACAAAACCTTGTGACGTCTATCCACTGATCACTATAGAATGCCTCCACAAAACTAAATTTATTCCATAATGAGAAAGTTTCCGTTTATCAACCAACAAAGCGATGAACAGAGCACTTTGTAAACAGCATGTTTCCGTGCATAGTCAGTAGAAACCGAAAAACTAAGTGAACTCCATATAAACAAAACTGACGTATAACTTAGAACCCAGATAAAATTTAGAGCTGCAGAGATACTTGGTCAAACTTTGGAGAAGTAAAGTGTGAAAGATTCCAAAGATTAGCACCAAACCTGAGTGATAGTGATAGCTGTTGTCCTCACAGTGCCCAAAGTAATACGAATTTGAAGGGAAATGGCAAGACTCTGACCGCCGCTTTCCCATCATTTTAGCATTTTCTAAACAGATAAAAATATCAAAGTTAAGATAAATATAACATAAATGGTGATAATGAGAGAAAATTAAGATTTGTTGTCAGACCTGTTTTATTTGGTCTCTTCGTATCAAATATCTGCTTTAGTTTCCATCCAAGACGTATTGACAAAGTACTCAACAATGCACCACCCATAATAAGCATCCAGTTTGCACCGTCAACTTGTGCCTGCTTCAACTTGTGGGATCTTTGTATGGTACAACTCGTTTTCGATTTCATCTTAAGATTAATTGAGATATTACATCAAGAAGCTGCAGACACTTTTCCCAACACCAGCAAATCTAAAACTGCGACAAAAAGGCTGATTGTTCATTTGACTGGTTGTTTTAAATAGACACAAAGATGAAAAAAACAACAAGCGAAAGAAAACGGCAGACACATCGTTTCACTGTTTAGCAACAGGACTTCAACATGTCACAAATAAGAATCTAATTATAGGACTCAAATGACAGCATTGGATCACCAATCCAATCAAATAAGGAAGAAAGCAGAAAAAAAGAGAGAAATCCAGCAAAGAACGTGTTTATGCAGGAGCCTTCCCATGAAATTAGGCGAAGAAAGCATTGCGCTAAATGATATTTTAATTAATTCATTTCATATAATTCGGATTATACATTTATTTTCTAATTAATTCATGCCCAAAAATTATTTTAGGGCCTTTGAAGGACGTGGAAGTCCTCTATTGATTGCCAAAGACCCAAGCTTCCAAATTGTAGAGTGAATGGTTTTATGCTTTTTTCTGTAAAAGATCATCCACTCGGATGGTTCCAAACATAGGCATTTACTTTTGGGGAAAAAACTTTCGTGTTTTAGAGAGGCATTCACCTGCTCTCCCCTTCTGGAGTACACGAATCCTCTATGTGTCCCTGATATATGTTCTCCAAAATCTTTCACTGCTAATTCTGTGATTCCATTTGCTTTGTTGTCCTAGGATCTGTATTGTACCATTTGTAATCAAATACAATCAAGATAACTCTTCATTGTTACCTCTTACTCTTTCCTTTTGGACACTTTTTCCAACACGTCAAGCAAAACTAACATATAATTTTCTCTAACAGCGGGTCAACTGTTTCAATCATCCTGCAACTAAAGAAGATCTTTTCAATGTGAGACACTTGTAATAAGAGAAAACTTCCTCAATCAAGCAAATCATTTTATCAACAGATGATACCAAAGTTCACATCTACCATCGGCTAGCGAGAAGGTCAAAAAGAATTCCTAGAAAGCTCACGCCATAAGAAACCAAGCAGTTTATCTTATCATCTTGTCCTCTAAATATATCATATTCCACTTCCATTCCTCTAGGGTCACTCAGACAAAAACCAACTTCGCTTTTGATCAGATTTTGAGCTGTGTCGTCCTATAAGACGCATTCATGTCAAAAATCAATGCGAAGCTAAAATTTTCGACAATTGAAAAGATGAAATAAAAATTCAGAAGTGGAGATCAGAAAAAATGGTTTCAATAATACTCTTACCTGCATTCGATGCTCTACTGAATCTTATGACACTCCATTTTAAAAGATAAAAAAGAGAAAAAAATATCATCCTATGACACTCCATTCGATGCTGTTCGACAAATCATCATCCTATAATCTAGAGCCCAATATCAAGCTCAAAGACGTTATTCTTCCAACTCAGGAGGGTGAAACGGCATCCTGACATAATTGAGAATACGCTGTGTGAGATAATTACACGATCTTTGGTTTGTGTGAGTATATTTTTGTCTATCAATTCTCAAAAAAACTTTCAACGGGTGATATCAAAGAAGAACAGTATGAGATCAGACAAGAGACAGGAATGGCCAGAAATACTTCACTCCAATCCTAGATGACTATAAGCGAAACCTGAAAGGGAACTCTTACACCATGAAAACTAGTGATAAACAAAGAAGGCAGTGCATCCTTTTAGAGAACGAGTGGCTATCACCACAGTTGAGCCGTCAAACGGTAATCGTCACAATTGACGAATATTTAATGGAAAAATTAATTCCGAGAATAAGAAATCGATTTATACTTTCTGCTTATCAAGATTTCTCAGTCCTACAAAGTGACAGAAATATTATGAACAATATGAAAGGACGGGCGTCTCAACTCCAATCGAAGAGAACACCCTCCCGCGAGGCATCAAGAGATTCCTGGCATTCCACAAGGAGGGGAAACGAGGCTCTGCTCTGTTTTCTCATTATTCTCCGACAAAGCGAAAACCTATAACCCGGAATAGACTTTAACGTCAAACGACAGCTACAGATGCAACGAGACGAAGGAAGATCCTAATAATGTTCACAGGGTCGGAGAAAACCGCAATGGCGGCGGATTTCACGGAGTGGGAACAATGAAATATATCTACCGAACAATGAAAGAGATTTCGGAATGCAAGCGGACGAAAAGAGGACGAAAAACCTACCCCACGTCGATCAGCCGATCTCGACCAGGGGATTCCGGTTCCTCACGGCCCTGGCGCCACCCATCTTGTGCCGAATGAATGGAACATCGCCTGCCAATAAGAAGGGAAGGGCTACGGCATAACACCGGAAACGTGCGGCTGCGGCGGCTGCAGCGGCTGCGGCGGCTGCGGCGGCTGCGGCGATGGAGGGGGAGGGGAAAAACAACGATGAAAACCTGGTTCCTCGTCAGAACCCCTGCTGCATCCTCTGCCGCCACTTCCACAACTCTCTTTCCCTCTCTCTCTCTCTCTCACTCACTCACTCACTCACTCACTCACTCACTCACTCTCTGCTTTGTTTTGGGCTTTTTTTTCTTTTTCCCTCTTTTCTTTAGTCCTCCGAAAAAAGAGGAGGTTGTAAGCCCCCGAAGTGAGGATTAGGAGTCCCAAGCGCGTGCGTATCATTGCTCTTCGGGCACAGTACGTTTGGAGAGGCGAGGCTAGTCTCGAACCGTCTGCTCCTGACTCGGACAAACCACTCGTCCTCTCAGAGAGGAGGAGCACGCAGCCTATGAAAATCGGTGCGCACCCGGTGAATGGTTCCAGAGGAACCCATTCAAAGATTTGCAGGCGACAGCTACAACTCATATGTGAGCCACGTGTGCCCGAAAGAGAGATTCCTCCCTCCCCCCTCGTCTCCACAAAGACGGCGCGCATCCTAACTCCGCCGTGGACGGTGGCGGCGCCGCCGGCGACGATTTACAGTCTAAGCTCACCCGTGGTTATCCCGAAGAAATTGGACCTGTTGGGTCAAATTTAATTAGATGCAGATCTCCATAGTTCGCCGAGTGGAAAAAGCAACAGCGCCCGGCGATCGGAAGCCTCAGATTCCGCATCAGTCTGAGCCATCGGCGGACTTCTTCAAGCTCTGCGTCCGGTATTCGAGCATGTTGGGGCAGTAGCGGGTGGCGAGGAGCTCCACCTGCTCCATGAACGACCTCTCCCTGGTCCCGCCGATGTGCCTCGCCATCTGCCTCCACCGCTTCAAGCAGATCTCCCCGGACCTGGGACAAAGTCAGCGGGCAGAAGTTCAGAGATCTTTACCAAAAATGGGGCGGAGACGAACAGCAGGGAGCATTCATGTCCGACGGGCGCAGCCACCTGTGCTCGAGAAGATTGTCCCAGTCAACGTCCTCTATGCAGCACGCATCCAGCTGCAGGAGCCTGCCTCGGCGACAACACACAGGCCAATCCAAATCCAAATCCAAATCAGGGAAGATTCTACCCGCAGATGTACAAGCGATGTCGGAGGGAACGCAGAATGAGAGGACGTTACCCGTCTATCATGAGATAATCATCGGCATCTGCCCAGAGGCCCTGGGCGACCATGGGAGAAGTCAACTGCGAATACCTGAGAAATTCCCAAGAACATTAGCCCCTTCCCCCCCCCCCCCCCCCCCCCCCCCACCAGAAAAAGTCAACTCCGAACACCTCCCGCAAGATGGGATCAGTGCGACGATCTGAGGAGGAATGAGCTTCGGTAGTATCCTACCATTTCATGCAGCAGGCCATTTCATAGCGAGAAGACATCTTCTGGCTTATTGCTCCCCACGAGATGTTCTCCCTCAGCTGCCAAAGAGGAAGGGGAGATTGATAGGTGGGAATGATGAGGATCACGAATGGAAGATGCAGGATTTTGGGCGGGAGAAAGAGCTAATAATAACCATTCCGTGCTTGGTCTGCTTCTCCTCAAAGGCTTTTAACTGCAGATCCATGTTTACCAGATCAAACAGAGTCTGGTACTCCTCCTGGCTCCACTTCCCTGCATCGGAGTCGATGAAAACAAGCTGAGCAACTCCTCTGGAACAACAGTCGGATGATGTTTTTGGGTTGTTCAAAACTGAATCAAATTAACAACTTGCTTCTTGCGCAAGAGCAGTATTTTTCAGGTAATCCAGCTATATCAGATATGTGGACTTCCTTTTTATTGGAAGATTAAGGCTGCCCAGAGTCAAATCGCCCAGAAGAAACCTTGCAAAACCCAGCTCTAGCAGCTGAATGGTGATCTGGCGACTAAAAGCAGAATCAACACGGTTCGAAGGCTGATCATGCCATTTTTGCTGCTGGGCAGATGGCGCCGTTCTGATGGCGTCAGAGGTATCAAGAAGATGAAAAAAATGGACTTCGAAATATCCGAAACTTGAATCGTAATTAATAAATCAGCAAAATTATCCATAATAAGATGCATAGATGGGAGGAATGGCAGCAGGAAAGGTGGAATCAACAAATGGGTATGATCCATTTCCGTTTGACAAGAATCTCAACTGGGTAAAATATAGAGAAAGCAGGGAAATATCCAAAATAGGTTATAAAATTTTGAAGAAAACAGGCGCGATTATCCACATATTTGATTCAGTTGTTAGCGCATACGAAAAGCAAATTAAAGAGATGGTTCTACATGGGCACTGCATTGTAAGGAGACAAATCTTCCTACACATCCAGTAAGAGATAACGAGGGAGAGAGAAGATCGAATGAGAGGGAGTGGAGGAAGACAGGCAGCAATCTGCAGACGAATATCAAGTGGAAGAAGATGAACGTGAACAAGGCCTGAAATGCCATTGACCCGGAGCGATAAGAATGCCATAACGGACCTGCGTGGAATGGTTGGTCGAAAAAAAAAAAAAACGATCAAGAGAAATTTGATCGATTTCCTGGCATATTGTGATCGGCAAGACTTACATCATACGCCCTTTGGTCCATGATATCCGATTTATAACAGTTGTTATACTATGCAAGATAAATCAGGGGAAAATACCAGAAAACACCAAACCTCCTGGTACGTCTGGTTTGTTGGCGAAATAATAGGGACATTTCATAGCAACACAGAGTGACGAAGACCACTGACGCAAGATGCATGGCAGCAATTTACCAGACAAATTCATGACCATGTATGCATCATGAGGTTGGATGAATTATGGTGTTAGCAAATTAAAATATTTATAATTTTAGTGAATAAACAATGCGAATGGCATGAACGTGAGATAATTGCCACCGAAAATGGTGCTGACAATTACAGCTCTTTTTACATCTGCATGCCAAGATAATGACGAAGAAAAAAAATCAAGCCAAGGAACTCACGTACCTTTCTTTGGACTAGCCAATCTTATTCTTCTCCATGCATCTTTGACATGAGTTCTGTGTTTGCCAAGCAGCTCGGCCATCTCCTTCCATTTTGATCCATGCTCATCCTGATACCTGGATTTGAAAATTTCATGATTCAAAGAATTAAAGGGCACTCTGAATGCATAAAAGCCATTGATGCGTGCTGGGCACAAGCAAAGTCTGCATGATGAGTGCAAGCTTATCCACACTGTGATACTAAGCTGGCTTGAGGCCTAAGGAGACTCAATAATGAAAATTACCTTCGGACTAGATCCAATTCTTCGGGTTTCCACTTTCGTTTCTCACCCCTTCGAAACAGATTTTGTGCTCGATTGTATACACTTTGCCGAGGCCTCCAAGGTAAAGCGGTTCCTTCAAATCACCAAAAAAGAATGATGAGGAGCAAGCAAATTTCACAATAAAGGTAATTACCGAATTGCAATACATCAGAGCGGGTCATGGCCATGCTATTTCCATCTCATATCCATCAATCGATTTTTCAGAATGCGTGAGAAAGTAGATGGGCACATTTCTGGGAAAAGGTTATACGATGACAAGGGTTATTAACTCTGCAAACGACCACACAGTCGATAAGACTAAATCAATAGGATCAAGATTAGCACAGGAAGCTAGAAGCAGTGTGGAGAGAGAGACTAATGCTGTAGAAGACAGTAGAAAAGAAGTATGAAAACATGGAGATGCAGAAAATGGGTTCTGGATTTGAAGGTTTTTTCTCTCTGCAGGCGCAGAAAGTTACTGTCAGAGGATGCAACTAAACAAAAAAAGAGAGATGTTTGTCACCATTCTCATATCTAACTATATTGATTACATGTTCAAGAATGGCATTTGCCAGCCAATCTTTTCATTGTATTCCATTCATAAAATAATGTGATTTTCAACGACTTAGCTCATTCCAGATGACTTATGCTTGTTGAGAGTTCAATCTGGCTCCTCACATATCCGTTAATTTTTGGCAATTCTTGCGAAAAGCTATCTTGACAGAGGGCCACTAATAAGGGAATAAGGACAAAAGCGAAGATCTAGATCAGAAGGACCCAATTAGTACGTGCAATAAACATGCTGGCAAGCAGGCGTGGTTAAGACACTATTGCTCTATTATTTGTGACATTAGCATTTACCAATTTCTCTCCAACAATGTCTAACTTCCCGATGAGATCTACAATGGAGAACCATCTGCAGCCCATCCTCACCCAAGTTGTTTTCCTGGAAAGAAACACACATGAAAGAGTGTACATCAGGCCCGTACTAAGACAAAGATCATGCATTGATCAAAGGAATACTAGGCATTCAATTCAGAGCTCTATATAAATTTTCTGTAGAGTACGAGCTCCTTTTTATTTAGAAGAGAGAATTAGTGAACACTGACTGCAAAGCCTGCGCAGATGCCAATCAATGCTCACACATTCCAGTGCACATCAAATCATTTTTTTCAGAGATAACACTCGGTGACAACATTGGCGAGTCGTCCTAGAACCAAACGAAATTGGGTTTCAACCTTGACCAACGTTTCACAGAACACTCCAGACAATAAAAATCAGTAGACCAAGGTTACCATAGCATTCACTATTTATATAATACATTTTAAAATACCGACCCCAAGAACCATAAAATATGTGTTCAACAAGAAGAGCACAACTCAAGCCTAAGAAAAGACAAACCCCAGACACTCATTGTAGCAACCACGGCGAGCTTGGAAACAGAAAAAGTTTGGGTTCCCAATTTGAATTTACTTCTTGAGAGCGTACCAGTTTGGAAACAGAATAAGCAACAGATCAGGTAAGTAATTACCATTTTCTCATCAATAAGTAGCGTTGATAATCGTATTTTCCATATAATAGTCGAACTTTCTAGAGTCCAAAAAAAAAAAGTGTGTTGTAGAGAGGGACAAATAAACTTTGGTCAGCTCTCACGATGGAGTAGTCATTCAAAGTCCTATACAGCTTGATAACAGTCGACCACAGAACTATTGATAATAACATATCTCGCCTACCAACATGCAAATTTTATAAGCTAGAGTGATTGGCTTACGCCATATACGAGCAGCATCCCAAAAAAAATGCCACCAGATGCTGTAACACAAAAAAACTACCATCGAAAAAGACTAAGCTCCAAGATAACCACGGACCATAAAGGTTGATAGAAAGAAACTGACAGTGTAAATATTGGAGAAGTAAAGATAGAGGGAGGCAGAGAGAGAAGGGAGGGATCCCTCCATGGAACATGATCGACAGCTCTCATAACTTTTGCAGCGAGGTAAGTACCATACTTGTAATGAATTGTGTGAGAAACTGACCTTTATGTAATCAAGAACAGCTTGCTTGATCATCTCATCTTCTTCTTCAGAGAACCTTTTGCCACGTACCAAATCCTCTTCATTGGACTTGCCAGCACTTTTCTCATCCGCAGTTGAAGGAAATACTTCAACATGACCTGAAAAGGTCACCCTCTTTCTCTTTGCATCGGGTGCCTTAGGAGACTTTCTATCTGTCTCTCTATGACCAGCGGGTTTCACCCTCTTTCTCTTTGCATCGGATGCCTTAGAAGACTTTCTATCTGCATGTGTATCACCAGAGGGTCCGTTCTCCACGGAGTTTATCCTGAATTTCCGTTTTTTCGTAGCCTTGCCGGGCATTTCTTTACTTGAGGCCTCATCCACCGAAATTTCCGTACTTTCAGCCGTCCCATTCTTATTTTTCTTATTCTTCTTGGATTTCTTCTCACCTTTCGTCACTGAGGAGGATTGCAGCTTATGTTGATTGTCTCCTAAGCTCCCCTCCACTCTTATAGTCGTGTTTCCTCGATCTGAGGACCTGTTAAACAGGGCTTTCGCATCTTCAGTAACCTTGCATTCCTTAACGAAGCATTCCTTCTTGAGAGGTTATACATAACCTCGTGTAGCCCTAAGAACAATTAGTGAAGAGATCAGTTTGAGGTTTACCTCTTCTTATTCGCTCGGCAAGGAGAGGCCGTGAGGGTCATCGCTCCGCAAGGAGAGGCCGTGAGGGTCACTTGTCCATCGCCACCACCGTCCGCTGCCGCCGCCACCGCCTTCCTTTCCTCCGCCGCACTATCCGTTCGTGTTTTCCCCTCTTTCTCCCACCGTAGGGCTTAAAACCTCGGCTCACGGTATTACGAGGCGGTGAACGAACCGAACTGGTTCAGCCGGAACCAATCATCTGCTCACGGTCCAGTCCAAGCCGGCCCAACTGCTTGGCTCGAGCCAACCGTTCCACTGACCAGAAGCATTCGGACTGTCTGATCCGTGCCGGCATCTCGTTGGTTCGAGTCACAGTCCGCCAATCAGCCCGGCAACCCGGTCACCGGGTCAGCAGTCAACAACCCGGTAAATGGTCAACATAAGGTCAACTTTTCACGTGGCTTTGGCTTCAAGTGGTGCACCTCGACCACGCATCGCCCGTTGTCGTTGTGTGATCCATAGATGGGTCCACTTATTTTCTGTAAGGGTGTTGTCCTTCATCTTTTTGCCTCTCGATGATCTAACACGTTCCTCTTTATTGGTCCAGTTTTTCGCTTCAGTGCTTTCATCCATGGTAAAGCCCTTGTGAGAGACACTCGAGAGCTCAGACTTTACATGGTGAACATGACGCTATGTATTGAAACTGCCCTAAAAATAAGGATATCGTGGAGGAATTACAGACGACAGACAAGTGAGCGGGGAATGAAAAGCACATTAAAGATGATCATGAGGTAATGCAAGGAAGACTCTTAGGTCTCTGGGTAGTGGATGCAAGATGGGCAATCTCCAACTCTAGACGGAGCCACTCATGCCTTTACTATGCGGCTATTTGGTTCTTCGTGTAGTCATTCTCCATCAGTGCTTAGCCAGACTGCTTCCCAACTGCCTTCAGATTGATCATTAGCATCTGGTCTATTTCGCCAGATCCGATGGAATGCAGCCCTTGGCGTGTTCCGTATTTGTTGCGTCTTGGAACTGTCCGAAGATGCCGCTGGATCTGTCCGCCACCTGCACGACATTCTGTCGGGTCCACTGTACTGCTATCTTTAATGCGATCCTGGTCTTGTCTTGATTCGTCACTCGCTACCCCATTGATCAACTCATGCTCCTTCCTTCTTAGCTCAGTTCGGACCCAGGACGAGCGCCTTCCACGTGGATGTCCTCCGGCCAATAAGGACTCAACAAAGCACGATTGTTCTTCCACTTCTTCGTTCCTCTCTCCGCATGGTCACCGGTTTCTTCCCCATCAATGCCCTTGTCAACCATCACCCTTGAAGTTTCCTCAATACCTTCAATCACCTCTTCTTCTTTCACCCTCTTTTCTTCTTCTTATTCTTCCCTTCATCAGCCTCTGCCCTCGACATCTCCACAGCACCATCACCGACAACTCATCCATCTTCTCTTCCATCACCCTCTTCCTCTTCTTCTTCTCCCTCTTCTCTTCTCTCACATCCCGAACTTCATCTTCTGGCTCCATCATCGTTGAGGGCCAAACTACCACTCTCTTGGCTGATATGCACATGCATTTTATCTACACTCGGCAATCAACAAGGGTAGAGTTAGGACTGAGCCTAAGCCGACCTAAGGAATTGACTTTTGAATAGAAACATTAAGTCCCAGTTATAACTGAAGGCCCCAAAGCAATGTTTTGAGCTTGAGACGAGGTCAAAAGTATAGCTCCACCAACCCACCTATTAATCTCTCTCTCTCTCTCTCAATATTTCGTAGAAATGTGCACATAATATTGTCACCTATATGATTTTTAGACTCTACCTACTCCAATTATGAAATAAATAAATCATAAGGTCATCTCAACAAATTTCTTGTTTCTAAAGGAAAAAAATATTTTGTTTATAATAAACAAAGGGTCGAACAATCACCCATTCTAATATTACTAGACCCTAGTGGGTACTCATTGAACAAGTTAGTGGGTTGGTGAAGTAGTCAACGGTGAACAAACACTAAGAGGCCCTTGACTAGTAAAAAAATTAGGTTAAGAGGAAACATTTCAAGCCCAATTGGAGGACAAATTAGAGGGATACTTGGTCTAAGTTCAAGCCTTTGATCATAAAGAAAAAGGAGGCCCACTTAAAGGGGGCATCCAAAGCCACCTCTTTTCTCTCTTCCCATTCTCACATTAAGACACTGATAAATCTCTATTTTCATGAGTTAATTATTAGCTTAGGATATATGTACACATTAACTAATGATAGATTGTCTTATACTTGTCTTAACGTGAAAGAAATGATTTTTATGTAACTCATGTTAATTTTTTGTTAACTATATAATTTTATATAATTTTTATGTTCATATTTTCAAATTAAAATGAAGAAACAAAAGAAAAAGGGAACCTACTAGCTAGCCTTCATGACAGTCAACTTTATAGTCAGAGGGAACAACTTCAGTGGATGGACCTAGTGGGGAAGGAACCCTAGGAGCTGACAACTCAAGTGGTATTTACCGTTTGCACATACATGTCACTTCCCTTCCACATCATTAATGTCAGTCAACGTATAGTGATGAACTCGAATTGGAGGTTAAATACATTGTCGTAATACAACTAAATTCATGCAAATAATATTTATAAAACCTCACTCTTCTATTTAGGATAAGTAAGAGTTGATCCTCAAAGAGTGTGGATAATGAGAGTACGAATTCTACTTATTTTATTTCTTATATAAATATATATATATATATATACGTGAGATTGTGAATGACAAAATTAAATGTAAAAGGGTGAAGATAAGAGTTATGGAAAGTGTGACAAAGGAGAGAGAATAGATCTAATGCCATGGAATGATGGAATAAATGATAAAACTAGTTCGAATTAAAAGTTAATCTATCTATGGAGAGGATTACAAGGACGCCTCAAATCTAAATCTTGCACAAATCTTGTTGTGTGCCAGTCCTAAGCTGAGTGATGCACGATCTGTGACGATCTTGATGTGTTTTAAGTAATCTCTTCTCCACAATGATCTTCAACATGAGAATGCCATTGATTAGATATTGATTTCTCTCCTGTTTCCTTTAGCTAGCCACTACTAAAGATAGAGCCAAAAAATATCCTCTAAGAGGGGGACAAGATGTCTTAATCCTCTTGAGAGTTAGGCCCCTCCAATAGATGGTTAAGATGAATAATCGACTCTCTTGGTAGATAGCTCAGATTATTCTATAAGGGTGACACTCTAATCCTTCTCTTAATCTTATCTTAAGGCACCCTAAGATGAATGTCCTAGATCTTATCTCTTGATAGCCCTTTTAAGTCCAAATAGGCTAGGCCAAAGTGACACCCTTTCTTAGGCCCATAAACATATTAAGTCGGTCTTTTCCATAAGATTTAGGCTTTTTATTAGGCTAAAGGCTTGAGCTTCTTTCATTACTTTCAACTTATATTAAGAACTCACCTAAGTTCTTGTAATCAAATAATTATTAAAAAAATGTGAGAGAATCACCACTTAACTTCATAAAAGTAAAGTGGGTTAGTTTCATAAAATAAATAAAATAACTAAAATAGTGTATTAAGACTTAAATAATAAAATATTATAAATGTCATAATGAGTTGGTAACATATGTATAATAGTATTATCTACTTATTAATTAATATTTATATATAAGATATTAATGCATAGATGCAACTACTAATTTATAATTATCACATGAGTTAGAGTATGAACTTATCACATGTGTTGTATTAGGGTCATACCACCTTTGTCTCTCCCCATTAGACATAAAGTCCCCAAAAAACAACTAATGTGGGACTAAACCCTCAACTATGATTTTTTGAAATAATTTGGAACAATTGATGGAGGGCAGAAACTTTGAGTTTTCATTATTTTATGGATATATTTGAAAACTATTTAACCTTTTTACACAACAAATCATATGTTGCCAAGTGGTTGCAAGTTATTCAAACCTTTTCTACAAGAAATCAATCAATGGCAACTAATGGCAATCAAGTGGTTGTAAGTTATGAGGAAGCTCAATAAAGGTGACATATTCCATCATTTAACTTTGTATTTTTTATACAAGAAAACAATTAATGGCAAGAGCAAAGATTGTTGATTGGATCTTCACCAATGGTCAACAAGGATCCTTAGAAGCCTCTTATGATAGATTGTCTAAAAAATTACGGCATTCTCAAAGGAAAACACATCTTACGTTAGCCGATGAGCCAAATATTATCAAGAATAGAGGGATCTACCAAGAGACTTGTGGTAGCCTCTTCAAAGTGCCTCATTTGTGATAGAGCCTCTTGTTGTAATGTAGACCTAAGGAAAAAATTGTGTCATGGGCTCTACCTGCACCAATCACTACCTTGTTGGGTGATAGTTGTAAGAGTTTCACTCCACCACCACTTGCCCTTTTGAACTCTGGCCTTTGCACTAAAGTCTAGAGAGTGACAGATAAGCCTTTATTATCATAAGTTAATAATTAATAAATCATATATATTTTTTACCTCAACTCATAATAAATAGACTTATATTTATGATAAATTATAAAAAGTAATTTTTATTTAGTTAATATAATTTTTTGACTAATTATGTGATTTTTTATGTAAATTTATATATTTTTTGTAATCTTGTTTTTGAGATAAATAAAGAAAAAGAAAATAAAATAAAAATATAGAAAAAGACGGGGACATGCCAACTAGCCAA